GAAATTTATTAAGAAGAGTGTTAATAGGTTATCTGGTCAACAATGGGTGCTGGGTAAGACTTACGTGTTGCATTGTGACAGTTTGCTGCTAGTGTGAAACGTTGACTTTGACTTTGTTTGATGTAAAGCGTTTTTGTGAAACATATTCACCCTGAGTCAACACATGCAAGTTTTGGGAGATTTGTGTGCCATTTTTCACTTTTCGGCTTAACTTGTCATCGTTATACAGTTAGTTCGTTACGTTTAGGTAGCCACCTATGTTGATTTCACTTTTGTTTTAGGGTTTATTTCTTTTAAAGTTAAAAATCAATTATTATGTTTTTAATTCAAAATATAAATTTTAGTATAATTAATTTATACACATATTACCATTATATTTAATTATTTAACACATTCCACTTTAAATTAAACAACACGTTAGTATGTGTCTAAAGAACAAAAGTCCATAACTACTCTAGCTTTTACATGACGTATGTCCACCAGGTAAAAATGAAAATTTCAGAATATGTTTTATAATATCAATTTATCTTTTATTCATTTGTTTAATAAATTATTAAAGACGTTAAGTGAATTAAAATAAAGATACTCAACTCAAACAAGATTGTCTTTAATAAATGATACATTTAGTTTCTACAAATTAAAATAAAAAGAGAATATAATTTTTCAAATATTATTAAAAAATTTAAATTTAAAATTTAACTATCAATAATATATTTTTTATTTCTAGATAATTTATGCATGCATAGTAATTGCAACCTAATGAAAAATTATATATTTTTTTGCTCTATTTTTTTACAAAAAATGGTTGATAATTATTTAGTTGTAAAATCATGTAATTAATTGATAAAAATAAATAGTATTTGACCATTAACTTAAATAGTTGTAAATAAATAAATGATATTTAATATTAATACTATTATATATTATTTTTAATCATTTAACATATTTTAATTAGTTGTACAGTTAATTTTATAAAATACATGTAATTTAATTAGAAATTATATAATTATTAAGCTAATTATAAATTATAAACTTTCAATTAACTTCGTACCAATAAGTTGATGACTTTCCACTAATTTATCAGATAAAGTTTAACCATTAGTTAATGCACTTAAAATATTGTTTTTGAAAAAAATATTATTTACTTTTAATTAATTAAAAAAAACTTTCACGTAGTTTAGTTTTGAATAGATCAAATGAAGATTCCAGGGATTTTTTTTAATGAAGATTGTTATTCAGCATTAAATTAAGACTACAAATTTTTTTATAAAGTAAAATCTGACGGATCATAACGCTTCCATAAATTAAAATGGTAGGAAAATAGAATCTCAATCCCATCATCTGCATCTTCCGTTCTTACAAGATTTTGTCGAAAAACTTTAAGCATTTATTGTTTTTCTAATGACTGACATGTCTATATGAAGAAATAAGAAAACAAAATAATATATCCATATAATTTTGGACAAGCTTGGTCTTTTGGGCACTACAATATCATCACATTAACACTTTGAAGGTTAGAGTCATTAAATTAATTAGTCTCTTGAAATGATATCAAAATAATGATTAAATTTGTTTCCATTTGCTGTATTTTATAAGAACGAATGAAGTAGTTTCTTAGATCTTTCAGAAATTAAACTAATAAAAATATTTAAAAGACAAATTCAGTGATAAGTTATTTTTTTTAAATCAAGTTAGTGAGAATAATACATTCTAAAAGATTAATGACACTGATTTTTTATAAAGAAGAGCAAATATATTATATATGTATCATTTATCTGCCTAAAAAATTAAATATAAATAAAAGAATCCAAATTTTTATTAAAATTAATTGTTAATTCTTTTAATTTATATTGTATTATTGATTTTTTTAATTTTAAACTATTCAAATAGTATAAATATTTTATATGGACAAAAATGTATAACTAATAATTAATATATTTTAGATTTTTACATTAATAGATGAATATGAATGATAGATTTAGACAGATGAATAAGAACAAAATAGGAGAACTTAGTCAATAATGATAATAGCAACTAGCAAGGAAAAAAAAAGAAAAAGACAAAAAAACACGCAAACATCATAAATACTAATTTACAAATATATTTTTTCATATATCCTTCAAAAATATGATAAAATTATTGTTATTATTTTTTCTTATGACACAATTTTATTCTATTATTTATTATTTTTATATATACATTTTAAATATTATGAAGTTTTAATTATTTTCAAATTTTTATTTTACATTAATTTTTTCCTCTGATATTGTCTATTTAAAAATAATTTTTGTATGTAAATATTGTTGGACTAGAAACTTTTTTTAAAATCAAAACTCTTTTGATAAAAAAGAATGATAAAGATAGTTGGGAAAGTATTGTTTTGCTTTTTTAATGATGGAAGCTTCTCTAACGAAGAATGTAGTAAAGAATGTGAGAACTGCCGATAAATTTTAAGTATTGTAAAAATATGTACGTCTTTCATTAAAATTGTGATACTTGCTGTTTATAATTATATTTTTTCTTATCTTCATTTTTTTTGAGATAAAACTGTCAAATAAAAATCAATTAAAAAATAAACCTTTAACAATACATGCATGATTGCATAAGCAATTTAAAATTTTTGTCATTAAATTAATTTATTTACAATCTCTTTTGCCACTATTTAGCTTTTTAAAAATTTTGTTATTATGTTTTTAAAAGCTAATTTGTCATAAAGATAGTCTTTATTTTATTTTATCACATTTTCGTAATTCTTAGTTTTAAATTGTTAAAAGACTGATTTAATAATAAATTAAACTTTTAAGACATTAATGATGTAAAAAATCTTTAAATAAATAAGGTAACAATATATAAAATCATTATAATAACTAAATTCTTTTAAAAGAACGTATAAAGATACATAAATTTTTTAAAATATTAAAATACGAAATGATTAAAATTATTTATCTATTTGGTATCAGAAGAGTTATTATTCATTGGTAAAAATTGTTTCAGTTTAACGATGGTCTCGATAACTATATTCTCTTCGTCGTTGACAGTGATTCTACATTATACTTAATTCGAACGTAAATATATTAAGTGGAGTGGAGAATACATGTAATTTACATAAAAAAAGGAGTTATTAATATAAAAATATAAAATATTTCTAGAACAATTAAAGATTTTTAAACAACCAATAGAGTGACGTAAATCAATTACAACACCTTTCTAATGGCAAATAAGAAAATTTCCCTTTCCATACTGAGAAGCACGAAGCTCTTTATAAATGTATCACGAATCATATATGATCTATTTACCGAATGCCTGGTCAAGATCTTGTCGGTTGAAAATTTAACATGAGAGTGTAAAGGCCATCACTGCAGCAGTGCCAAAACCATCCACGTCTTTTCTCAAAATTTGAAGAATGTTTATGTTCTATTGTTCTTCCGTCATGTTCGACGCTTTACATACAGGGATCAAGAAACCCCTTTTTGCGAAAAAGCATTTCCAACATATGTAGTTTCCAAGAAACAAGAAGGAAGAACTATTGAACTGACGTACTTTTCATTTCTTAAAATTTAAAAACAATCTCATTATTTTTTATGTAAAACATGAGAGAAAGTACTTGAGTTTTAGACTCAAATTGTATACATTGTTACAAAGAACATGTTAGCATATCCACTAATCAAAGCTTAACCATTGAAGTTTTTTAGAATCATGTAACTCATATGGGTCTGGTCAAGTCTTTTGATATTTTGGATTAGTGAGAGTTAAATTTTGTATTTGTTTGTTGACATTGTTATCTAATTTCTTTATGAGATATGTGTTCTGTTGACGTCACTTTTATTGACATATCTTTTATGACAATTTTTTATACTTGGACTTTGTGGAAATGATATTTATGTTTCTTTATCTATATTGTGACTGAAATATAAATTGTTTGTAATATGTAATGTATATCTCTATCAGATATAATTGTATACTATCGAGAGTTTATTATTTCTTTGGTGATAATTAATAACTTATTACGACGATAGTTTGTGGACTTAACAATTTAATAATGCTATTCAAGTGGGAGAATGTTAGATTTTTTAACATTAATATTAATATTTAATTAATTTGTGAATTAACATTATTAAATTATTATGGTTATATTGTTATTAATATGACGTAAAATAAATGTGTATAATAATAATTATTATTATTATATAGATTTTGTAATTGGGCTTTTAGGGTGAATAGTCTGTGATGGGTTGGACTATTCTATGTGTCCAGTGAGAGGTTTCTGCTCTCATTAATCTTATATAACTGTTGCTCCATTAGATAGTTACTAATGTGGGATAATAGCAATCAAATAAGAGAGTAATATACGCTCACTCGAAAACAAGGATAACTCGTGACTTATGGGTTCTCATCAGAGTTGCTTATGACTCGTGGGATCCCATCAAGTACGCGTTTAACACAATTATTCAATTACATATAGTTGCAACTGTATTGAGATGTTATGATGTATATTATATATAATTACGTTATCTTTAATTTTATATTTAAAATTCCTGCAAAATCTCATTATTAATACCAAGATATAGGAAAAAGACATGAAAACCCTTCATAATGTATGTAAACAATTTCTTGTTAACCCAAACATTTATTGGTTATAACAAATAATTATTTTTTGAGGTATACAAACGAAAAGAGAGAATAAGATTCCATTTTAGGGAACTTAAACTTTGTTTGGATGATATTTTATTGGTGCTATGTTGATAGATTGCATTAGAGTTCGTGATCAGAATCCTGATGGGAGTACTTCTGCGCAATTATCCTTACTCAAGATGCATAAATTAGCCACTAAAGCATGCATTTCTCCAAAAGCTAGGGCATTCAAATACAATAAGCAATAAACATCGGAGTGGCTAAGTTCATACGCCATACAAGCAACCCAATACTCAAAATAATTCAAGAACTCGAAGTCTAAACCAAAAAACTAATTATCAAAAGCATTTGACGATATTTCAATAGAATTAACCACTACGAGGGGAAAAAAAGGGGGAAGCTATGCGCCTAGCTAAAAAGTTCTCATTGTCCAGCACAAACCTTTTCAATCTCTCATTCAATGCAGTTTTTCCTCCTTGAAATGATTGCTGAATCTAAAAGAAAAAAACATAAACAAAAAGAGCAAAATGATTATTGATTCCTTAATATTTTGAACAGCTAATTAATTAATTTGTAAACTAAACAGTGTAGGAAGAAAATTACTAAGGAAAAAATATTAATGATATAATATACGTACTTCTATGTGCACTACGTGTTGCATTGAGTTTCCTGCACGTGAAGAATGGGCACTCTTGACCTCAATGTTCTCTTCATGCAGTATGCGAATAATTTCAGTGAAAATGAACTGATCATTGAAACCACACATTAGAATGATTATTAGCGAGGAAGCCATTTGATGAATCTCAATTTTTGGTACTTCAGAACCACTGGAACTGTCATGACTACGAGATCTCTTCCCTTTCACTAAGCTTTCTTTCTTCTCCTGCGCTATCTTCACCTTTGTCTCTAGGCTCTTGATATAGCAGATAGCCTCGTCTATTTGGTCAGCGCGAGATGACTCTCCCTGCGTTAAATGGAATTCACGTTAGATCAATGTATACTTAAATATCATTCTCTATTTATTTATTTTTAAAAAACCAACAATTTGGTAAGCACCTTAACCAGATAGAGAAAAAAATAGAAGAAAAGAAAAACAGATATGATAAGTTCATGATGTGATAGAAACAAAAAGAAGAAAGACATCAAATGAGAGAATTGACAACATTTACATGTCTAAAATTCGAAAATATTCTTTTTTAAAAAAAGCTCAATTTTGATTTCCTTGAACAAAGTCATGCATGCATGGTACAAGGATATCGATGGAGAGAAAAAGAGATAGAGGTCGAGAGCGAGAAGAGGCCTTGAGATTATTGTTAGCTGGGAGAAGAGAGTTGAGTTCGGAACAAAGCTTCTTCATTTGGTTTCTCCTGTTTTTTTCTATGATCTTTCTTTCGATTCCTTTGGCTGAAGGATCTCGCTGCTGATTATCCATTGATCGATACGTACTTCTGATCGATATTCTAAGATTTGTTTCGACCAACTTGATTTAGTATTCAAGATTTTGGGAAGATGGTTTGGTAAATTATATATATTATTTAGCAATCACATACACAAAAGAGTGAGGTGAGTTAATTTCTACTCGAAACACGCAAGGAACTTGGGAGCCGAAGGATCATAATAATATGTCACTTATGACTATGATGTAGCATTCAGTTAAGCTAGACATAAAAAGACTAAATCTTTTGAAAATATTTTTTAGACTTAAATAGCAAACTTATATAATAAATATATAAAATAATAGTATATTATTATTATTATTTATTAAAATGTGAAATTTTGGATAAAATTTTAAATTAGATTAAAATTTTAAAAGTCTACATTAGACATTTAAGATCAAATTGTGCATAAAAAAAGTTTGTTGAATAAATTTATTAGGCTTATCTATAAAATATCATGTTAATAAAAAAGTATTTAATAGCTTATATAGTGATATATATTAAAATTAATGTAGTATATATTTTTTAAATATATAAAACTTTTTATTATATTTTTATAGTTGTTTAATTTTGATAAAATTTAACACCAACAATTAAAATAATAATGTATAATTTTAATTCACCAATTGAATAAACAAAGATTTGGTATATTAAAAAATTATCAAAAAATTTAATTTAGACTATTTTAAGTTGATTCCTTTTTTATTAAATATTTTAAATTATCAAAATAATATTAAAATAAATTATATATTTTTAATATGATAACTTTTAAATATATATATATATATATAGGGACAAGATCTTTTTATATTAGTATAAGTTTAAAAATTCTTACATTCAATTTGAATCTTTTATTTAATTTAAATTTAATAAATTATAATTTATTACTTTATTAATTATTATTTTTAAATTAAATAAAAAATTTAGACATATACGAAAAAGTTGAAATAATAAATATACTCGCGCTACCACTTGAAAAAGGAATGTGATTAACGTTGAAGAGAGACCAATCTGAAAACGTCACTTCGAACTTCGAGGTCGCGGCATTCATGAGGCTTGGCTTACGTTCCCCAGATGGGGAATGGGTTACGATAGGTTCTTCAAAAGCTTGCTAAACCCGAACTCACTTCCACACGTGTTAACATTTTGTGATCCTTTTTTATTATGGACAAAACAATATAATAACGATATTATAACAATTTTATATTGTTTTAGCAAAAATAAATTTATAAAAATTATTTATTATATAAAAATATTAAATATTTCTCAAAATAAAAACTATTAATTTTAATTACTTAAAATCAATTCTTACAAGTAATATTAATATTTTAAAAAATAGAAAAAATGTTTTGTTTGTAAAAATGAAAAAAATTGGACATGAAAATATTTGTTTGTAAAAATTTAAAAATAATTTTTGTAAAAAGTATTTTTTGGTAAAACTATAAAAAATTGGAGATAAAAAACATTTTTTTGTAAAACTATTTGTATGTAAAAATGAAAAAAAATTGTTTGTAAAAATATATTTTTTTATATATTAATATTACTTGTAAAAATTGATTTAGGTAATTAAAATTGATGAATTTTTATTAACAAATATTAAATTAAAATTATAAAAATATAATAAATAATTTTCTTTTATCACATTTTAATTGTTATAAAAATTTGATTTTTTTTTCTATAATGAAAAAGAGCGACAACATTAGATCCTAACACATGTCTAAAAGAATTACTAAGATGTGCAGAAGTGAAAACAGATTAAAGCATTAACCTTTAGCCATTGCAAAATTAGTTTGCAGTCACAGTATTTTAGTTTCTTAAATCCTCACTCACTCAAAACTTAATGGTGCGTTTTAAACTGAATAGAAGAGTGGATTCAGTGACTTTAAATAAATGAGAGTATAAAATATTTATAGGGCTCTATGCATCATAGAGCTCAATTGAAAAACTTAGCAGAAGTAACCTCTATATAAAAATAAAAATCGAATGTTGTTAATGGAAATATGAATCATGTTATATTCTTATTTTTATATTCCTTAAAGATAGAAACTAAAACTGAAATTGGTTGCTAACTATGTCGAGTGAGGCATATTAAAGAGAAGTCATTCAAAAGGACTAAGAAGATGACATTTAAAGAGTGGTACATTTTTGTCTAATATTTTATGTAAATTTTGTTGTAAATTTTATCCATTCTAAGAAATTATTTCTCTGATTAGGGATGGTAATGGATAAAGTACCCGATGGGCACCCGCAAAATTTATCCACAATGGGTAGGGTATTTACCCGTTATACGGATACGAGTATGGGTGTGGATAAAAATCCGTAAATTTTAATAGGGATGGGTGCAGGTATGGATATCTAAGTACCCACCCCGCCCCATACCCGCATATATATACTTGAACTTTATTCTACAATTATACATTAAATTTTTGTATTATTATATTACTTATGTGAAGTTATAAAAGATTAATATAAAAATATATTTAATAATAAAGTAAACCAAAAAATTTATTTTAGTTTATATTTTTAATAGAAAAATTTATTTACTATTTTATATTATTTAATTAGGCTAACACAATTTAATTATTACATAGTTAATATAAGATTGACTTTTTTTAAAATATTATTTATATATGATACACATAAAATATTTTTTACACAATATTTTTGTTAATAAAATCATATTGATGTTTAAATCATAAAGTGAATGATAAATAATAAATATATTAAAAATATTTTATAAATTTTACAATTACCTACTATTACCGTAAGCTTATTATTTATTAATAATATTTAAATTTTATTTTTATGTTTGAATTTAAAATAATAATTTTCTATGTAACATATGTATTACAAGCACAACTATAATATATTGAATCTAAATAATATTATTCTTACTATTTATTCACATTTAAAGAAGTTTTTGAAAAGATATAAATATAAAAAATTATTGTTAATTTTTATTTGTTAATTTTTTTAAGATAAAAAAGTATAATTTTTTTAATAGACACGTATATTTTTTTATTATAAAATTTTATTGTAACTATTTATCTTTTATTCAAATTCTTTTTTTTTAAATTTATATACATTATAAATATTTAATTCACTAAAATAATTTTTAAAAATTTATATTTTTGATAAAATACTTTCGTATAGTATATGAGTTAAAAAATACTATTATTAATATATATATATATATATATATTATATTATTTTAATTAAATCTATTATTTTTCTTACAATTTCAAATTCAAAAGTTAAAAAAAATATTTTATGTATCAACTCTCTTTTGTTAGTATTGAACTTCTCTACTCTAACTTTATTCTCATTCTCAATGTCTGTCTCACTAAAACTTAATAACTATGAAATGTTATTCATCAGAGTTAGTTGTTAATGTCGTCACAAAAGGTTACTAAGTGATCCCACACGAAGGGACAACCATTGTACAGATCTATTTCGTTGACGTTCTGACATTACCAACAATCAAATATCACACAAGATAGAATTATCACTGACAAATAATTTGTGTGTTTAGTTTTGCTTATTGTTTCTAAGAATTTTAGTTTAGAAAATTATTATATTAAGATACATTTAACATTTATGATCTTTGAATATTTGTTTTTTATCTATATTTGTACCTTGTTCGGCAATTACATATTAAATTTTTGTATTATTATGCTACTTATGTGAAGTTATATAAATATATTTTTTTTATAAATATTTTTTTCTCAAACAAGCGCGGGTAATGGGTACAAGACGGGTATGCGGTACCCAGAGGGTACGGGTACGAGGATTAATGTTCATACCCACGCGGGTATGGGGCCGGGTACGAGTATTTTTTTAAAACGCGGGTATGAGGATGAGTATTGTAGTACCCTACCCATACCCTACCCATTGCCATCCCTATCTCTGATTCAAAAAATTGTTTTAAAAATTTGCCTACTATGATTTGTTTTGAACTTGTACAGTGAGTCACGTTTCATTGCCGGCAACATTAAAGATTCAAACTTTGTCCGAAACTCTGTTTTATGAGAGCATGAAATTTTGAAAATAATAGTTTTTTGGTTCCATTACGTTTCGTAGAACTTTTTTTTATTTCTAATTAAATTATTGCTCAAATAATGAAATTCCTAGAAATGAGATATTTAAGAAAACTTATATTTAGTTGAGAGTTTTCTTATACTTTTTTAATAAAAATATTCTTATTATTTTGAAAATATTTAATAATTAAGGGAATATAAAGATATAAAAGTTAAAAAGATACAATTATTCTTTGATTAATGTTTGGAGAAAGGAAAAAATTTTTAAGTTACAAAAATCCTTACTAGACTTTTGTGGTAGAAAATAGAGTATGTCTTTTTGAGGAGAAACATACTTTGAAGACCAGCATAGATATATCTTTTGATTAAAATGAAAGAGAACCTTAAGTTCCTACACCTTGATGAGCATGGATCTGTGAAAATATTTGTCCTAAAATCTTGTTGAAGGAACTATTTTTTGACATGTTTTTATGAAGACTAACAAAAGAGCCTCATTTTTTGGTTGAAAAGAAGGCTATATTTTGAGGAGTTTTGATGGGTTGTAAAAAGAGTCTCATTCTTTACTAAAAAGAAGGCTACATTTCAAGATGTTTTGAAAGTTTTGAGAAGAGCCTTAAATTTTTAATTGTCTTTTGAGGAGTTCTGGAAATTTTCAAGTCTACCAGATAAGGTGAAACTCACTGATTTTTCTTAAAACTTGTCGAAAAAGGAGTTGAAAAGGGAAATTATTCTAAGTTCACAAGACAAAATGGAGTCACAGATTTTCTCTAAAACTTGTCAAAAAAGGAGTTGAGAAGGAAAATTATCATAAGTCCATAAGACAAATTAGAACTCACAGATTTTCTCTAAAACTTGTCGAGACAGAAATCAATAAGACAAATTATTCTAAGTTCAAGAGGCATGATGTGGTTCAAAAAGTGATATCGAAAGAATTACAAGGTTTAAAGCAATTTTCAAAGCGGCAGTTACTAGCGGTTACCGTTAGTTGAGTGTCAAAAACACGAAGAACTAATTGTGGACAACATGGGTGACAATAGTTACAGAGAAGTCACGATCACATGCATTGTCAGGAGCGGTTATGTATAATGAGTGGTAGCGGTTGAAGGCAAGTACATGCAAAAGCGGTTATCAAGAGACCCATGAAAGGAGGAGAGCGATTTAGATGCATTGCCTATAAATATTATAAAGCTTTACATTACGACAAATGACTTTTTGCACTACACACTTGCATTCAGATTCTTTGCACACTAAAATTCTGCATCGAGCCAGACACCAGTTACTAGAGAGTTCAGGCTCTTGTTGTTCTCTGCTTAGAGTCGTACATTTATTTCCAATTCATTTTACATTTTATTTTTGCAATTTTACTATTGTTTAGTATGTTTCTGTAAAACTTTTATATTTAATTATGTTCTACGTGATTATTATTATTATTATTATTATTATTATCTACTATTCTTGCTTCACTATATGCTTTGTGACGCAAATTTTCATTGTTACGTAAAAACACACTTAAAAAAATATTCAAGAAAACCTAAAATTCAGTTCCAGGTTGTTCTTTAATTTATTTATTTACCAGTTATGAATTTTCACTGTAAACAAATTGGAACGCCTAGTAGGACTTTATTTAGTGTGTTTTATGTCTCATTGAATAACTGCTTGTTTTAGTTCATGCTATTACGTAACGAACGTCGTATCATGGTTAATAGAGGAAGAAATGATAATTCTAGGAATGATACTTCAAGAAACCTAGCTAATGACAGCAATGCCAACCCAGAAATAGTAGCGGCAGTATTAATGCTGCCATAGAACTAGTACTAACGATGACATTACCAACACTATCATCCTCAATATTAAGCCAAATGATTAATATACTGAATAACCCAAATGTGAATTTAGGTTAAAGACTGATTGATTCATCTTATAGTTTATTTAGGTTTGTTCCACCATTTTTGGAGTACAAACATACTCCAATCTTGTGGTGACAACTGTGTCACCCAGAAGTCACACTATTATATCGAGATTGGGTGTGGTTGACAGAGTACAATGAATGCAATTTGTATTAGGAGCTTTGAGCGGTGATTTAATTCTTGCTAACTCTTTCTCAAACATTGCCTTGCAATCTATGAGGCATATGAGAGTAACCGCGAAATAGTCAACATGTTACGCCAATCAGATGACCACTGTAATTAACTCCATAATGAAAATAACTAATGCCAGTTATCAAATTTGTGCAAAATTCTAACTTTTTGGCAAATACAACACAACTTTCCTTGATTATCTTGAGTTTAGACCTCCATAAGTGACAATCTTTTTCAAAAAATGCATAGAACTATCAATGTTAAGTTTGAAATTGTGAATCTTAAGAGGACTCTAGCCAATAAAAACTCCATTCTTAGGAGATCTATGCATCAAGCTCCAAGTTTAATACAATTCACATAGTACTAAATTTTAAAATAAATGTCTTTTTTATTATAAGATTTTTTTTTATTATAACAGCAAATTAAATATTTCAACCATCAATTTCATTTAAATATTTGAAGACAAATTATAGCAAATCCAATTAAAAAATTTAGAATTAAAAAATTTACACCAATTATTTTAAAAAGTCAATTTATTTCAAATATTAACAACCACAAAGTAATTCTTCAAAATATACATAATAGATTCAATATTATCTTCACATATTAAAAAAAAATATCACAACCTTCCATGAGCTACTTTTTTCAAATCAAGACTACAAGGTGCTTTTTTATTTAAAGAATTTAAAATTAATTTTTATTTGTACTTTACAAGGAGAATTGGATATATATTTTGAATTTTAAAGTAATATTCTGTCAAATAACATTTTTATTACTTTTTTTAATAAAATTGAAATGTATGATAATTTCCGACTTTATAAGAAAAATTGCTTTTACTTGATTTATCTAAACATGCTTGATTAAACAGTGTTTTTTATGCCGTTTAATGTAATATAAAGAGAAAAACATTATTACATTCTTACATTTAATGCCAACTTAAAGCACCCTTTATCTTGAAGAAAGGGTATTTTTGTAACTGCATCTTCTAATTAGCATAGAATCTCTATAACAAAAAAATATATTTTAAAAACAATTTTTATATAAAAAATAGTCCAACCAAACTCCTTTCACAATTCAGATTTGATTTTAATATTAATGATTGTGATTAGAATATCAGAACTAATAGGGAGTTTTCATCATCCATAATTTGACCGAAAATGTTCTTCCTTAGCTTCCATTATATGTTAAATTGCAAAATCAAAACAGCCAAATTAATTCTTATTAATTCTCACAACAAACATTGACATAGCCATATATTTGATTCTATGGTATGAAAACTACACAAGCGTGGCAAAATTGTTAATAATCTCCAAACGCAACCTAGCAACGAACAGCACAGTGAAGGCTTGGAATATTTTCTACTAAATCATAGGTGAGCATAGAAGCCTTAGGTTTTTGTGATCGTGGAGAGTAAATTGCAGGAAGGGGCGCAGTTTTAGAACTATCAGTGATGCCAAGCCACTTAGCTTGCATGTACTTGTGTTTCCTCCAAGGTCCTATGTGCATTTTCTTCTCCTTCATGCATTTTTTAGCAGCCGAACACATAATCTTAATTATGACTCGTAACCCTTCTGCTTTTCCAACAAATACTTCGGGTAAACGGCTAATTAATTTGTTGTATTCTTCATTGGCACGTACCATCTCAAATTCGCCTCGAAAATTCAATTCAATTACCACTTTTACTTCTCTTTTACTGTTTGAGTTATCCATCACTTCCAGATAAGTATGCTCCCCTGAAATAATTTGATACAAAAGAAATTATTAAAAGCCAACTTGATCATTATTTTATAAATTCATTTTAAATCTTATTTGCTATCTCCTAGAGACATGCCCCACCTATGAGGATATGCCTGTTATCTTTAAAATTTAAATAATACTGCTTGTACGACACAAAGTCACAACTGCATGTATAAGTAATTGCAAGTAACATCATAAATGACTCATAGACGTTTTCGTACCTAAGAGTGGTGAAAGTGAAGGGTTGAAATAACAGTAGTGACTGGTGATTTGATTTATGTTGGTCCGAATAATAATTTGAAATAATCATGGAATTAATTATTTTTGTAATACTATACCCGATAACTGGATTTCCGATGAACTCCTCCATTTAGATATGCAAATGGCACAATTGTAGCCAAGATTCAACAAACGATCACATATTTCTCTTCTCATGCAATTCCGGCAGCTTTTAACAACCACCGTTGGGTGGCATATGCACTGCGTGTCTGATATATTCAATTCGCTTAGAGCCTCCTTTGTAGCTTCCCGAACTCTTGTCTCAATCGAGCTAGTCCTACGTAAAGTTACCTGTGAAAATGAAGAAAAAAATGAGTTTTCTTTACAACATGTATGTTTTCTTATATCATCTCTCCATTAGTTAATCACAAAACTATTGAAATATTAATAATATAATATATTATCTTTATTATTATTTATACATATTTCAAAAATATGTTTTAGAATTAAAGCAAATATTTTTTTTATAATTTGATTTTAATGGTTAAAAATTATTATTACTTGATTTTAATGGTTAATCAATTTATCGTAAATGGAATTAAATATGTTTTTAATCCTTTAAAATATACCAAGTTGATTTCGCAAAAAAGTAACACATAGTACAGAAATTAACATGTTACAGTATTTAATTTAACTGTAATTATTTATTAGTGCCTAAGAACAAAATCAAAAACTTTTTAAAATATTAAAACTAAAAAAAATAATTTTATGAAAACGAAAATCAAAATTTTATTTAGTTTGAAAGATCACATACATATTTAACCTTTATACATCAATTTTAGGAGAAAATTTTGGGGAGTAATTTCCTTTGTTGTGTATGAAATTGAACCTGGAGAAGTTGGTATTGTTCGTCCCAAAAAGCTTTATTTTTTTCCAGAGAGCAAAGACTTTCATCCTCCTCCACCAGGTTGTCGCCGTCATCATGGGAGTTGGATGATGAATTCTCCGGTAGGGCGTGAAAATCCTCCCAAAACCCAAAAACGGTATCGGAAAAGCTCAAGAAAACGTCGCCGTATTTGTCCATCTTGTTGAAGTTCGGGGCAGTAATGGCAATAACGGGGAATTCTGCGTCCATGGCTGCGTCCATTCCTCTGTCACATGTATTTGTGTGTGTGAGAGAGGGGGAAACTTTGTACTTCAATTTATATACAAAAATTAACAGGTTCTTGCCTGCGGGACCCGCTCTTCAAGGTGAACTGTAGAAATTGATTCTCATAAAACTTTCTAGAGCATGGCACCAGTCTTTCAATCAAATGGTCATAACCCCTAAAACTTTCAACTAATTTTGAATATTTTTCTCTATTTTTTTTTCTCTATTAATAATAAAATCTTTTATTATTTTAATTTTTTTCTTTCTGTTAATTGATTAATATTCTGGTTATAAACCCTAAAACTTTCAACTAATTTTGAATATTTTTCTCTATTTTTTCTTTATTAATAATACAGTTTTGTATTATTTTGATTTATATTTCTTTCTGTTAATTGATTAATATTATTTTTTTAAGTACATCCACTTCGAATAGAAAATATAAAAAAAATTTAAATTATAGTTTAATTGATTTAATAATTTTATGAATTATTTAACATTGCAATTTTATATATAGATAAAATTATGAATTTTTTCAAGATATACGAGATTAAAATTTTTTATATGGAGATACATTGTTCATCGATATCTATTCTAATAAGTCGTGTATTGAATTATTGTAATTGATGTTTGACGTTGAAGAGAGGAAATAAATCTTAAAAAAATGAGTTTTTATGATTCAATAAAAAATTAAATATATTTAAATATTTCTGTCATCTTATATTTTCTTAAAAAAAAATACTCACCCTATGAGAACAGTTCAAGTTATTTAAAAAAAAAAAAGAAATTTTAATGAAATTTAGCTCTAATCATCAAATGAAATTCAATTAATGAAAAAAGGTGTAAAAATTCTTAAAATTAATTTTTTATTTTTAGAAAGAATATAATTAATAACTTTAAATTTTATATCATTTCTTTCTTGTAACTTATAGTAGAGAAAAAGTTTTATGAAATTGATATCGGTCATTATTTCATATAAAATACGAGTCAACTAAATTAAAAAGTTTTGTTTTGTAATTATGATCCATTAGACATTGTTTTTTTTTTCTTCCTTAGAATTATTTTTACCATTCTAGATGGGGTATTGTGTCGAGATATCTTATCCAGAAAAGTAGATATTTTTAGAAAATATTTTAAATTAAAATTTTTTCTCCATTTGAACCAATTTATCTACTCTACTTCTTATATTTAAAGTTATTAGTGTATGTATTCTAATAATACTATTATTCCGTATTATTATGATAGAAGATTCAGATAAAGTATGCAATTTTTTGAAAATGAAAAATATTAATTCATTCTTTAAAATGATGCTTAATTATTCTCTAATATTTTTTTTAGTGTGTAGGTTTAAGTTCAGTAACATTAATATTTATATTTATTATCTTAAATGCATCTAAAAGTATAATTTATTAAAAAATTATAAAAAATATATGCATATAAATTTATAAAGAACATATTTAAATGAGAGAATCTTTTATGTGAAAGAATTGGAGAGATAAATATTGATTATTATATATAAAATATCAACCAAGATTAAAATATAAAATTCATATACTTTTTAAATAATCAAGTGAACTTATAATTTTGATATTCTAGCATGATTATGATTATATATAAAAGAAGGCTTTGTTGATCTCAAATTTTTTTGGAGAAAAGCTCACTAAGTATATTTTAAATATATAAATTCACACATATAGAATGAAATGTGACTAAGGGATGAAAACTGGATTTAAAACAAAAGATAACATAAAAAAAATTACACGTGATTGGCAGATTTGTATTCATTAAATTAATTTATGTTTGTGTTTGAATAATTATCTACAAACATTTGTATGGGGTGTAGGTGTATATAGGATATAAATGTGTTTGAATATGATATATAATTGGATTTGATATCGAACCTAATATGGACACTAAAAAAATTACTTGCAGTTGATTGAATTTTTTACTTATCGTATGTGTTTGAATGATTTGAAGCGAGTTTACCTTAAATTTATATATAAATTAAGATTTTCTCATACTAGTGTAAGTTTAAAAAATTTTATTTTTAATTTAAACTTTTTATTTAAAATAACTTAAATCTAACAGGTTATAATTTATTATTTCGATTACTGTTAAATTTAAGTTAAATAAAAAGTTCAGATTAAGTATAAAAATTTTTAGATTAGTAATAAATCCTAGTCAATCACGTACCGAGATACCAATTTTCTTTACTCTTGATTTCCTCATATTCCTGCTCTTGTCAGTGTTTTCTATGCCCAAAGCAACAAGTTTCTTTCTCTGGTTTAAACCTCACAAACTAGGGTTGTGAGAATTATCTCATCTCAAGTATCCTAGTTTTGACTTACCTGTACCTAAACCTTGTAAATAACTATTTATAAAATTGTTAGATATATATTTGTATACACACATTCCTTATGACACATACTCTGCCAATTAACGAATTAACTTAGATATTAAAGTGTTTTTATAGTTACCCCTATCTTCATCCCTTATTTTTAAGTTGGAACCTTAATTGTCATCGACCTGAAATGAATCCAGGAACCTTTCAAGTTTTACTTTGAACACATCGTACTTAAAACAATATAAACAATGATATATTTTATTTTGCCTTCATTCTATCAATAAAAAACATATATGTTTAAAAAAAGAAGTACTTTAAAGTTAGAGAGAAATAGAAGTGGCCAGTAATTTCTATTTCAATAAACATTTTATAATATTTTAATTTAGAGTAAAAAAATAACCCTATCTATACACACCTTTAAAATCTAATCAAATCAAGCACTAAAAGATTCGAGTTATCTTCTATTTAACATGTTCGTTTTTCCAGAATATGGAAGTCACAAAATCCAAAATGTTCCATGTTTGGTGAAAATCTCTCGGGTTTTGAGATAAGATCAAGTTTACTTTATTATAAAAGTAAAGATTAAAAAACAGGAAAAGTGCAAATGTAGGTGGAAATAAACTAGTGCTTGATAGCAAAAGTAAATCACATTCTTTTACCAGTTTCCTGTTAAGGAGACAAACACAAATTGACAGGCTCCACCAACTTGGCAAATACATTATAACTTTATAATTTAAAACTCCAAATATATAAAGCTATAGATAGGAAGAAATCACTTAGAGCAGTCTATAACACTATTATTTTAGTTATAGATAAAACAAAACGCTGGAGATTTATGAGGCTTTAGGATGTGTATTTCTGTTGATAAAATTTTAACTTAGTAGAAAGTAGAAGGATGTTTGATTGAAGGATCACCTAAAAATAGGACTCATCCCAAAATTCAAATTAAAAGGAAAAAAATTAAAATAGAAGAAAACTATGTATTTTTTTATGATACATTTACTTATTTTTATCGTTGACTCCTTAAACAATTGAAGTTATTCGACTAATGTACAATAAAGTAGCAGTCAATGAACTGTGAATACTAATTTTTAAATGAAATTTTTTTGTGAAATAATTGTTTCGTCGTACCAAATGATGTTTTTATATACCCTATATTTACTTTTAATTTAATATTAATTTAAACTTTGAAATTTTATAATAAAATATTTATTAACAATAATTACAATAGAAAAAATTACTAGTTTAGTCTAATCTAGGATATCCAATATAAAATCATAAGAAAATCAGCAAGGCGATATATATTTACATTAAAGGAGCTTCAAGAATAAAAAAAAAACAAAACAAAATAATGTATAACAGAATAAAATAATGTGTTCTATTTTCTTTGATTTAATATTTTAATGAAACCAAAATGTATCACTTATTTTAAATTTTACATATAATTAATATTAATTTTCCCTTTACCATTCTAATTTGTCTACAAAACGCTACCAATCATACATGCAAAAAATTAAAAGAATCTACAAGTGGGTGTATTTGGTTTGTATAGTTTGCAAATCAACCATACTTTGACCTAATAGGAAAGCGATTTCACTTTATCTTAAACCATAATTTCAGTCTCAAAATCATGTTTAATTGAACACAACTTAACCATAATGGTGCGAATATAGTCTTCGTGGATAAAACTTAATCTACACTCTTTGAATCATAATTTAAAATATGAAAATTACAATCCAAACATGCACTACATGTTCAGATATGTAACAAAATTGAACAGGTTAGGAATGTGTAGCAGGCACCATTTTACCAAACGTACTTAGGTTAAAAGAGGCTTAATTAATCGACCAACATAATTAATTCATCTTGAAAAGATATAATCTTAATAAAAAATATAAATATGGATTTCATTGTTCACTACAATTATTTAAATTAGAAAATAATCAATAAGTAAATAAACTGATCCGTCCAAAGTCTAAAGATGTCGCTGAATCAGCGCAACCATTATAAAATTAGTTATTTTTAGTGTAATAAGAAATTGGTTATTTTTCGAGAGCCAATTGAGTGCTTCACATTGAGCCAGCATAATTGAAATACTCATGTTAAACTTTGACCCCAAAAACAAATTCATGTTAAACGAATACAAAATTGACAGAAAAGAAATTGACTATTAAGCTGATCGATTGATTAATAAACAAATGGAAGCTTATAATATAGATCCAATGTTTCTTAATGGTACCAAGTACAATGTGTTATAAAAAGCAAAATTAAAATAATTCAATTTGCAGGCATACATCCACAGTATGTCATGGTCGATTTTATTAATGTTTACGTCATATTTTCCACTAAGTAATATTGCCAATATATGAGTGGAAGAGGTTATTGGTATCTAAACCATAAAATGATATAATAATAATGAAGGTCCAGCTTGGGGTAACAGATCATTGAAATCAATATCAGGATACACCCTACGATAAAAAAAATGCGGTGAGCGTGGATCGAACACGCGACCTTCAGATCTTCAGTCTGACGCTCTCCCAACTGAGCTATCCCCGCAGAAGAATGCACCAGCCGGGAATCGAACCCGGGTCTGTACCGTGGCAGGGTACTATTCTACCACTAGACCACTGGTGCTGATGTTTTAAATATGAGGGTGTATAATCTAATTCATTGAACAATGTTTTTTTATTTTTTTGCCAATTTTTTGGTTTCTAAGGCCTTAATTATTTAAACTCAGAATCCAAGTAAAATATATGGGCCGAATTAGTCTTCAAATGAGCCCAATCACATATATAATACCCTAAAACTCCAACGTTTTATTTTTGTACCAAAAAAATTACATGAAACAGTTATTATTTTTAAATTACATGATAATTAAATCTCTTTACCAATCATTTTTATATTAATACCAAATAAATATTTTTTATAGCTAAAATTTCACGCAATTTGTTTAAAACTGCAAAAACCTAAATCCGTTGATTTCAAATTTATGAACAGGGAATATATATATATATATATAAAAATTCTTTTTACATGCAAGAGGGCAATTCATTTGCTGATAACTTCAGCTAGGATGGGCTCTAGCTTGTGTGTTTTTCTGAAGTCTGGAACACCCTCCATGGAGCCATGTTTTGATTTTATTTTATGATTTTCATCAACTCTCCACTTATCTTGTAGCTAGTTTTATTTTACTTTTTTTCTTTCTTTTTAGAAAACTGTAAAGTGACAGCTATTTTCTGAAAAGTTATTTGAGCTTAAATTATATGTATGGCCAGGGGGAAAAGCTTACGTTTGTTAACAATTCTTTAAAAACAAAAACTACGTCAGGAAAATTATTAAGAATCGTGATCAAGTTATGACCACATGTAGTGCTATTGTTAGTTTTCATAAAATCCAAAATTTTTATATTAAATATTTGGTCATTATTATATCCAAAAACTCAAATCAATGAGCGGTGCCACTCAGATTCAGACATCAATTCAGCCTACGTTAAAGTGATAGTAGCTGAGCCAAAATCCAAATAATTTTTTCTGCATTCATTTTATCGTCCAATATATAAAATTTTCTTAAATTTTAAAAATAAAATAAAGGATAAAAGATAAAAATGAATCAGTGTGTAGAAAGGTGAGTGCAGGAGTATATTGGGGAGAAGCTATGGAGCATTGGGCTTGAGGGTTCCTTGGAAGCTTATATCATCATACGATAAGGATAATTTTTAAATTATATTTCAGTCCCTGCCCATTTCGTGGACAATCATTACAGCGTGGTTTTTTCCATTATATATTTTATAATAGTCATATTTCATATTTAAATAATTAGTTTTATAATAAAAGAACTTGTCAAGGTACTTTTTGTTGGTGCTGGTTATTGTATTGTTTATTTATTTTCTAATAATTTTTTTAAAAGAAAATTCTTAATATAACCGATGGACAAATTCACCGTGTATATCAATACTCAGGTAAAAGAAAAGTTATTGATATATATATATCTCCAATAAACAAATAATTTCTTCGTTGTTTTAATAATGGATTTTTTAAATTGTTTTAAAATAAATTAATACTATATTTATTTTTACTTTGGAAATAAATTCATTTTACACTAATTGAACCATTCAGTCTTTTCATAAAAGGTATGAAGTTCCTCCCGACAAATCTGTTGGTATTAAGTCTTAAAATTTGATTAATAACATGATGTGTTTTAAGGTTCAAATAACTTTACATAGATACGCATAAAATATAAATTTATTTTTTATTAAGTAAACTAACTTTCATTAGTTCTCACTCAAATATTTTTTATAATATTATTGTAATATTACTACAGAATTAATGAAAATTGATTTGAATGACACCTTAGAAATTTTATCCATGCAAATGCGCAATTAATGTCCACGAATATTTATCCTAATCTTGTTAATTTGTCATTCAATTATTAATCTAATTAGCTGACGTAACCGTTTAGTGATGTCACAAACCAATTTTATTCAGATAACAAAGCCTAAATCACGTTGACATGACCGAATAAATAAATAAATAAATTTAATCAAATATTAGTCAAATTATAAAATTAAAAAATCCATGGCCGTTGAAAACGTGAGAATCCTATAATTTCCAAGTTACGTTTTCTAATGAAATTCCGTTGTCATTCAAAGACAGGTCTTGCCACCCCAGGTTGAGTTGCTTTAAGGCAAATAATTATGTGTGTTGCTTCGTAACTTCTAAAAAGCAAATGTTCAAACACTTCATCATTTATCATTTTAAACAAAATAACAACAAATTTGAAGTTTGATTAATAACTTTTTCCTTCTTTGGGCTATATAAACGTTGAATTCAATCAATTATTTTCTCAAATAGTGGTTGAAATAATTAAAATTTTCCATGATTTGTTAATATATAACTAAACTATAATGAAAACTTTGAACCAAAATAGATCACCATTCTTCACTTCTTAAAAAATAAAGCCCCTTTAACTAATCCACTTACTATGTTTTTCTATCTTACTTCAAGGGTCGGTTATCGTTGGATCCTAGTCCTTAAAAAAACTAATTGAATCGTACACATTACTTCTTCTCATGTTCTCATTGGTTTATTTTTAGAAAATAATTGACTATTTTACTAGCAAAGACTATGTGGACGCGACTAATTTTCTTTTTCATATATTTATTTATTTTGTGAATGAAGGTTGCCACTGCTAAGTTTCCATTTTCCATAAAGTCAAACTCAGCTTTTTCTCTCGCCGCCAGCTACCAACTAGAGAGAGTTCTGGTAAATGGACGAGTCTAAATCTCACGAAAATTCAGCACAAGGTTCTATAGTTCGATGCAGCATCATTAATTAGGGTCAGACTAAGGAACCATATTCGCTTTCGTATTCATTCTAGTGTTGCAAACTATAATGTTTCCTCGTACTTTTTTCTTCATTCTTAACACAAATCTCGTTCTGAGTTCAGTGTCAGCAACTGAATTTGTTTATAACAGAAACTTCAACTCAACTAACGTAAAACTACATGGGAATGCCACCATTCAAAGTTCTATACTTACTCTTACAAATCAAACATTTTTCTCCATAGGTCGTGCTTTTTACCCTTATAGAATACCTATGAAACCACCCAACTCTTCTACCCTACTTCCCTTTGCAACCTCTTTTATCTTCTCCATTGCTCCGTGCAAGAACTTCCCTGTTGCTCATGGTTTTGCCTTTATTTTCTCTCCTGTGATGGCCATAAATGGAGAACTCTCGGGGAATTACTTGGGCCTTTTTAACCGCTCCACTTCAGGTAATGCTTCAAACCATGTTTTTGCTGTTGAGTTTGATGATTTTAGGAACGAAGAGTTCAATGAAGATAATGATAATCATGTGGGTGTGAACTTGAATTCAATGATTTCAATGTACTCTGAGCCTGCTGCGTTCTGGGGTGGGAAAGATGGTGAGGAATTGGAGAGTTTGAAACTGGCTAGTGGTCAAAACTATCAGGTTTGGATAGAGTTTGAAGATTCACAGATTAATGTTACTATGGCCCCAGCAGGGAAAAGGAAGCCTCATAGGCCTTTGATTAGTAAACCTATTAACCTTTCTTGGGTTTTGTTGGATGAAATGTATGTGGGGTTTTCTGGAGCAACAGGGAGAATGGTGGATATTTGTAGAATCTTGGCTTGGAGTTTTAGCAATTCTAACTTTTCAATTGGTGATGCTTTGAATACCAAACATTTGCCCATGTATATGCATCCAAGGGAATCGGTCTTTAGATCAAAAGGTGTCATTGTTGGTGTCATTTTTGGTGCACTTTTTGTCTGTGGTTGCTGCTGCACTTTGGTGTTTTTCTGTTTGTTTAGAACCAGAAGGGATGAGAAGCAGGAGAAATTTGAGGATTGGGAATTGGAGTATTGGCCTCACAGGATTAGCTATCAGGAGATTTGTGATGCAACAAGTGGATTTTCTGAAGAGAAAGTGATTGGGATTGGAACAAGTGGGAAAGTATACAAAGGAGTTCTGAAAGGAGTTGAGGTTGCAGTGAAGAGAATCAATCATGAGACTCAGCATGGAATGAGAGAGTTTCTGGCAGAGATTTCAAGCCTAGGAAGAATGAAACACAGAAATTTAGTTGGGTTCAGAGGTTGGAGTAAAAAGAAAGGAGGAAAATTGATACTGGTTTATGATTACATGGTGAATGAGAGCTTAGACAAAAGGATCTTTGAGTGTGCAGAGACCATGTTGCTAAGCTGGGAAGAAAGAATTAGAGTTTTGCAAAATGTTGCCTGTGGAATTTTATATCTACATGAGGGTTGGGAAGTTGAGGTCTTGCATAGGGATATCAAATCCTGTAATGTGCTACTTGACAAGGACATGAATGCTAGATTGGGGGATTTTGGGCTTGCAAGGCTGCATCATCAGGAACACGTGGCTGACACAACAAGAGTGATAGGGACTTTGGGGTACATGGCACCAGAACTAGTCCGAATTGGAAGGCCATCAACTGCAAGTGATGTGTTTAGTTTTGGAGTATTGATTTTAGAAGTTGTGTGTGGGAGAAGACCAATTATAGCAGATCAGCCACCATTGGTTGATTGGGTATTTTCCCTTATGGAGAAAGGGGAATTGAATTTTGCCACTGATGAGCGTTTAAAGGCTCAAAGTGGATATAATGCCGATGAAGCTGAGAGGCTACTTCATTTGGGTTTGTTATGTGCAAGTTTAGAGCCTAGTATTAGGCCAACAATGAGGCAAGTGGTGAAAGCATTGGAGGGAATAAAATGCACTGAGTGTAATGAAGAGTGCATCCATATGGGTCTGCTTGGAAAAATAAACTCAGCAGCATCATGGTCTAAGAGTTCTTCAAGTTCTGCCAATGCAAGTTATCCGACTTTTGATGAAATTTTGCAGACCAAGTTTTATTCTACAGCATCTTTAAGCATATCTTGCCCCAGCCCACAACCAGAGTCAGATTTTATCTCAGAAGGAAGGTGAGAGCTGAAATTGATTCAAACATTATGTTAATATTGAAATTGCAAAGAACCACGGATGCTGTTGTCAAGTTGCAAACATTTCCACTTGTAAAGTGCATGCACCTTTTGCTCCAAAAGTCTTGAGTTTCGCTAAAATAGTGATCATAAGTCTCTATCATTGCGGCTGCTAAAATTTGCATTAAATTGGGATGCTATTTTTTTCCTTATCTTTGCCATAATTTCAAATCTCTTTCTTTGGTGCTCCAGTTCTTTGTATACTGCTTATGTTCAGAGTTCTTTCTTGGACAAATCATTTATGCAACATAAAAATTAATATGATACGCGGTATCTTAATTTTCCTTCATTGCTTATTCTGAAAGAATGTTCTTTAACAATTTTAGAGATCCATTATATGAATAATTTTTTTTTGACATATATCTAATATCATATGTAATTATTATTTTTTTCTCTTTTGTTTATCCTTTTCTCATATACGCATCTTAAAAATACACCACAGTACAAATAAAATGGACAAATTTTATTTTCTCAATTTTGTGTTCAAGAAACATTTTCCTAATATTATTTATTTCACTATATTTTGATTCATTTCTATGAAGACAGCGTACAACGACTATTTGTAACTTTCATTTAAAGGGATATCCGTTTTCAACGACTAAGACCATCGGTTTGTAAGATTTTGAAGATATACGTGTGTAACAAAGAATTATGATCTAAGCTGTGCTAGTCATAAATAAGAAAAATGAAGCTTAGGGAACCCATTTCTGAAAAAAATTGATTTCCAATTTTTTTTATTCCATACTTTTATTTTATCTTCATTTTCTTTGCCTCTTTATTTTGCTCCAAAACAGAGCTCTATGACATGCTTGGAAAGCAAAACATAGAGAAGAAAAAATAGAGTTGAAAAATGACAAATATTTGACCTTGTATGTAAATATCTTACCACTTTCAACTCTTCATTTCGTTAGTTTTCCTTTCTAACTCTTACCAAACACACCTAAACATCACATGTATATCAGACAAATATCTAATGCTGCTTGGCGATTAATGATGCGTATTTCACCATCAGGTCTTTCTCCAGCGAAGTAAATGCAAATTGCCAGATCATGTTTGAATTGATAGGGTGACACCTGACATGCTAAATAATAAGGGTTATGCTAAATATTATTCTAAAGACCAATATTAGTTTAAAAAATCATTATAAATTCCATTGATGATATATTAAAAATCATAATAATAATAATAATAATATTTTTTTAAATAAAAGCTTTATAATTTTAATTTCTTAACCAATATTTTTAACGACGTTAATTAGCAAATGTCACATAACATTTATGTGTCGGCCAATATGTACTTTTCAAAGTAAATACTATTATCAATCGTTCACTTCTCCTTTTCCTTACTCTTATGAGATTGACAAGAGCTGAGGTATCATATGCTGCAACCGATCTCAAATTTGGCAAAGTTTCTCGTCCATTCTCAATCCTTTGCCATGTCTCCCGTTAAGTTTCTTGTCATTTGTCTTCACATTTTAACCATTTTGAGTTCAGTTTCCACTACTGAATTTGTCTATAACACAAACTTCAACTCCACAAACATCAATCTATATGGAAATGCCACTATTCAGAACTCTATTCTGACTCTCACTGATCAAAGTTTCTTCTCCATTGGTCGTGCTTTTTACCCTCATAAAATATCTACCAAACTACCCAACTCTTCTACCTTTCTCCCCTTTGCAACTTCCTTCATTTTCTCTGTTGGTCCTATCAAAAACTTTATTACTGGTCATGGCTTAGCCTTCGTGTTCACACCATCAAGAGGTGTAAATGGCACAACATCAGCTGAGTATCTTGGTCTTTTCAACCTCAGCAACGGAGGTACTCCTCAGAACCATGTTGTTGGAGTTGAGTTTGATACAGTTAGAAATGAAGAAGAATTCAATGATATAAATGACAATCATGTTGGTGTTGACATAAACTCACTTCATTCCTCAACTTCACATGAGGCTGGTTATTGGGGTGGAAAAGATAACAAGGAATTTAAGGTGTTGGAGATAAAAAATGGAGAAAACTATCAGGTATGGATTGAATATATGCATTCCCAGCTTAATGTTACTATGGCTGAGGCAGGGAAAAAGAAGCCTAGAGTGCCTCTTATCTGTAGTTATGTTAACCTTTCTGAGGTTCTTATGGATGAAACATACGTTGGATTCAGTGCAGCAACCGGGAGGATAGTAGACAGTGCTAAGATTCTTGCTTGGAGTTTTAGTAATTCAAATTTTTCAATCGCTGATGCTTTAGTGACAGAAAATTTGCCTTCATTTGTACATCATAAAGGGTGGTTTTCTAGAGCAAGAGCGATAGCTGTAGTGGTCACCAGTGTTTTTTGTGTGTTAATCATTGGTTGTGGTTATGCAGTGTTTTTCATCCACCACAAGGGAGACAAGGCAGAGGAAGAAATTGAAGACTGGGAACTTGAGTACTGGCCTCATAGGATTAGTTTCCATGAGATTGATGCAGCAATAAGGGGGTTCTCTGAAGAGAATGTGGTTGCTGTTGGAGGGAATGGGAAGGTATATAAAGGGGTTTTGCATGGAGTAGAAGTTGCTGTCAAGAGGATCCCACAAGAAAGAGAAGAAGGGATGAGAGAGTTTTTGGCTGAGGTTTCAAGCCTGGGCAGAATGAAACATAGAAACTTGGTAGGATTGAGAGGTTGGTGCAAAAAGGAAAAGGGATATTTAATTCTAGTTTATGACTTAATGCACAATGGAAGTTTAGACAAAAGGGTCTTTGAGTGTGAAGAGAAAATGATGCTAACTTGGGAAGAGAGGATTCAAGTTTTGAAAAATGTAGCCGCAGGGATTCTATACTTGCATGAGGGTTGGGAAGTTAAGGTTTTGCATAGAGACATCAAAGCAAGCAATGTTCTTCTTGACAAGAACATGACTGCTAGACTAGGAGATTTTGGATTAGCTTGTATGCATGAACATCGTGGACAAGTAGCCAGCACAACAAGAGTAATTGGAACAATAGGGTACATTGCTCCTGAAGTGATTCGAACAGGAACAGCATCAACTATGTCTGATGTGTTTGGTTTTGGAATATTGGTATTGGAAGTAATTTGTGGGAGAAGACCTATTGAAGAACACAAGCCAGGACTAATAGAATGGTTGGTGTCTCTAGTAGTGCAAGGCCAGTTGCACAGTGCTATTGATGGAAGGTTGAAGGCTAAAGGGGGATACACCATATTGGAAGCTGAGAGATTGCTTCATTTGGGTTTGTTGTGTTCAAATTCAGATCCTAGTATTAGACCAACAATGAGGCAAGTTGTGAAAATGCTGGAGGGGGATAAGGAAAGTGTTGAATCTGATGAAGAAAATATGGAAATGAGTCTGCTTGGAAGAATAAAATCAGCTGCAATGTGGTCTAGCACTGAATGCACTTCTCCATATAGTGGTCACCCTACTTTTGATGACATTAAAATGTTCAGTCTTAATTCTAGGACATCTGGAACTGGCTCAAGTACCATTCCAGGATCAGGATCACAATCAGAAAACAGGTAATGTTTTAGCCTCTTTCATTGCAGTTTTTTAGGTCATTCATCCTGTTGTAATGTAATTGTTGAAGGAAATACGTTAAAAAAAATCTGCATTCATGAATTCAACATAGAAATTATAACTAGTAAAGTTAAAGGAAACATGCATTCTATGAAGAACCAACGTCTAGCTAGCTTATTTGAGCTTGTACAGTACCCAAAGAAAGTAAGTCAAAAGTCCTATAAAATTTTCAAAACTCGTGCTTGGAAAACGTCCCAGGGAGGATTCCTGTGCTGAGAGTTTTTTTGAAATTTTTATGTTGTCACAAACGAGGATTCTTGCTGTAACAGTTATCAATTTGATTTTTTTTTTTCTTTTCATTTCATCTCATAAAAAATTAAAATAAGAAAAAACAAATAATCATTCATGTTAAGTGCCGTCATTTTTTTAAAACTGTCATCATTTTAACTGAAGGAGAACATAAAACCCAAATATATTTCACAAAATCTAAAGTAGCTTTGCTTGGAATTTGGGTAATATAATTTTCTAGATTTGATGTGGAGCTGCCCTCAAAGGTACGCAACTTCTTCGATTAGTCATTTTTCAGTCCCTCTTCTATTCACGGATTCGTATCAGAACTTAATCCAAATATGTTTAACTCTAGAATTTATTTTGTGTCCTCTTAAATTGAGGATGATAAATCTTGGAATTATATTTTTACAGTTCGGCATTAAAATTTAACCCAAAATTGTTACTCTGTGGAACAGCCATCAACCGGTTAAGGTATAAAAAACATACTTTTGGAACAGTTCGCTTTGGTATTTTCTCCAGGAAAACAAAAGGCGAGAATATAAAATTACATAATATGTTTGTAATCTTTTCACGAATTTATAAATTTTATAAGTCTATGTATAAATTTTTATTTTTTAAAAAAATTTGTAACTTTTTCTCTAAGTTTGATAATTTTAGGCAAAAATTATAAGATTAATTAAAAGGTTAAAAATTATTGATAAAGATTGCGAAGTTATATTTAAAAGAAAACATAAACTAAAAAACTCACATAAAAGAAAAGAGTTTACAATCTTATCGAGATAATATGATTTTTTTTTATATAAAATAAAAGAGAATCAAAGTAAACCCTAACTGTGAGATAAGTAAATTCGTCTATAAAAGCATCACTTCGAAAAGAAAACATTGTTGAAATGACAATGGTATCTGAAACGTCCCACTTGAGTTAGGGGCATTACCCCTGGTTTGATTTTTTTCCTTTGTAAGGGCATGAGGTTAGGGAGTTAATTCTAGTGAAATAATTTTTTACTTTAAAAATTTTCATGAAAACTAAACATTTTAAATAAATATTATGAATGTGTTTGCATGTATGTCTTAATTAAATATTAATTTAAAAATTATATAAGAACTCATGTCGTAAACTTAATTATAAAATTTATTAAAATAAATTTCAAAGAATTATTTAATAAATTATATAAAAATTATTGAAATTAATTAAAAAAATTAATTTATTTTCATAAATTATCTATAAACTCTTTTAAACACTACTTATAAGTTTTTTAATAATTTTTTGTGTCGGGTAATTATAAGTTTTATTTTCCTTCTCCCTATTCCCAAAATGTATAATGGGCCTCCATTTATCGGGCTATAGAAATATTATGGGCCACAAAAGTGCTATGGTTGAACTCTATTACCTTTTGGGCATATCATTGTTGATCACTGCACCTGAGATAGAGGAGGAGCAATCAGTTTCCACCTCATTTCCTCATATATAGGATAAGCATATCGTAGGAAATTCTGTATTATTCTATCTACTTATGGATAACTAACACCATAGATCACAAAAATTATTTATATTATCCTTCAATGTGTATCAAATTCAACCTGAAGAATTTAATCAAAGATCTACAGCTGAGTTTTCAGTCAGCCAAAAAAACAGAATTCAACTCCCTAGTTTAGATTCTTAACTCTACTTTCTCCCTCGGTTTCTTTAATCATATATCCACAATACACACAACTATCCTCGCTTGTGTTGTCTGGGCATCATTTTACTAAGGGTGTATCCCAGGTATGAAAATAAGTTAAGTAAATTTTGGTTTTACAAAGTGGAAGTTTATCTTAATTTCTGTTTATCATATATCCACTATATGCACGACTATCTTCACTTCCAATTTATTTTCTCTTTTACTCTGCTGAATGTCCATTGTCATCGTAGTTAGCAACAGCAAAACATCTCCAATAGAGTAGTACGAACTATTTGGCTACGCTTCACATTATCCTCACTGCAAAGAAATCTACAAGTTGAAGATTTGGGATCTTCAAAAAAGATATGCTGAAATTTGGAAAATGAAAAAATAAAACCACACTATCACCTAAACCTGGAGAGACAATGAACCGAAGCAGTAAACAACAGAGAATCAATTTCAGCTGTCGTTCTTACCATATAAACGACATGTGCTTTACTCCGTGAGCCCAAAAAACTGAAAAAGCGAATGAAACTCACCCGCTCTTTCAAGAGCGTGGAAGCACGCTCGACCACGTGTTATCAAATACCACGTGACGCAATAAGGAAGAATGTTTACTTCACGCGCGCGTGAAAATAAATCACCGACAATGTTGTCATAATATCTCCATTTTCATCGTCCCAAAAATGAAGGGAGCAGAGATAGCGTGGTAGCAGAGAGGTACCCAGATTCCAGAAAAGGACCAAAATGCGCAGAACAATGGAATAGTACAAAATAGTTTTAAACTTGGAAGAGAAAACAGGAAGCAAAACTAGATTGGTGGTTGGTACTGGGGTTCCGAGGTTGTCAACTTGTCATGTCAATGGCAAAAGTGGAAGAGGAACACACTTCAACGAATCACACACCTTCTCACGTGTTACTTCTTCAAATCATGAGCAAAAGGAGAACATGGGTATGCATTTTTGTGCTTTTTTATGGCTTGCTCTTCACATCTTCATGGACTTTCCTCAAGTCCATGATTTCATGGTACAATTTTCAAGCTCAGTCATCGAATTCTTGGTGGCCGGCAGTCTATGTTTCGGTGCTTCTTGGCACTGTTTTCGGGTTGCTTTCGATGGTTGCAGCTATAGCTGTGGTGGTTCCTGCGGTTCTGGTCACGTGGATCACCATCGTGGTGTTGTTGGCTTTTTTTGGGAAGCCTAAGAGGACTTTGGTTGTGGAGGGGGGACAGATTACGAGGGAAATTTTCAGTTTTATGATGAAGGTTTTGCTGAAAGAAGGGAATGTTGTGGCTGCTATTTGTGCTATTTTGGGGTATTTTGCTTTGGGGAGAACCAACGGTAAAGGTGTTGATTGAGCTGGGTGCTTGATTTTGTAGGATTTGGATAGATGGGTGGTTTGCAGATCTTGGTGGCTGTTGTGGTGATTTGAGTGTTTTGATCTCTTTTTTAGCATCTTTCTAGAAAGAGTGGGAATTAGATTGATTAGATAGGGAAAATTGTTAACTGCGGATCTGTATAGCTGCTTAACAATCTTCAATCCTAGTGCATGCACTCCGTGATTCATTAATTTTTCCAGCCTTTTTTTTTTCCTTGTCTTTTGCCTTCAAGATTAAATACTAATTCTTTAATTGTATGCCCCGGAAGTTGGTCTTCTTTGTCAGCAAATTGTCACTGATAAATCTGTAAATTTGATGCTTTGAGCTATATATATATATATATATATATCAATGGGCTGCACGAAGTTTAATATATCAATCTTGAAAAGTTATATAATAGAGTTTGTATCAAATGAAGGAAAAGGATAAAGAATAAATGATTCAGAAATAGTTCCTATTAAAGGTCAACTAGCGAAGTGATAGCTGTAATTTTCATTAAGAAAGCAAAATTGATCATAGAACTACTTCCAAATCACTCTATCATAGCTAACCACAATCTATCTGACCACTCATTCCCATGATCTCACCAATCATGCGATCAAACTACTCTGTCAGTTTAAAATGTCTGAACACTTCATGTTCCGAAGTTGCTTGCAGGGTTAATTAGCTAAATGGACATTGGGTAAATGTTAGTTTTGAAAGATATCTACCACTGAATTATTTTCTCCCATTTGAGTGACAACATCTGGTGAGGGGAATCCTCTAATCTTATTTGTAAAGAGAGGAACTTATTTATTCTTCTTGGACATAAAAACTTGTTTCAACTTTGAAGAGTCAGGACATCCATAAAAGGAAAAGTAGGAGATTTTGAGAGAAAATTAAATAATAAAACAACATTGAATTTGAAATTGGACACTTTTTTGTACATATTCTCTTCTGGTTTGATTGTTCTGCGAGCAAGACAGACCCGCAACTATATACATAACCAAAAGTCATAACAAAAAGGAATAAAAATATTTGTGTAGATTGTTTATTCAATAAAAAGTCAAGCATTTTAAAAAACTGCACATTGCACAAGTAGTTTTATTCTTTTGTTAAACACAGCTCAACATTGTGGATCTGGATTTGGTACAGTTAATAAATGGTGCATTTGGTGTAGTAATAATTCAGAACCGTTGGATTAAAATTCGAGGACTCGGATTTTCCTTCATTAAATCAGACATAAAAAGTAACCTCAAAGTATAAACCGTCTGATCTTTATCCAATGGCTCTCAGTTTTTGACTGGACCAAATGCATTCCTTTTTAACTGCATTAAATCCATTTCCCAACATTATACCTTAGTGAAGCAGGTAAACCTGAACATACGCTGCAGCTCCACCAACCCTTCTCTATGAAATTTCTTTCATGTGTTGATTGATGGTAACTATAGGATTGATTTGCGTTTATGAAAACAAGTGTATTGGAAGCCTTAAAAATACCCTGATTTAATAAACTATACAATTAGTCATTTTTCATTCTTTAATAAATTCTGACCATTTTCTGTACCCTAAAAAAAATTATGACCCTTTGGTTTTGAATTAAAATTACCTGGTATAGTTAGTTGGGTTGTTACATTAAATTGCTACAGTAATTTATTCAATTTTAGTAGGTGTATATATGAATATGAACACACACGAGTCTTGTAGGTATTAGGTAAGCACTTAAAAGAGGGCACTGGCACTCCGCATTCTACTCCTAAAATTAGAACAGTATTTTGTTCCTTCGACTAAGTTTCTTTGCTGCTTTAGAGATTGACTTAAAAATACCTGCAATGGTCAAACATCATCGCAATAGGCCAAACCAAGGGGATGGTGCACAAGCTGAATATTGTGGATACCCAAAGGGCAATGACCCTGTCAGGTAACATGTGGTGTGAGGTTGATTGCATCACGTTTGATATATAGAAAAATAATTTTTAATAAATAATACTAAATTATATTTTAAAATATATAATATTTTATCAATATACTAAATTTTATTATGTCTTATAATTTTTAATGAAAAATTCCTATAGTAAATTCTTATTATATACCTTTATACACATATTTAAAAAATGTTAGAAAAAAGAGAAGACCATTCCAGCTATGTACACTTCACTGATCAGAAAGACAGAAATAACACATAGTGGTTGAGACAAGCCACATCCCTATTGAAGTTGTCACCTTAGCCAGAAAGGAAAAGAAAAGAGAATCATTCTATACACTTGTTTTATTCATAGCAACAAGGCATCGCAACAGGCTGGTTGGACTGAGTGTGTTTAGGGTCAGATTTAATAGAAGCGGCGAAGAAGACAAACTCAATCCTATTCTTTTCTTTCATTTATTCATATTTTTTTAAAATAAATTGTATCAAGAATATTCTAATTCAAATAATATGTAAAAATTAAAAAATAAAAAAAATCATAAAAATTAAAAAAACAAAAATTATTGTTTTAATAAAACGTGTAATTTTAATTTTATTATTATTATTGAAATTGATTATCTATAATTATTATTATTATATTTTATACAATTATAACAAATGCGAGTGAGAGAATAAATCTTATAACTCATTTTTGTAGTTTGTGAAAGAGATTTACAACATTTTTGCAATTTTCGTCATATATGTAGTCGAGTAAACACTGGGAAGGACCATATCGAAATGAAAAGTCCCGCGTCGCTTACTTGAATTACTATAATGTAATTATATTTTATATACCTATTGAACTATTTCATTAATACAAGTGCATGAACCATGTCATCACAGTGAACATGCATGCAGGTTGATTCTATAAGAATGTGATTAATTTTCTAGCTTAAGCAAATGTCTATTAGAAAGAAAAAATAATTGAATCCTTCTTCTTTTGGTCACTGCAAAATGATTTCGAGCTCTAATTGTCTTTTTGACCGAAAAGACATTAACCAATACCATGTAGCATTAATACTTGCTTTGGAGTAATCTGATGTGCTTATGATGCAAAAGTGGCACCACGCATTCAATCTCAAACTCAATCATCCTACTGATAATAAATTGCACCTAAACAAGTGACAGAGATTGAGAATGATCCATGGCTTCCCATATAAGGTTTCTTTACAATAATGTTCCTTATCTATTAAAAACCTTGTGTTCCTTATCCTTGGTTGTCTATTTTTATTTTATTTTATGTTAAAAGGCAAGAACTTACGTTATGCTTTTGTAATTATTACAACCTAATCGTGATTTTAAAAGGATGAAAGTGAAGATTGATATAGGTTATTTTATATAATGGGATTTGTTTATTGAATAAGTTACTTGCTAACTTATACTGGTAACTATTAACACCTTTATTAGTTTGGTACTTGCTAACTTTAACAATATTCCAAATGAATAAAGAAAGTGATACGGGACCATGTTTAGGACCAATGGATGATTGGTTTGGTCACACGTGAAGGAGTGTGGTTTACTAACAATTAGGTTTCTCTATGTACAATTGATTGAATTTGTTGTTCACAAACTTTTTTAATTGTCATTAAAAGTCGAACTGTTTATATGTATAATTGTTCTAGTTAAAACATACTTTCCTTATTTCATCAAAGAAAACAAATCAATTAAGATTTTATGCAGAGCAGTGCTTCGATGCTTGTAGGAAACAATTTTTACAACAATATTCCATATGCAATGCAATTAGATGAATAAGAAAAGCCATAACTCATCTATCACATCAATTAAAATTTCTCTTGTTTTCCCTTGACGTTTAGTTAACACTTCAGATTATAAGAGGTATTTGAACAAAACCCGTGTTTGAAATTATTTATTTTGAAAAAATAGAAAAACATAAATACATTATACTAAACACAATATGTGAAAATAAAAACATCAACCTTGGAAGGTTATGATATAAAGTAAATAAAGCCATATTTTAATTCTTCAAATACTAAAGAATGATCACTTTAATTTTTTCTTTTATAAAAAACTTGACATTTTATAAAATTTAATAATGGAATGCAAAATTCATAAAATAAAAAATTGAAGTGACAAAAGCATGAATTAAAGCAATTTATGCTCATAATTTTGTGCAGTTTAATTTAAGAAATAGAATGAAGGTCTACAATTCATTTAATTCACACTTCAAAAAATTATTTTTATTTTTTAAATATATATTCTAATAAAGATTACAGTTGAATTTGATTTTAATATATATATCAATTGTATTGGATAATTCAAAATTATTTTCTTTTTAAAATTATCTATATTATTTGAAACAAATTTGGATTAGTTTTTATTGTATTTTTTATTAATTTTTTACTTGAACAATAAAACATTAATAATATATATAACATTACTTACAATTATTTTTTTATATACACATCTTTAAAATATTTTCGATAATCAAAAGACACTAAAAAAATAGATAAGAAGTAAGTAGAAAAAAATGTGATACTTGAATTAATAAAATAAAAAAAAATAATTTCTTACTGATTTAGATGAAAAAAAACATGATTCATATAAAAAATATTCTTAACAATAAAAATTGAAAATTTAATATAATATATTTTCTTAATTATGAATATTTTAAATTTTCAAAATAGTTTTATATTATTTTAAAATTACTCTTAGTAAAATTTAAATTTTGTAAAAAAAAATCATGGATTCTCTCCAGCAAAAGTTTTATTATTTTATATGGAAAATAAATAATAAATTTCACATCATTTTTATTTCATTTAGATAAAAAAAATAACAAAACACATAAACATATGATTCTTTTGCCTTTTCTATTCCTTAGACAAATATTCAAATAAGGTTAAAAAGTCATTTCAGCTATGACGTATACTCTAAAATTTTCTACCAATCAGTCAAAGCTTTTTGTGCACACTTTTTTCTTACGTGTCTTTTCCGTATTAGTTAAACGCTGTTTGAACTCTCGACAATCATTCCTAAAGGAACCATTGGAGCAAATCATGCTAATTATTATTTTACTTTGATGTTATGAATAATTAAAAGGAACTGTAAATAACTATAGAAGTGTGAAAAATCTGAGTCTCAAAAATATTAATTTACATATATTAAGACTCTCTGCCCATGTTAATAGGCAATAGTCCTGCCAAGATATTAAATGAGCAAATTTAATGATTTTAAAATTTGTGTAAAAGGAAACATGATTAAACACTAAATAAAAATTAAAAACTGAAGGTGTGAATAAACATACTTTTTTTGAGTTAGTATTCACACCCTAAACTTTGTGAATCTAAAAAATATTTAGTAACACTTTATTTAAACATATTTTATTATAAATTAAAATTTATTAAAAATTATATACATTTATCTAGTAATTCTTGCTTATATTTTTACAATCTTTAATAAAATTTAGCCCATAAAATAATAAATTCTTAACACTATTCATAGATCTAAAGCAAGCATTTAAAAATTGTGTCTATTGTGAATTTTAAATATTTATTATCACTTTTATTTATGTAAATTTTATTTAAATTTTATTTTTCCTTTTATGATCATATTAATGGTAGAAATATTTTAGACCAAAATTATTTAAATAGAGTAGCAATACATACTCCTACTTTTTAAATATATATTTTTATATGAAAAAATGATTAAATGTGTAAATATTACAAAAAATTAAATTCAAATATAATTAGTGGAATACGTTAAAGAAGCTTAGAACCATCACATTAATGGAGAATTAAGGCGCAATTAATACACTGAGGAATCTCGGAACCAAAAAAGATTAGTAATCACAAGGGAGCAATGAGAATTGATATTATTTTAATATTTTAATCTGCTGAGTTTATTTTATTGACTGCTAATAATGATATGGTAAATGCTTCAGCGTTACATGACATTGAATGCTGTTTGTCCTTAGGATGTTACTGATACCGAATAAAGGGAGAAGAACAGTGAGACATTACATGTTCCTTAACTCAGTTCAAACATTTCACCGCACACTCACTTCAATCATCTCTGTAAATTTGGACTATTTCAAAGAAGATAAACATGTGATTCTCTTTCATTGTCTTGCCTTCTATGGGGTTGAACTGCGACCATAACCATAACAATTCATCATTTCATGCACAGTAGTTATCTTCTGCTTAGGCTCACCCTATAAATTCCCTAATTACAGCAACTTAAAAAACCCACCAAAATTTCCTTATGCATTCCTTTTGGGTTCACTAAGGTTTTTTGGAGACTTTAAGTTTATACCTTTCAAGTCCATTCACACTGTTGTCAGTTCTAAGAGAGAGATCTAGACAGTTTAACCATTTGGGGTGCGAAGAACAATCAAACTCAATTCTGGGTGTGAGGTTCAGCAATCTTCATCAAGTGTCACTAAATTAGTGACCTTTTTGATCAAAGGGCCAAAAGGGTACTAGGGAACCTCCCCAATTTGTTGAATTTCTCCCCCAAAATAATGGTGGCAGGGAATGGAATCTTTTATCCCATTCTGGGTTTTGCTTCGTTTGTGGTTTTCATTTACATGTCTTTCGGAGGCTTAAGGTTCAGTTTTGATGAAGGACCAGAATTGGGTTTTGTGGAGAGAAACGGGACGCAGTTTATGTTGGAAGGAAAAGCATTCTACGTAAATGGGTGGAACTCTTACTGGTTAATGGTCCAATCCGTGGATGTTTATTCGAGATCCAAGGTTCGTGAAATGATGAAAACCGGAGCTAAGATGGGTCTCACTGTTTGTAGAACTTGGGCCTTCAATGATGGTGACTACAATGCCCTTCAAACTTCGCCTGGTCGCTTTGATGAACAAGCTTTCAAGGTAGTATTGTATGCAGCTTATGATCTTTGTGGTTTTGTAACATGTTACTCCTAGAAATTTGCTGATTGTGTCTTTGTGTGCCTTTTTTTTGAGTTACATGTCGGATACCGACATAAATTAGTTTAATGTTTTAGGTGTGCGCGTGTGGAGTGGTGATATGGTGAATTGTTTATTGTTTTATGTTTTTTGGGCTTTTCTTTTCCTTGATTTTTTTATTGCCTTCTCCGTTTTTGTTCTCTTTTTCCTGAAATTGTGTTTGACTGTTTGTGAGTGTATTTGTTGGTGTTAGCAAAACTGGGCATTGGCGCGTGGTTGTAATTGTATCATTGACCGTACTATGTAGCGTTTGTGGAAGGACTTATCTAGGGTTGTGATTGTTGTAAAATAGGATATACTTCTGTCCTTAGAGCTGAATATTATTGCTTAGTTAATGGAGATACCAGTTTTCCAAGGAAGTGATAGGATACATAAAAAAAATGGCATGCTATCTTTCTGTGTGTGGTCAGGATCTAAGTAGAATCAATTGGATGATCATCGTTTTTCTTATGCTGCTAAAAATTTGTTCATTAGCTAAATGATTCAACTGGAAATATGTTGGACTTGTCTTCCTCTTTTGCAGTCCTTGATCAACTAATCGCAAGGTGTTTCTGACTTCTGACAAAAATCAATTTATGAGAGACATGTCAAAATTGAAACTTTTTATTTTGCAAATCAATACAATCTTTTAAAATTATATGATGGTTGCCTTGGAGATGTATGTTTTACTGAATCTTCCCTTTATCTCATTACTTGTGATTTTTTTGGCTCATGTGGTAAGTAAGTTGTTTATTGTTTATGAATGAAAATGATGCTGAGGATTTGTGGGTGACTGGTGATAGGCCTTGGATTATGTCATAGCAGAAGCCAGGCAACATGGAATTAAGCTCCTCCTCAGCTTAGTGAATAACTTGCAAGCATATGGTGGGAAGAGTCAGTATGTCAAGTGGGCATGGCAAGAAGGGGTAGGGTTAAGCTCGTCCAACGATTCTTTCTTCTTTGATCCATCTATCCGTAGTTATTTCAAGAATTACATCAAGGTATGACATGTCTATCTTTTCTTTTCTTTTCTTTTTCCACTGCATCTTTTGTCTATGTTGGAGAGGCACTCTTATATATATATATATATATATATATATATATATATATATATATATAACAGCTTATTCTATAAACAAAAATGTCAAACAACTTATGCACACAGCAACAACTAAGAGCATGTTTATTTTTATTTTTAAAAAGAAAAAATTCTTTTTAAAAATGAAAACATACACATACTCATTTCCTTGACATCTTTTGGCATAAGCGAAGACCTTTAATTGTCGGCTGGCAACCTTATTGATAATACTTTTCAAACGATTCCTAAACTTACTAGGCCTAAATTTTCTTAGTTTTCTATGATTCGTGTCTTTAAGAATTATATACAGGTAGACAAAGAGAGTGTCTATTGCCACTGTTATTAAACAAATTAATAAATTTTTATTAATTGTTAGTTTGATTGACAAAGAAGAAAAATAATCTTTTAGATCAAAATTATTAGGAAAGAAGTGTCAATAGACACTCCTCTAGACAAGTAATTCTTGATATAAATATAATATAATGTAATAAAACTATTTGTGTCTCTTCACCGAACAGTTGAAGCTTTTGGAATTGTTAGTTCATGACATGGTATCAAACAAAGGGAGAGAAAGAGAGCCTGCGGGAGGGAATATGTCCAAAATATAATATGAAAGTAATAAAAGCATTTGTGCCTAACAGCTTAAACTTTTGGGATAGTTGGTTCTTGACAGTTTTCATAGTTGTATCTGCTGGCCAGACATTGTATTTGACATTTGAGTGGCATTCCTAATCCACTTTTTCTGAAAATTGAATCATGTTGACAAGCATTTGGAAGCTAACACTGCTGATGCTATTCCTATTTTATTGAAGTAATGTTGCGCCATTGTACTAATTAAATGTCTGATTTTTACACCCTATAAAGGCACAACTTTTTTTACTTTTTTAAATATGACAAATAAAGAAATAACCATATTTCTCAGGCTTCATTGGATGCCCTCTGCTTTCCGTTTGTTTTTGGTCTCATTGCTTTTTGTTTCCTTATGTATGCCAAATTCGAAACTTCTCTAGCCCAAGATCCATGACTTCATGTGAAACTTGTATCTCCTGCTTCCCTGGAACAAAACTACCTCTTCCTTTACCTGCTAAACTGTATGACTAGCATTTATTTTCTGTACTGAGCATTTCAATTTTACCTGCATGTTTAAAATCCTTGAAACTTTTATTAGATAAATTAATAATTTTCTTTGAATTTTTCTGCAGACTGTCTTGACAAGGAAAAATACTTTCAACGGAATTGAATATAGAAATGACCCCACCATTTTTGCTTGGGAATTGATTAATGAACCTCGTTGCATGTCTGATCCTTCAGGTGACACACTCCAAGTAAGTCCTTTACCAGTATCAAATCAATATTTCAAAATTTACAATAACGGTTGAATTTGATACGAAGGAAATACGCAAAATTTGACCATTGTTTTATACTCATTGTGACGCTCTAATTTTTAATTCCCTATTGGGAAACATATAAAAGAAAAAGAAAAGAAAAATTTGAAACCGTCTACCTCACTAAAAATGTAACAAAACATTTGCTTTTCTGTTTCATGTAAACTCATAGAAAAGAAAAATGGATAACTTAGTGCTTAAATCTCCTGCTATCGTGGAGTCTGGCCTATTATGGATCTACTAGAGGTAGCCTTATCTTGCATTGCAAGAGGCTGATTGCATGGCTTGGTCCTCCTAGTTACATAGAAAAAAGGGATAAGCGCATGTTCATTTCATTTGATTTAGATGTCTAAGTATACGTGTTACTTAATTGCATTAGAATTGCAGGGATGGATACAAGAAATGTCAACTTTTGTCAAATTGATTGACAAGAACCATCTGTTGACTGTGGGGCTCGAAGGTTTTTATGGTCCTAATGATCCAAAAAGTTCAACTGTCAACCCTGAGCTTTGGGCATCCAGACTTGGGTCTGATTTTATTCGGAACTCCAAACTATCAAATATCGATTTTGCCTCTGTTCATATCTATCCTGACCATTGGTAAGTCTCCTTTTTCTATGCCTTTAGTTTGGGTTTGCTTATTAACTCATAAGAAAGAGGAGCTAAGGAAGTGTTACATGAGTGCAACCTGCAGAAGGAAGGTTTCGAGGTTATCTAAAGAGATTTTCCTGTTTAAGTGATCAACAATTGCAACTAAAGTTCTTTAGAAATTTGCAATATGCCCTATAAAATCTGTCTTCTAATTGTAATTAGAACTACACATACAAAATTTGCTCGTGATGAATTCATATAGCTTGTTCTTTTGCACTGTCCTTAATTATTTAATTTTTTTTCATAGGTTTCATGACCAAGGATTTGAAGATCAACTGAAATTTGTGTCCAAGTGGATGCATTCCCACATTGAAGATGGCGACAAAGTATTGAAGAAACCTGTCTTGTTCTCTGAATATGGATTATCAGAAAAGAATCAGAATTTTTCATTGTCTGACCGAGAAAAAATGCATAGAACTGTTTTAGATATAATTTATAAATCTGCTAAAAAAAACAGGTCTGGAGCAGGTGCTTTAGTTTGGCAATTCTTAGTTGGGGGAATGAAGGAGTTTTCTGATGAATATGGGATGGTCCCATGGGAAAGTTCGTCAACCCCTTCTGTATTTATTGAACAATCATGCAGATTGGCCAATGCCAAGGGATGGACTCAACAAGATTTAAGTTTCAAAGAACATTGTTAACAAAAGAAAAGGTGGAATAGAAATATGGATAAGATATGGTTATTTGTTGGGCATTTAATGGCTGGTTCTTGTACAATACCTTCTGGTTTCAACTTTTCATCACCAAATATTGGAGTGGAGTGATTAGTTGAGTATACAATGTGGTAGCATGGATTAGAGATTCTTATATAACAAAGTATATTTAAATTGTCATACTGATAAACAAAATCTTCAATGAAACCTATGTAAATGAAGGAACAACTTTCTATGATGTGTAATTGAAATTACATTATCAAGTCCAATTTGCTCTGCTGGTTGTATGTGGAGAATCATCTAATCATTGCACATACATTAGTCATTTGATTTCATTCATGTGTCTCACTGAATGTTTCTGCACCTAAGCATGCACATTTGGAAGTGCACATAACCCAATTATAATAATTGAATACTCAATTTAGACCAACAAGCACAAAAACTAGAGTAATTCAAAATTTTTCAGAGACTAAAATAAAATGAAGTGCAATTGTAAAATTTATAAAAACAACAGCATATACCATAATAATTATATCAACGGGAAACAAAATGATATGTACATGCGCAGCAGAAGAAAACAAGTTCCCTCTTTCTTGTTCACAAATAAAGGTAGCGTCCAAAACCCTAAAATGAAAAATTAAAAAGAAAAAAAGACTTTGGAATGGCTAATTGGAACGACGCTTAGCGAATCTGGGTGAAGTTCTAACCCCATTGACAGAAACAGGGCTTTTCTCAGCTTCACTCTTGTTTCCTTTAGGGTTTGATTTCACCGCCTCTTCAACAACCTTTGCAGCTTCACCGTCTTGAACCGATTTTGGGCTCCGAGCCCTCAACGACGTCGTGTCAGAAACCTCGTTCTCCAAAGAAGCGACTCTGTCAAAATCATCGCCAAGCTTCTTCACCAAGCGCCTCCTCCGAACACCGCCACTCACAACCTTAACCTGTTCTTCCTCTTTCTCCTCGTCTTGCTCGATCAGAGCCATCAACCGCCTTCGCCGCTTCGTCGCAACCGGAGCAGGTGGTGGCGAAGGTGAGGCTGTTCTTTTAGAGCCGCGGAGATCCGAGTGGGCCGGGGGGAGTGGGCTTTGGGCCTGGGTCTTGGAGAGTTTTTCGCGCTGGGATCGGAGCCTGTCAACGTTGCCTTCAATTTTGCCTTGGAGGCGGAGGCGCTTGAAGCTGAGGCCGCCCATGGACCAGTGGGCTTCTTGGGCCCAAGACATTAGTGGGTCGGTGACGGAAACTGGAGGATCGACGCGGTGGTCGTTGAACTTGACGTCGGCGTAGATCCGAGGGCGAGGGAGGCTGGTGCCGTAGAACTTGCCGGGGCCAAGAGAGACAACCATTGTGAGTGAAATGGTAAAAGAGTGAATATGAGATGGGACGAGTTGGGATTAATGCTGATTGTGTTTGTTAAATAGGAATCACAAAGCTAAGAAAACATGGCGGGACTAGTTGGCGCTCCAATTGGGGCTGTGAAATTTTGGCGCCTTTTCGTTGTGGGCTTGGGCTTTTTGTTTGCTAGCTTTTACATTTTGTTTTTATCTAGACTAGCCCTTACATTGAGAAGCATTCAGGTTGAGACCAAAAGGTCTCACCCACACAAAAAAGAAAAAGTAAACTCATCAGGTCCATTTGTCTCAAATAATAATCCGGCACGAGATATTATGGGGAAATTGTTTTTACTATTTTTTTTTATTAATTGCGCCATTTTTATTACATCACTTTCGAAAATTTAATTTTAAAATATATTAAACACACTTCAAAAAATTAATTTATGAAGACATTTTTAGTACATTATCAAATCTTGGAAGTAATGAGAAAAATGGCACAAGTAGTTCAAAAGGTAATTTTTAAATATTTAGGATATGTTTAATTTTTATTTTTAAAACAGTTTTCTATTTTTAAAAATTAATTTTAATACAAATTTATACTGAAATTAATTTTCAAAAACAAAAAACTATTTTAAAATAAAAATCAAACATGCTCTTAACTTGTTACAGTACTCTTAAATTTGATAAGTTATTTTAAATCTTTGGTATTATTCTTTTACTATCTTATAAATTAAGGGTATTTAAATTTTTTAAAATAAATTACTAATTTCCCTGTTTATTAATATAAAATTAACGATCATAATTATAATACATATAAAAAAATATAAAATACCCTCTCATTAAATAATTTATCACAAACATATAGCTGTCTAAATTTTGAAACTATCTTGTTTCGTTTGGGGGCCGTTATTGCTGCTAAGCTTGCGGGTCTATTTGTCTTAAATAAAAAATAATAATATACTATTACTGTAAAAAAGTTTATGTTGGCGATTAGTTAGATAATACCCTAAGTATAAAATTTATGAAACAAAGGGAATTACTTCTTAAACTTTCTAGTTTCTACTGATTTTCTAGTTCAAATTGTTAAGTAGTAGCATAAGTAATTCCTGTGTTCGGCAAGTGATCCATTATGGTGAAGCCTTTGTGTCATGCTAATTTTTCATTAAGATATTTTACCATGTTATTCCCTAATTAATTTTTTTTGGTTCACTAATGCATGCTGTATATTCCTTCTAAGTGCTTGTCATCAGAATTTCAAATATAATATATTAATAGGCGCTAGTTGCTAACCTTCCTTTTGATCCTCTCTCCTTCTTGACCTTTCCTGTTGTTTTGCACTCAGCTCAAATCTATGCGTCAAAATGTTTTTTCTTTTTTATCGACGGAAAAAACCAAAAACGACTTTATGTTATTGTACAAAAACTTCCGTTAGGCCTTACATAATGGCTTGGGCTTTAGTAGGGATGGTCCTTGACCTGGTATTGTGGTTATACAACCTTATGATTTGTTGTGGTTTGTTTTCTTTTTCTTTTATTTTTGCATAAAAAAACGGTAGTCCCTTTAAATTTTATTGCATATATGGTTTAAAGGAATGCTAAATTGTGTTTACTGTTTAATATTGAAAATTTGTAGTTGGCTTTTAACAGTATATTGTACATTATTGTAATACTCTCAATGTTTATAAGTGTCATTAAACTTACGAATCTATGAAAATTAAAAAAAAAATACCCTTCTTAGTAGCAAAAAAAATTAAAATAAAAAATACCCCGCTTAATAAAGTGGTCGATCCTTCCCAATTCTAAACACAAGGCATCTCTATCTATGATGCGCTCAGCATTTGGTTCTAATGATTTTTATTTAATTATAATATTTAATTTAGGTTGTCTGTTATTTTATGAAATGGTTAGAAATGTTTTCTGTTTTCATTTTTTGTTGTTTTTAAAAATTTGTATAGGAAATACTAAAATTATAAAATAAAATTAAGGTGACAATTTTGTATTTATAAATAGAGACAAAATATAAAAAAAAAACATTTATACAAATCTAACAGGTTTCTAAATTTCTTTTCAAGTCAATTAAGCCTCTATTTTTAAATCTCAGCAAATTTAATGAATTCTTATATTAGAATCTGAATAATTACTCGTAAGTAAGAACCTTTTTAAAAGTTATATTCATCCTCACTAAATAACACAGTTTTTCTTACATTGAACATTTATTGATTTTTATTCATAATTGATATTCCTTTTAAATACAAATATCGAATTTTAAATCGTAATACACTATATTAAATTAAAGATATTTTTCTTTTCTGATGTCCAGAACCATACTAAAGCTCTAATTCTATTCTGCCCTTTTGTTGAGCACATATTCCCTTGAACGGTTAAACCAAACAACTACATTAATAGAGCGAAAGATAGTAACAAACAGCTGCTTTGATAGTATAAATACAAAAATTAAACCCAGGCATGATTACAATAAATAAATAAAAGGTTGCCATCAAAACACACAGACTAATAAGGCAGATATCTAGTAACCCGGTGGAATATAGCATCCTACTAGGCGACTTCTTCATGATATAACCCCATTCAAGCACAAGGTCATCTTTAACACACACAAAAAAAAAAAAAAAAAAAGCCAGCAGCACAAGCTCATCACAAATTGGTCACGAGCGTTTTCCACAACCACAAATGCGGAAAAATCGCGTTTGACCTAACCTGCAAATTACTGTTGCGTTCGCATTTCTTTCGATCTCGTTCCGTGCTTCGGTCCATCCAATAGCTTAGCAACACATAATATATACCATACAAAAGTTAGGAATAAACTTTACAGAATGAAGTGGGACATTTTGTGCATCCTGTAACAACAAAAGGTACAGATTCACGTTTATATAAGCTACTGCATAGGCACTGGTCTAAAACCTGAATTAATACTAGGAAGCTAAACAAAATCACAGATTCACATTGTCCTTTTCAATGAACACGGTAGAAGTTGCACATGCAGTACAAATTAATAATTACTAAACAGTCATCAGTAACAAAGGGTTGTTGCGATTTTAAAATAACATGTATTTCTTATTCTTCCTTATTTATTTTACTTCGTAACTGTTTTTTTCCCAAGCATGAAGGACACGGTCAAGGTCAACTTTAGATTCCATTTAATTAAATCACACTCGCAAAGCAGCACACATGGAATCCAACCATTCTAATTGCACCATGGCGAATAGGTTTTGTAAACTCCATGCTTATTACAGTAGAGACCTGCTATACAGTACGAAGGCATATTACAGTGGAGACCTGCTATACAGTAGGAATAATTACATAGGAATTGAGTACGAAACCATATGAATTCATTTGATTAGTGGAATAATTAATTTTTTTAAAGAAAAAGCTAAAAACTTGGCAGGAATCAAGGGTGCTAATAATTGTAACTGCTTTCATTTGTCTCATACTATTTATAATTTTCCATTGCAATAATTGTATTTCAGCTTATTAAAACAAGAAATTTTATCAAAAAGAGAAACCAAGAAAGGAGAATATAATCTTACAGAGACATTAAAATAAACCTAATATAAAACTAACTAGAAGAACCAAAACAGAAATTGAGGATGAGGAATCCTGCTAAAAGAATCAAAACAGAAGGCCTAATTAATCACATTCAGTTGGAAGATAATCTACTTGAGGCTAAAAATGGATTATGTTTCTAGTAACGGAAATATTAAGTCTATAAGCATTTGTGAAATTTAACCGTTTTACCTGGGAAAAGATTTTTTCAGGTCTGCGTGTCGGAAGGCTGTGTTTGACACAACTCAGCACTCAACATATGATGAAGAAGAGCATCCACCCTCTGGCTTCGGGTTTTTGTGCTGCAGCAAACCAATATTGTTAGAAGTATAAGACCACCATCAATATGCCTTTTACTAATATAAGCTTCTAGATTGAATTGATCTTTCACAGGGTATTAGAGCGTGATTTGGCCAGGAATTCAATCATTACCGTTTCAAATTAAATTAAATTTCAGCGTAAGGTATAATAGCCAAATGGCTTTTGTTTGAGACGGTATGTTAAGGACATAAAACTATTCATGCGCCTTCACCTAACAACTAGAAGCTTTTTAGGATGAGTTGGTCTTTGATAAGTATAACATAAGCAAATTATTGTGTGCCTGAAGAAACACATAAATGTTGGCATCAACAGAACTATTGCCAGCTATACATACCCAATAGATCTCCTTCGATATTTATCTCCTTCAACTTCCTACATATAGATGGAAAATACGGTTAAAACATCTTGTTAAAGCTACACATGTAAACTTTTCAATCTGTAATGTATTGTGTACTAATGGCATTAACAACGATCAAAAACTAACGGAACACCAATTAACTAATAAAATATAATACTGAACCCAGAAATCACACATAATACAGTAATGCACTTGGTGTCCAAAAGATGAAAGTCTCCTACAGAGTATTCTCTGCCCACAAACTGCAAATAACAACACACTTGCCTCACCCTTCTATCAGATATAATTCTAATACATTACTGCCATCAGTTGTTTACTATGAATATCAGCCACCATGCAGCTCCTAATACGGAGTTATTAATCCAGGATTAGTTATTTTCAATCACATATAATCCGAATAAAAATTGCCTCCAATGCATTGATAAGTCTTTCCTAACGCGCCTTTATCTCAGTTCCCATCAGAAACAGATCATGTACAAATCAAAAAGTAACTTTCACATTGAATAAGAGACTGTACAAAATTATCTTTGGAGCACTGAAAGTTTGAAATGTGGAATTTTACTTTAGAATCAAGCAATAAGCAGCTTCCAAGTAAGGGGAAAATTATTCCAGGTTCAAATTAATTTCAACGATACCCATTACCAGTAAAATTTAATAAAACTTCTCTCACACAGATCCATTGATAATAGGATAATAATTGTTGCATACAATGAAGCGTGTGGATAGTTACAGCTATTCAGAAAAGTTGCAGTGAGCTCAGTTTGTTATCATGTAGTTGACAATGAGTCTGTGAGCATGTTTAAGTACTACCATTACTCACAAGTATTGAAATTTTCATGGTCACAACCAACAATGATAAATAAATTTTCTATTTTACAGGAGTATTTTCCACTGATTTAAAACAATGTTAGTGACATTATTTGTCTCTACTAATTGAATATGAATCACTATACAAATTTGGTGCAATTTGAAAAATTTTATTTTCCAACTGATTGACACAGCATTTATTAATCAATTATTGAACACAGCTGCATGACAGACACAGCAACTTGAATTGCTTTTGGTTCTTGTTCAAAATTAAATTCAAACCTTGTCATTTCCTGCACAAGTTTCAGACGACTCAAGCTCCATTTCTGCGAAGAATGCCTCCAGGACAAAAGCAATAACCTGAAACACAGGAAAGACAGTCATTTCTAACTTACCAAACATAAACAATGTGTTAAGACTAAGACAGTACAATTTAGGCAATGGTATAAATTTCATTCTCTTTGATTGGTCATAAAAGTATTAACATGATTTCTTATAACTCTGTTTTCTATTAAATAAATATGGAACTTGTATTTAGTTGTAAAGATTTAGTTTGTGTGCATGTCCGTATGAGAAATATTGTGACTTTCCATTGTTTTCATTCCTGAAATATAATTTATATCCAACAACAATGCCAATGGAATTAAAGTAATTATCAGAAAAAATTATACCATACCAAATTCAAAAGCAGCAAAACAGTAATTAAGTAGAAGCTAATGAAGTACAAATAGGTCCAAGAAGTCCCAGTTAATTCCTTGTAGCTCTGAAATAGAAACCACAAAACCTATGCTGTAAGTGCATATTGACGTCATATTTTGACAATAGCATAAGCATAGATGAAGAGTAGGTATAACAATTTATCATGATCACTAATGGATGTGAAAAAAAAAAGTCCTATAATTTGACATTTCTCATATGCAGCTAGTACTTTATGCATATTGTAGATGCAATTTTGTTAATTTCAATATGCTTAAATATGATTTTGGTCGTTACATTTTACTGAATTTTTTGTTTTAGTCCCTTCAAATGATTTTTTTTTAAGTCCATACTTTTTTTAAAAAAATTGTTTGTAGTCCTTAACACTAACGTGGTCAACACTAAAACTGATACGTGACAGTATTTCAATGGACCAAATCAGCATTAGGGACTAAAAACAATTTTTTTTAAAAAAATGTAGGACTAAAACAAAAAAAATTGTTTCAAGGGACTCAAAACCAAAATTCGATAAAATGTGAGGACTAAAAATATATTTAACTCATTTTACTAACACCACGGCAAAAGACTTTGCTCCAAGTGTAACAAAGATGGGACCTGCCCATCAATTGAACACTCCAAATTGGGAGACCAATCACAGCCAATAAGAGGGAACTAACAGCAGATACACTGAGACCATATCATCGTTTCAAGCTATAAAAAAGGTCCAGCGTATGTTGCATAGAAGAAACTTATATATTAAACTTTTCTAGTTCAGCTTATATCAGTTTAATTTGTTTATAAGAAACCTTAGAACCTTAGAACAAAACACTATCTCCCTTATTTCAACAGGGAGAGGTTGGTCACTTGAAACTTCCTCTGAAAGTCTCAAACATTCTGGGATACTTCATATGAATACTCCTCTTACTTTTGTCATTATTCAAAAATAAAAACATAATCTGAGTACCATCAAATTATAATGTTCATTCATTGTTAACTACTTTCACTACAACAAGTCAGATATATTTTACTGCAATTGTGTTCTGGTGACAAAATCATAATCTTCATTGTCTGTTTGTCATGCAACCTAAGTTAAATGATGGCTTAAAAACAACTGGAATGATGAATTCAGATAGACTATTCTAAACATGTCAAGCATGCAACTGCATCATGCTTCACAAGTACTTTTGCTATCACATCAAGTTTCCTATATATATTGAGCTCTTTTACAAATAGCCCATCAAAGACTTTTGTCTGCAGATATATAACAATTTAATATATTAAACCTCCTAGTAAAAAAGTATACCAAAAGAGAAAATGGGGGCTACACTGCACCAGACCATCACAGGAGAAGTATCAGAGATGATGAGAATATTCACTACAAGAATAAGATAATTCCACATAGCAGAAAGAAGTGAGAAAGGAGTGAAATTTGGTTAAAGAGTGACTGAAAGAAGAGAGAGAGAGAGAGAGAGAGGTATGGAGTAGGAAGACTAGGAGGTAGTAGCCCCTCAATTTTTTATTTTTTTTCTCAAGTTTCCTTCTGAGAGTAGTCCTTGTATAAATCTCCTCTGAACTGACAACTCTTTCAGTATCAATGAAGGTGAGAAGAGTGCCTCAGTATACTCAATAATTCTATGTCTGATTTCCAGTTTCTATCATTATACATGCTATGCTGACCATAGGATTGCTCAAGTGACTTTTATCTATCCAAAGAGAAATTAAATTCAAATATTTGGCATAGATCTAAAAATTATTGTTATCGGATATAGAAATATATAACACATAACAATGGTGACAAGCCTGCAACAACTATTCAACTCATTACATTATCATTAACCAAAAGATTGCAGAGAAAGTTAAAAGAATTGGTTACAGCACACATACTGTCATCACTTCGTCCCATGTTGCTGTGACCAGAAAATTGAAAAGTGTCACCATTCCATTTGGGTAATCATTGAAATTGAAGAGCAAATAGCTATTTTCTGTCAAGAATGATACTCCAAGAACATTTACCGAGCAATAATTTCATTTCAGATGCTACATATATGCCAGTATTAAATTCAGACCTGTTGGTCAACCAAATCCTACCCTAAGAAAAAACGCCATTTCAATGAACTTAATGAAGTTACATGATCTTGAAAATTGTATGGGTTTGAATAGACATAATTATTACTGGATCAAACCAATCACAACACTCCTAAATAAGCAGTTATATAGATGATCAAAGGATACTCATTTTCAGCAAGATCTGTGCCTTCCAATTCAGGGTTTCCAGCATTAACGATTCCACCAAAAATCTACTAGTACAAAGATAAAAGAGAAGTAATTTTGATGATCGTAAAAAGAATTAGAAAGAATAATAGGATCATTTTAACTAGTAAATCCATGTAGAAAATGACCAACCACTACAAGCATTTCACTCACCTGTACACCAAGTGAGCAATAAATACACAAGACACAAAATATGATTCCAAGGTATGGCATCAAACTTGGTATGAGAGTCAAGAATGTTGCCACAAAGGCTCGGTATCTCTTGACATACATTAGGATCCTTATCAATCTCAACATTCTTGCAAGAAGAAGGTAACGAATCCTGTAAGGGGACAGGAAAAGCAATAGCATCTTCAAATAAATACTACTGAGTTAGGAAAAACATTATTGGCACAATTTCCCATCATCAAATCAATATACTATCTTTCAGACATGTTAGGAAAGTAAATGGGTCCTGTATCAATTATTTTTCATTCTAGATTTAACCAGAACTACTACATCTTGCTTTGAAAATGAAACTTGATCTGGCACATCAAAATACTTATATTAGCATCTATTACATTTACACAAACCATTACTAGCCTTTTGTCCTTTTAGGAAAGCATAAATCATCATTATAATCACAATCTACAAACAGGAAATTAATAGTAAAGTTGGATCAATAATGAGACAAAGGAAGAAATAAGTTTGGCAATGAAGGATGGATTGGATCACAATAAAGGTTGGGCACTAAGGATTACTGTTATGAATAGTTAGAATAGACGTATTAGGATTAGGGTTTATTTTAGTATTATAATAACGGGCTTGACCCAGTAAAGTTACATATGTATCCTTATAAATATAAGAGTCTCTACACATTGTAGAGTATTCAATTTCAGTACATTAATTTGTCTCTCTCTCTATGCTCTTTCTCTCTTAATCTCTACATGGTATCAAGAGCCTTCTAGGTTCTTTCCTTGGTCGTCACCACCGTTGCCGCCACCATCACAGCAGCTTCAGAAAAGCCCAACCATAGCTGCTGTGGGGATGGAAAATTTTTCCAATGACTAGAATATGCAATAATTCAACGTTTCCAATTTGAGTGCAGCGTTACAATGTCTGAACGTGATAGCTAGGATGTGCAAGAGGCACAACACAAGGGGGCTGTTACAGAGATTGTATCTCTATCCAAACTTACCGACGTTAAGCTGGATGGAGATGGTACGAACTATATAGAGTGGAAGTATTTGGTTGAGATTAACTTAGGTGGAATGGGAAAGGATAATCATTTGACTGAAACAGCATCTGTCAATTCTAAGGATATTGACACATGGAAGATACACGACAAAAAGATTCTTGCGTTGCTAGTAAACTCTGTTGATAGACCAAAAAGTATTTGGTTGAGATTACCCATTGCAAAACCGTGAAGGAGTTGTGGAATTTTTTGCAATTTATTTTTGAAAAATCTAATAATTTGAATCGGTTATATGTTCTCATGCAGGAAGTTTATCGACCCAAACAAAATAAGCGAAAGCTAATGGATTATTTTTTGGAGTTTAAGAAGCATACTGAGAAAATACAATCTCTTTTAGCCTACAAAACTATTGATGAGATGATAGCACAACAAAAGAAACTTATGGCTTTAAGCTGGCTCTCTGGACTTGATCCAGAATATGAGCTAGTTCGGTCTCAAATTCTATCAAATAAGTAGGTTGATAATCTTATTGATGTCTTCTCCACAGTTATGCAGTCTTCCTTTGAGGAGCTCAAGAGCACTATAAAAAATGAGTCTCCTAACCAGTCTGTCTTGACAGTCCAATACGGTCACTATGGTGGTCATAATGGTGGAAGACGTGATAGAGGTAGTCGTGGCAGTCCAATACGGTCACTGTGGTGGTCATAATGGTGGAAGACGTGATAGAGGTAGTCGTGGCCGTGGGCGTAGTGGAGGTCGTGGTATGGTATAGTGCTACAACTGTGGAGAATTTGACCATTATCCGAATCAGTGCACTCATCTTCCGCATAATTAGTCGTTTTTTCACTCACAAGATAATTCTCGCTTCGCTAACTCGGTTTCTCAACCTGATACAGCTACTCAGGAGAAAGAAGGACGTACTGTGCGTATGAGTGATGAGGAATTTTTTCAGTATACTTAGTTTCAGATTTTTCAACAGCCGTCTACATCTTCTACAGCCACTTTGGTCCAAAAAGGTAATTTTATTGCATGTCTTCCCCCTTCTTCCAGGCGTTGGTTAATTGATTCTGGCGCTAATAATCATATGACTGGAGATTCAGGTATCCTTTCCTCTTTTGTCTACCCAGTTCTTATTCTTCTGTAACACTCGCTGATAGTTTTACTGTTCATATTAAGGACAACAGATGTACCACCCCAGTTTTAATCTTACCTTTATCCTCTGTTTTATATTTGCCTCAATTCCCCTTAAATTTATTGTCCATTAGTCAAATCACTTCATCATTAAATTGCTCAGTAACATTCTTTTTTGATTCTTGTATTTTTTAAGATCTAGTGACACTGAGGATTATTGGTAGAGATAGGATATCTAATGGGCTCTATCTATTGGAAAAAGGACTTCCGCAAGCTTCTATTGTCTCTAGGAATGAAACAATATCTCCTTTCCAACTTCATTGCTGTCTAAGTCATCCGCCTTCAAGAGTTCTTAAAAAATTATGTCCTAATATAGATTAGTTTGCTAAACATCATCGTAATGTTTATTTACCTCGTTTAAATAAAAGGGCTCATGCCCCATTTGAAATTGTTCATTCTGATGTTTGGGGCCCTTACCCAGTTACTTTTGAATCTAGTTTTAAATATTGTATTACTTTTGTAGATGATTATTCTCATGCAACATGATTATTTTTTATGAAATCTAGATCTGAAGTCTTTTCTATATTTTATAATTTCTCTGTTGAAATTAATACTCAATTTAATACTTATGTGCGTATTCTTGAGTGATAATGCTAAAGAATATTTGTCTGCATCTATCACTAATTTTATGAATAAACATGACATACTTCATTAGTCTTCTTGTATTATTACTCCACAACAAAATAGAGTAGCTGAACGTAAAAATCGTTATCTTATGGAGGTAGCCTATGCTTTATTGTTTGAAATGAAAGTTCTTAAACCTTTTTAGGTTGATACTGTTCTTACTGCTGCATATTTAACTAATCGCATGCCATCATCTGTGTTACATGGTGAGATTCTCCACTCTATACTTTTTCCATCACAATCTCTCTTTTCTTTACCTCCTAAAGTTTTTTGCTGCACTTGTTTTGTATTTGATATTCGTTCTCAGGTAACTAAACTTGATCCAAAGTCCCTCAAATGTGTGTTTTGGGGTTATTCTCGGTCACAAAAAGGTTACCATTTTTTTTCTCCTGATCTTGGTTGTTATCTTATTTTCTCTGATTTGTCTTTCTTTAAAGGACTTCCATTCTTTAAGTCCTCATCTTTTGAGTCTATGTATGAGGTAGATAAACTCTTCTTGACTTATACTCTTGTCCAATCTACACATCCTGTTGCACCTTTGACTCTTATTGATACAAGTTTCAAGTTCTTTGAGTGGACATATTCTCGCCGGCCAAAACAGCTTTCAGATGATGTGTCCCCTGTGACTAATGATATTCAAGATGATACTCAACTTCGACCATTATCTCCTCAAGTGTCAATAGATTCTATATCTGACCTTAACCTTCCTATTGCTATCCGAAAAGGTAAAAGATCTTGTACATATCTTATTTCATCTTATATGGCGTTAGCCTATTTATCCTCTACATCTAAATCCTTTATGACTGGTGTAGACTCTCTCTCTGTTCCTAAGACCCTTGCAGACGCCCTCAGTTATGATGATTGGAGACATGCTATGGAGGAAGAAATGTTGGCTCTTGAGACGAATGTTAATTGGGATTTGGTTCTTCTTTCCGAGGACAAACAAGCTATTGGTTGTAAGCATGGTAGTCAAAATCAGGAGTTGAATCGTAAAATCGTAAGATTTTACGATTTGGGTCAGCCAAACGATGCAAATCGGAGCGAAAATCGGGAGAGAGTGGAATCGCAGTGAAATCGCGATTTGAACCGTAAAATCGGTTAAATCCCGATTTGATTTCGATTCAGTAAATTGCGGGTCGGTGCAGATTTTGACCCAAAATTTTTATAACCGAGCCCAACCCAATTTTTTAACCCGAGCCCAACCTAATGTTTTATTTAGGCGCAAAAGAAACCCCCCGATACTAAATCCCTCTTTTTTCTTCAGCGAACCCCAGCTAATCCCAGCGAACCCAAAGCGACAACTTCTTCTTCTTCCTCGTGGTGCTTCATTTTTTCTCTGCGATCTCTCTGGTTTTGTCTGTCGGTCTGCGCCACTTCTACTTGGTTGCTATTTTCTTCTCATATTTCTTTGTTTTCATCATGGAACCCTAAACTCAAGGGGACAAGCTGACAACGACTTGCTAGTTTCTTCTTCCTCCTCTATTTTTTTTTTTCATCTTGTCTGAGAACGGCATAAAAAATGGCTGGTGGTCAAACCTCAAGTGGTGGCTTTTCTGGGTCACTCCCAACTGCAACCGACAGCTCCACTGCTATGGGCTCTTCAAGCGTGCCTCAACGATTGGTTCCCCGAAATGCCCGTGGAAACAAGGCTGATGTGGGATGGAAGTATGGAATTTCAGTTCAAGGAACTGTGAAGATTCAATGCAAATTCTGCCAAAAGGTATTCAATGGAGGGGTTTATCGCCTAAAACACCACTTGGCTAAAACAAATCAAAATGTTGAAGCTTGCAAATTTGTTCCTGATGATGTGAATAAAGAGATGATGGAGATTATTACTTCCTTGATGAAAAAAACAGCTAACAGAAATGGCTCTTTGGAAATTGGTGAAAAGAGAAAAGCCATTGAATGTGATGAAATTGAGAGTGCTGGGATCGGACAGCTTTGCAAGAAAAGGGGTGTAGGTTCACAGGCCACAATAAACAGCATATTCAAGAAGGGTATAAGAGAGGATGCATGTCAAGCAATTGCAAGATTTTTCTACAACAATGCCATAGCTTTCAATGTGGCAAGAAGTGAAGAATTTCCTGCCATGTGTGAGTTAATTGCACAACATGGTTCAGGATTTAAGCCACCCTCTTATCATGAGATTAGAGTGAAGTATTTGAAGCAAGAAGTGCAGATGACAATGGAAGTTATTGAAGAACATAAAACTGTTTGGAAGAGTGTTGGCTGCACAATAATGACAGATGGGTGGACTGATAAAAGGAGAAGAACCATTCTGAATTTCTTAGTGAACAGCCCGAAAGATACAGTGTTTTTGAAGTCAATTGATGCTTCCCACATCACCAAAACAGCTGATAAAATATTTATGATGCTTGATGAAGTTGTGGAAGAGATTGGTGAGGAAAACGTAGTGCAAATTGTAACTGATAATGCAGCAAATTATAAAGCTGCTGGGGAGATGTTAATGGAGAAAAGGAAGAATTTATACTGGACTCCTTGTGCTGCACATTGCATTGATTTAATGCTTGAAGATTTTGAGAAAAAAATACCCCTCCATGAGGAAACAATTCCAAAGGGCAGAAAAATTACAACTTATATTTATTCAAGGACTTCTCTCATTTTATTATTACAACGCTTTACAAAAGCAAAAGACTTGGTGAGACCAGGTATCACTCGATTTGCCACTTCATATTTAACTTTGGGATGCCTTCATGAGAACAAAGGAGCTCTTTTAAGAATGTTCTCGTGTGAAGAATGGAAGTCCAGTAAGTTTTCTAGGACAAGAGAGGGAAATTTGGTAGAGGAAGTTGTTTTGGACAATGGGTTTTGGAAGAATGTTCTAATTTGTTTAAAGGGTGCATATCCTTTAATTAAAGTCCTTCGTTTGGTTGATTCAGATGAGAAGCCAGCCATGGGCTTTGTTTATGAGGCAATGGACCAAGCTAAAGAGGCTATCAATATAGCTTTTAATGGTGTCAAGAAAAGGTAATTGATTATCTATCAAATTTAGATAATCCCTAAAATTTAGTAGTCTTTTATTCATTTTTAAAAGATTAACTTATTTTATTTATTTTTTAGTTACATGCCTCTATGGAATATCATTGATAATAGATGGGACAAACAACTTCATAGGCCTTTACATGCTGCTGGCTATTTTCTCAACCCACAGTTACATTATAGTCCTGGATTTAAAATTGATCTTGAAGTTAAACGAGGACTGTATGATTGTATGGTAAGGATGGTGCCCGATATTGAGGAACAGGCCAAAATTGATGTTCAAATTGATGATTTCAAGAAACAGCAAATGTTTTTCGGTAGTCCCTTAGCTAGAGCAACACTTCTGAAAAAGAATCCAACTGATTGGTGGGAGTCATATGGAGATGAACATCCAGAGCTTCAAAAGTTTGCCATTCGTGTATTAAGTTTAACATGTAGTTCCTCTGGATGTGAACGTAATTGGAGTGCATTTGAGATGGTAAGATTTTTAGTAAAGTTGTTTTCAATTATCTACATTCTACAAGCTTACATATTGCTTATACATATTTTAATGTGTTTAGGTCCATACTAAAAGGAGAAATCGTTTGAAGCAAAAGACAATGAATGATGTTGTCTTTGTTATGGCTAATTCAAAATTAGTAAAAAAAAAGCAACTTAGGAGAGCTCGTGAGTTAGATCTTGATGATGTTTCATCTGATGATGAGTGGATTGCAGAAAATGATGTTGGAGATATTGAAGGGTTGGATTTGGATGCACACAATTTGGACTTGGATGGAGATGAGACCTTAGCCCAAAACCAAGATGGAAACAATGTTGTTGAGAATGATGTTGATATGCTAAATTTGGATAATGAAGTTGATGGAGATGAAGATGAATACAATATGGTGGATCTTTATGATTTTAATGTGGCACAATTGTTAAATTAGACATCTTAGAATATTACTAGTTTGTAGTTTTTATGCTATTTTGGTGTTTGTGCTTTGTAATTTACCAAAAACATGGTGATTTGGATATTTTGGGTTGTTAATTTGTTACATTATGGATTATGCTTGATAGCTTTCTTATGGAATACAGATTATTTGAGTACTTTTAGTGATTTAATATATATTTTTTAATTTCAGCTATTTTATATGCAGAATATAAACTTATATTCATGTATATATAATTTTTGTAAAATCTTACGATTCGATTTACGATTTTACGATTTACGATTTTTACTTCCCTTAACGATTTGAAGTAAAATCCCGATTTTAACTACCTTGGTTGTAAGTGAATTTACACTGTGAAAGTTAATCCGGATGGTTCTATGGCTTGTTTGAAGGCACGCCTTGTTACAAAAAAGTATGCCCAAACTTACGGTGTTAACTACACTGATACGTTCTCTCCAGTTGCTAAACTTTTATCTGTTTGCATCTTCATCTCTCTTGCAGCTATGCATTATTGGCCATTATTCCAGTTAGATGTCAATAATGTATTCTTACATGGAGACTTACAGGAGGAGGTGTACATCAAACAATCACCTGGCTTTGTTGCTCAGAGGTAGTGTGGAAGAGTATGTCGTTTAAAGAAGTCATTATATGGCTTGAAACAATCACCTAGAGCATAGTTTGGGAGATTTTGTGACGTGATTATGGAATTTAAATTTGTGAAGATTAAGAGTGATCATACAGTGTTTTACAAACAGACTAACCACAGTTATATTTTACTTGTTTATGTTGATGATATTGTTATTATAAGTAGTGACAAAGAAGAAATCAACAACTTAAAAAAATTTCTTCAAACCAAGTTACAGGCAAAAGACTTAGAAATTCTGAAATACTTCTTGAGTATTGAAGTAATGTACTCCAAGTAAGGAATCTTCCTTTCACAAAAAAAATATGTTTTAGACTAATTGACTGAGACCAGACTAATAAGAGCTAAAACCATGTGAGACACCTATGGAGCCAAGAGTGAAACTGACAGCAGATAGAGTTCCTTTTGCAGATCCACAGAAATACAGAAGATTAGTAGGCAAGCTAAATTACTTAACTGTCACAAGGCCAGATATTGCTTTTCCAGTGAGTGTTGTTAGCCAGTTTATGTCATCTCCGACGAATACTCACTAGGAAGCATTAATCCCCATTGTGAAGTATTTGAAGAAAGTACTAGTAAAAGAAATTGTGTACAAGGATCATGGACATGCATAGATAGAGGCGTTTTCTAATGCTGATTGGGCAGGATCTATGGACAGAAAATCTACTACTAGATACTGTGTATTCTTGGAAGATAATTCAATTTCGTGGAAAAGTAAGAAGCAGAATGTTGTTTCGAGATCAAGTGTGGAATCAGAATACAGGGCGATGGCTCAGACTGCTTGTGAGTTAATATGGTTGAAACATATACTAGAAGAGATAGGATTTGATAGCGCTAAGCCTATGCAACTTTGGGGTGACAACCAAGCAGCGATACACATTGCCTCAAATCTAATTTTTTAAGAACGGACAAAACATATTGAGATAGATTGTCACTTTATTTGAGAAAAAGTTCAACAGAAGCTTATATCCATCTTTCATGTTAGGACAAGTGACCAACTAGCAGATGTGTTTACAAAAGCTTTAAATGGAACACGTAACAATTATATTTGTAACAAGCTGGACATGATTAATATCTATGCTCCAGCTTGAGAGGGAGTATTATGAATAATTAGAATAGACGTATTAGAATTAGTGTTTATTTTAGTATTATAATAACGGGTTTAGTCCAGTAGAGTTACATATGTATCCTTATAAATATAAGGGTCTCTACATATTGTAGAGTATCCAATTCCAGCATACTAATCTGTCTCTCTCTCTATGCTCTTTCTCTCTTAATCTCTACAATTACTAAGTAATTAAGTCAAGAAAAGGTCTTAAAGCTTAAAAGATTGAAAAAGGCCCGTTGAGCACCTTATTGCTATGTCATCATAGATCCAAAATGGATTGACTTTGAAATCATAATTGTTCTAGTGAATAACTAAAGAAAATAGATTAAATGAAAAAATAGAATTGATAGATGGGAAATGACAACAAAACACAATATAAACATCTTTCAAAATTTCACTATTTCTGTTTTATGATAGTAAGTTTCTTTATATGTGTTTATAGAAAGAGGAGGACTCAATGATTATTCATTCATCACAACCAGAAGTTAAAATTTTGATAGGTAGGAATCCCATAAAAACAACTTTTGAGAAATGGACAAAACCAACTCATTTCTCAAGGACAATAGCTAAGAGACCTGAAACTACTAGGGTAGACACAGCAGAACCAAAAAGAGATGCTGTCTAAAATTCAACTTTATATGTTTTATATGATAATAATAGAGAAGTAGTTTAAAGCTTCAATTGATGGAAAGGTGCATACTTATGGATAATATTAAAATCTCTCTGAACATTTTCACATCAATAATAATTCAATATCTAAGCTGATATGAAAATAGATCTTTGATGTACTTGAAGGTATTTGATAAAATAAGAGAGAATTTGGAATATCTTATGAAGACTTCTGAAAATGAGGAATAAATGTTATAAGTTACTTTCAACTTATTTCAATAAGTTTTTTTTTTTATTTATAATTTATTAGAATAAACACGTTTTAACTTACTTTAAGAAATTTTATAGTCAATTTTTTACAGGATGAAGTTCCATATAAAAAGAACTTATTGAATAATACTTAATTAAGTTCCAGATTAGATAAACTTATCATAGGTACTTATAACAGAAAACAATTAAGTAGTAAAATAAATCTAACTCTCTCTACAAGTTAAAATCAACTTACATTTTTTATTTTTTTTAAAAATTCATTTAATTTATCTAAAATTTAAGTAGTATAAGTTGTTTTACCTTACGAGAGAAATGTCATTATTTTTTATATTAATTTTTTTATTTTTATATTAATTTTTTCTTTTATAAGAATTCATCTATAAACTGATACAAATTGAGCGTAAGTAGCATCCCTGTACCCTACCAAAATGTGTAACATTAAGCATTATGTTTCATGCAGTAATCTGGAATAAACCCAAAAAAGAAGTATGAAACAGATGAACGATTTATAGTAAATGTCTGTACCATTCTCCATTTGAGAAAAAAGCCATACTGTCAGGTACAATAAAAGTTACAGTTTCTCCAATGACTGCAAAATTTAGAATTATAAGTCAGATCATCATAACATAGCCTTAAAAACTGGCTTTTCCACATACAAATTCAGGGCCTAAAATGATTGCAATATAAATAAACACATAACAGCAGATTCTAGACACCTAACATTATAATGACAACCAAACCTTTTTCCATTAAGTGGAATTAGCTATATGGATTAATCAACATTCAACACCATAATGTTCTATCATAAATCATGTCTATAGACAAACTATTGACCTCAAATTTCTTCTTAGTGGTTTTGCCCTAAAATTTTCTACTCTCCAACTATGGCTTCTTCAGTTCTTCTCCATTCATGCCTAAACCATATCTAAGGTGAGATTCTACCACTTTTTTCTACCTTAGGTGCTATCCCAACTTACTCTTTAATGTGTTCACTCTTAATCCTTTTTGTCTAGTATCTCTATTCATCCAATTTAACATTCTAATTTTTGCTATATCATGTTTCTTCTCTTGTTGACGCTTTACCACTCAACATTCAATATCATACAACAACATCACAGCCACAGGTCCTATAGCTGAGAGCTAAAATTTCCCTTGACATTGAGGAATACCTTTTTGTCTCACACAGTACTCGAAGTACTCACCCAAATGTTGTTTAAGAACAAGAAATAACAAGCAGAAGAAAATGGTTACCAATTGTCACTGTGATAATAAAATCAAAGCGATTTTGACCATCCCGCCAATAGTTCGCAAATCCGTATGCATAAACCTTTAGAATCATTTCTATTACGTATATCCACCCTGAAAAACAGCAAGGAATAATCAACTGCGAGTGTAAAACTATAATTAAAAACTCTAGAATTCTGTGCATTAAAATAACATATTGCACCAAGTAAGAATAGAGCAGACAACTGATTCTCACGATTTTATTTCACACAGTAAACTAGCACTGAAATGTCAAACAATCGAGCTGTAAACTAAAATCCCAAGCCACGATTATTTTGTTCATACAACCACAATAGCACATATCATGTAGAAGTGGAAAAAAAAATTATCGGCCAATGCTAATTCATCTAAAGATGCATTATCATAAGAAAATATTTGAGTAAGCAAAAGAAATGAGATTCACATAGTTTAGCAAATTCTTTTTACAAATTTAAAGATCAGCAAGCAAAGAAGTAACAAATACTCAACACTTCCCTAAATTAGTTAATTATGATATACAAAAATTGACCAAAGAAATTTAGGGAGACGAAGAAAATAAATTGATGGACAAACAATTGTATATATGACATGATATCATAATTGCTAGCTTATAGTTATATTGGTTTATTAAATTTTTCTAAAAAAAAATTATGTTGTAAAAAATTGCTACAAAGTAATGGAAAATTGATCTGGGATCTTCCTCGGCCTTTTTTTTTATTTTACGAGAGATAGAGAGATGATGTATGAGGTTTACTTCTTCACATTGTTAATCTCTGTAGATTATTTGATTACTACTGTGACTTAAAAGATTAACATAAGATATTATTTAAATTAGTTAGAGAGATGATATATCTAGTTTTGTGGGTAATTTGACATTGGGATGCTCATTTGTGCTATAAAAGGATGTTTCACCTCTAAATACCTAGAGAACTTGTTAACTAGGATCTATATTAGTCACCACTCTTCACATGTCCTCTTTCCGTCAGCACTTCAGAAACCATATCTCTTATCTACCCCCTTTACATTTAATCCTAATTTTTCTCAGCTTGTCTCACATATTTAATGTTTAAATAAATAATAATATAAAAACCCAACCCACAATCATTGGGCATGTCAAACCTGTTAAAATGAGTTATTTACTATCAATCAACGAAATCTGGGATTCTTCATTTTCTGGTCTTTCTTAACTCTTATGTGATTTGAAAAAAAGTTGTGCAAAATATATGGAAGATTCTAGCTCTAAATCATCTCTTGGTCCTAATATAAAAATCCCAAATATTTGAAATGGTACATTTTTTTTATATTTAAAAAACTGCATATGAAAATCGTGAAGTATAGAAACTTGGTCAGGAGAGTTTCAATGCTCAATTCAAGCCATGGTCAAGATTTTGAGCTCAAAGAATCATCATTAACTCCATTAAACCAAGCAACATCTTTTACAGTAGTAAAAAGAATTTAACCTGCAAGATCAAGAGAAAGCAAGGATATACACTTTTTGGATGTCCTTACCAAAAATGAACTCAACCACTTGCCACACCTTTTGACCAGAATTGTTTGCTATATCAAGCTGCAATTGTGAGTTAATGCAAAATTATCAACATGTGGATACATGTCTTTCTGAACCAGTAACAACATGCATAAGCTAGGAGTAACAAGATGATGGTTTCACACATGCGTGCGCACACACACATGCAAGCACCAACCACAAATTATAATAATCATTCTTTGCTATAGAAAATAAATATCATGCTTCAAATCATAAGACAAAAGTGTATTTTTGTATATCCATCCATCAAGAGTGCCATTATGTTTGGTAAACATACTTTGACAACATTTTGAAAATCTACTCAAGCCATCAATTCTTTAGTTTGCAAAATCCATATTTGCTACTATTGAGAATATATCACAATTACTAGTATTTATTGTAAATATTTATTGTCATTATCTCTGTAATTATTTTTCATTATCTTTATGATTATTAGGAGATACTATAGGATATCTATGATATTCTCTCATGCAAATATATATAAATTGTAATGTATTTCATATATAAAAGAATTAAAAAATTTCAAGTTAGTATCAGAGACTTCAATTACGGGGTATTTGTTTCCACACGCCAAAACCTAAGCTGCTTTCATCACGACACCCAAAACTTAGTAGTCATCTTTATTACAGTGTACATCTGCACTTTCATTGTGCTTAGGTCCTCTTTTTCTCTCTGTCTCAGCTGCTGAAAGCCCCTGCTACTGTCCTCACTATTGCCACTGCTGGACCACCAATCAACTCTAGTGACCATACCATCTGAAGCACACAGCCAAGACCAGCAAGACCCCAGAGTTTCATCCCCAACAGAGCTGTCACCCTTCAGATGGTATGATCACTGTTTGCCTCGCCGCAAATGTCGTTTTATTCATCAAAACCTTCTCTATTGATTAGGACCCTTTTCTGCCCAAGGTGCAAACATTTAGAAGATCATTCCTTCAAATGCTACTTGTTCTCTAATAAAACATACTTTTTTTTTCTACCATGGGTGAACAGAAGAACTTTGCTGCTCTCATTAAAACAGAATTAGAACGCCTGCAAGAGCCCTTATCGACACTTCCTTGAGTAAGTCCTTAGACACTTGCTCTCTTGTCATGACTAGTAAGAATTCCAGTTTTTCATTTTTAATACTTCATGTTCTATACCAGAGGATATTTGGATAATCAACTCTGGTGCTTTTGATCATATGACTCCTGATTTTTTATTTTTTTTCACTTCTCATTCCACTTTATCAGGTACAAATCACATTACAATTGTAAATGGTTTACAAATTCCCATTCTTAAGTGTGATAATATCCAACTCACCAACTCATTTCCATTAAAAGATGTTTTTCATATTCTTAAGCTCTCCAATAATTTTATCTTCATTCATAAACTCACTTGTGATTTAAATTGTGCAATAACTTTATCTCATTATATTTTTCATGATCTTGCCTCACAGAAGACCAATAGAGTTGCTAAGGAATGGGGGGAGTTATAATGCTTTCTTCAATCAATGATAAATGATGTTCAAGACAATGTTTGAAGAAGGGATGTCAATTCTTGTAATCAATCTTTTTTTGAATATGTCTCCTCTCAAATTTGGCTTCAATATAGGCATTTAGGTAATCTACCTTTTAGTTTATTTTAGGAGTATGTTTCCTTCTTTGTTTTTGAAAGAGTTAGTTGATTCTTTTCAATGTGATGTCCATTAGTTTGTTAAATATAATTGTGTTACTTTTTCAAATAATTTTAATAACACTAATGCACCTTTCAATCTTATCCACTTTGATGTGTGGGGACAGAATCCTATTGCTAATATTTTTTGTACTTTATGGTTTGTATCGTTTATTGATAACTACACACATTACTACTTAGATTTATTTAATAAAAGATAAAATTGAAGGGATTTAGTTGTTTGGGAAATTTTATCACCTAGTTCAAACACAATTTGAACAAGCAATTAAATGTTTATAGACAAATAATGGGTGAGAATATATAAACCCAAAATTGTCTCAACTTCTACAAAAAAAAGTGTTTATGAGTTGATGTGTATAAATACCCCTTAACAAAATGAAGTTGCAGAAAAAAAAAATTGACATCTTTTGAAAGTTACCAGAGCTTTACTATCTCATATGACAATACTGAAATCATATTGAGCAGAAGCAATTTTAACAAATACTTATTTAATCAATACATTGCTCAGTTGCACTTTTTATGGTTCTACTCCTATCTAGTTAATGTCTACTTGTCATTATTTTGTTCTTATTATAGATAGCCTTCAGATTCATGTCTTTGGTTGTACTATCTTTATTTATATTCACAATCAATGTTGTGACAAGTTGGATATTTGGGTTGTTAAATGTATTTTTATAGGGTATACTTCAATTAAAAAGAGTTATAAATGTTATCACCCTTCAACTTGTCAAGTTTACACCTTTATGAATGTCACTTTTAATGAAACAAAGTCATTTTATTCTCATTCTCAGCTTCAGGAGGAGAATCTATAGGAAGCTGAGTCTATTAATTCTCATGAGTCTTTGTCATTCCTTCTTTCTAAACCTTGTCATTTGCCGGAATTGTCTTCTTTTTCCTTTGACTCAAGAAAATAAAAAGTGACTTAGGGTATGTTTGTTTTCCATTTTTAAAAGAGTTTTCAATTTTTTTTTTCTAAATATAGTATAAATTTATGCTATATTTAGAAAAAAAAATTGAAAACTCTTTTTAAAAGAGAAATCAAGCATACCCTTAGTGTCAATGAAAGCAAACACACCTACCTTGATCGGTAAAAGGCCAAATTAATTGCAAATAGATACACTCAGACTTATAGAATTGATTATGGGAAGACATTTGCACTAGCAACAAAAATGAATACCATAAGAATTATCCTTTCTTGCATAAAGACTTAGATGAAGAAGTGTATAGGGATATTCTGGATATGGTACCATTGATGGTGGAAACAAGAATGTGCAAATTGAATAACACTCAATATGAGCTTAAGAGCAATCTCCTCGTGCTTAGTTTGAGAGATTTCCTCAGGCTATAGTATTCTTAGTATCCAGACAAGAGGTGATCATACTATTTTAATAAAACTCACAAGATGGTAAATAAATATTGTGGATGATATGATCATTGCAAGTGTTGATAAGATTGAAAAACAAAGCCTGAAGGAGAAATTAGTTGTTCAATTTGAGATGAAGGATCTAAAAAAACTGAAATACTTCCTGAAAATTGAGATGCCTGACTCAAAACAAAAAAAAATTCTCTCAAAGCAAATATATTCTAAATCTTCTCAAAAAGACTGAAAAACACCTACTAAAGTACCTATAGAATAGAAGTACCAAATAGGAGAGGGAGAGAGTTCTACTATAGACAAATCTCAATACCAAAGACTAGTAGAAAAACTAATATATCTCTCATACTGCATTGTTAGTCAATTCATGCATGATCTAGTATATGAAAATGAGGCATACACTTTAAAAGGTGAAAATCTATCTTCTTGGAAATATGTACTCATGTTGACTGGGTAAAGTCCATTGCAGATAGAAGATCCACTTCAAAATACTACATGTTTTTGGATGAAAATCTAGTAATGTAGAGAAGCAAGAAATGAAGTGTTGAAGTTGAATTTTGTTCTATGGCTCAAGAAGTGTGTGAAATTTTGTGAATGAAAGTCATTATATGATTTCCAAAAAAAAGAAAATCATTAGTTGTATGAAAATGTTGTGTGATAATAAGTTTGTCATAAATATAGCACATAATCCTATCGAACATGATAAGACAAAACATAGAAATTTATCAACATTTCATTAAGGAAAAACTAGATAGTGGGCTCAAAGCTACACCCATGTCCCTTCCTAAGATCAACTAACAAATATGTTCATTAAAGAATTAGTAGCCAAGCAATTCCAAAATCTTTCTCGTAATCTAGGAATAATAGATATTCATTCACTAGATTGAGAAGTGTTGAGAATATATGATACTTACTACTATTTACTATAAATATTTATTATCATTATCTTTGGTATTATTAGGAGATAGTCTAGAATATATAGGATATTCTCTCATGTAAATATTAGGATTAGACTCACATATATATATATGAGGAAGAATCTTCTCACACCACTATAAGTTTAAAAACTCTTATACTCGATCTGAGTATTTCATTTAACTTACATCTAATGGTCAGTGAAATAATAAATTATAATCTGTTAAATTTAAGTCAAATGAAAAACTCAGATTGAGTGTAAGAGCTTTTAGACTTCTCAAGTACTACCTCTAAATTATCAAATATAGTTTGCCCAAATATCACATATAAATGATGATGTAATCAAAAAAGAAACGAGAGATAAAAAGTTGCCAAAATGCTATGGTAAATTTACAAGTGTAGTAATATTACACATGAAAGTGTTTTCTCATACTATTCTTTCCCTCTTTAACAAATTATTCCCTATTCTCAAATAAACTCCTTGACTAGACAAAATGGATTAAGCTTCTTATTCAATATTTGATGTGGGGGGTAGCTAACAAACTCCTATAGACACGCATTGGAGTCAAGAGTAAGTCTTCGACACTTACCTTACTTAACAGCATTTTATAGAATATAACTTCAACAAATCTAATTATTGACTTACATGATATTATCTTAATGATCATGCATACAAATCATCTTATGATTGAGTTTATTTGCTTTGAAAAAGCATATTATTGGCAGTTATGACTATATCACATATAAATAAACTTTTTATGTGAACTTGTTGATACAAGTGCTCAACAGAATAAATATTCTATATAATGTTCTTTTCAGAGCAAAATATGTTATCTAAGTAGAGAATAGCAAAGAAATTCACAATTCTTATGTCCATTAAAACTGAAGAGGTAGGATTGATATCAAGTTGTCAGTAGAACAATCAGTGATTTGAATTGTGCCTTATTTACTGAAGCCATGCATTAATAACATTCTTAAAAGAACTTTATAACAAATAGCACCTACATACTACCACATCATTGACAAATGCATGTATATCTAGCATATAGGCACATCAAATGAAGCTAGTCTTCGATTAACATGAATTGATAAATTGCTTAGCAGGAAAAATAGTAAATACATACTTTGATTGTAAAACATTCCATACCGTTGTCTCAACAATAACAGCAATCAGATTTAGTATAAGAACGAAGGACACTAGGTATCCAAACATGGGGCTCTTCACAAAGGCTTTTAATCTCTTTGAATAGGGTGAATGGTAGAATGCTAAATACTCAAAGTAAGATGGCTGCAACAAAATCAGAAAGTATTACAGATGCTACAAATCTTCACCTTCCTAGTTACAGACTTACAGTACATTTAGATGAACTTGCAAATGTTTAAATTTGGGGTCTTTGAACTTACAGTATCTTCCTTCTGAAATTTTAAAGCAATGGCATTGCAAATATCGGCAAATTCATCCCTGTTGATCTGAAAGTAAAAATACATTTAAAACATGCATTTACACACATAAACGTCAGTATGTGCATAAAAGATAACCAAAAACACACAAGAACAATTATTACCTTTACATCATGACTATCATCTAGCTCATCAAATATCAACTCAAATTCTTCCTTGGATATTTTTGGCAAAGTCCTAAACAAAATGCAAAATTTAGGTTTCATGGAAAGATACCAAGTTTACCAAAATAAAAAGAAAAATTCAATACATTTTAAGTTTTTAAGTTTTAACCAAAACAGAAGCCACAGTGATGTGCTGAGAGAAACACTACTAACAAATATACAAAAAGCCAAACGTGTGGCTTACTGTGTAACTCTTCTAATTTCATGAGCAACACTGTGAAGAGTGGAAGCAATATATATCATTTAGGCAGAGCAACCTCGTCTCTTAATCATGAAAAAAGTTTGCTGTCTTCCCACATTATTCTGTGACTGATAGCAAGTGTTGTGTGCAAGTGTTTGATTCAAGAAAGGAAAGAATGAGAAAAGAAAAAGAAAAAGAAAAAGAAATATCACAACGTAAAAGCCAATCAACCATGGAATTTCTCAAGCCTCAGACAGAGTAAGATTTTCTTTAAAGAAGGGTTCCATGACAGTCCAGGAGCCTTTTGCTTGTTGTAAAGGAAAGAAAACCTGCTAGTTGTCATCCCAGTAATTTGGATGGGAACATAACAGAAATATTCAATGGTCCTAATTTCCCTTAAAGCCTTGACACCCGTTTACCCATCTTGTCAAACGTAAATAAACAACATGTTTATTAAATTCTGATGACATATAACATTTCACAAATACCAAAATCATTTTGATTTTTCCAACATCAATATGAGCAAGCAGAAAACTAATTGTATGATAAATCTGAAAGCATAATGAAGTAATACCTGTATTTGTTCAGCTCCTCAAAGAGCCTAATGCATTGATCTTTGTTGAGATATCCAAGATTCTGTGACCACAAAACAATCTCAAACAGCTTTAGAATAAATAGAAACAAGTTGTTCGGTTAGAAAAGAAACCTAAATTAAAGAATAAGAATCAAGAAGAGATAGTCATAATTTCAGTAACAAAAGAAGACCAGACTAAGAACAATTACATTACATCCTTATAACAGAATTAAAGGTTTATTCTTGACACAAACACTAACAGCATAACGTCATTTAATACTATATATTGAGTACTATAAGCATAAACCCACACATAATCAATTTAATAGTAGAGACATTCATTTTAATAAACTGTGTTCTCACAAAAAAAAGTTCCTCAGCCTTTTCTCAACAATTTAAAGGTTCAGTGGTTCTTTGAAAGAGAAAAAAGTAGATGCCAATTTAATACTCATCACTCATCAGACAAAATATCCAGATTCCTGAGTTTAAAGAGAGAGAGAGAGAGAGAGAATTCTTCGAAATGTTTAGTTTCTCCATCAACTAATTGATCCTTTTATTCTGTATATTTTATAATCTAAACCAAAATTCATTCCTCTAAACAATAACAAATGTAGAAGGTCCCAGTTTTCAAATCATTCTAAAATATCTCACATGATATGTATTCAGAATTGAAATGGGCAGTAATAAAAAAAGGCCTCCAATTTCATGTCATTTAAGATGAAATTTCGTATAAACAGTTATCAGTTTACATGTCATCTTCCATCTTCAGTTTCTATTTGGAATATGGAATCTGTCCACCTAGAAACCAACTATCCCCCAACTCTTTCAAGCAACTAGCTTACACCTTACTTACCCCAATGGCTAATCAGTAATAAGAACTGCCAACACAATTAACATGCCTAAAATTATCATTCTTATGATTATAAACACTAACATGTATTAAGAAACTTAGCCTAACACACTCCTAAAAACTAGTTCTTAAGACGAGGACTACTCAAGTCCTTATATAGAGTATTTTGGCGCTATTCCTAGCCAATATGAGAACTCAATATTCAAATTGAATAGACTTTAGTACTATATTAAGAAACTTGAACTTAACTCACTCCCAAAAGCTAGCTCTTAAGAGAATAACTATTCAAGTCCTTATAAAGAGTATTTTGACTCTATTCCTAGCCAATATGAGACATTTTAACAACATGGAAGCAACATTTTAACTTTAAAGCACTGTTTAAAATATTTTCATCACTTATGAGAAAAATATCATTAATAGTGCACATATATCCTAATATAAAGAGATGCTGTAGATTCCTTCAGGAAAAAAAAATAAAAATTCTGAAGCCTTCTCTTTTATTAGCTATTACAAATAAGAAATAACATCTTTGAACTCAATGAGCTCACTTCCAATCTTTCTAAAGTTCTAGTGTGCTCTCATTACATCTTCAATTGCTATTGCCCTCAATAGAATAGTAATTCTCAATCTTTTCTCAGCTAATTTTTTAACATCCTTGAGACATTTTTCGGGTAATTGCCTATACTGTTACTAATACACAATTTGATCCTCCTCACTGGGAAGATAAGAAGTTTAGAACATTATATTGTTCTAATTAAAGATAAAGGTCAATCTTAATTTCACAAATCTAATATATGCTCCCATGAATTTCTTATGTGTATATGCATTACGTTGTCTTCTTTTATAACATAAAAGGATTAAAAAATAATTTTTATACTGGATATCAAAGATTAACAAAAAAAAAAACCACAAGAAAGATGAGAAAGACAAGAATTTTCACATTCATATAGCAATCACTAATCACATATCAAAATCATTGAAAAAAATTAAAACTTAGTTGTTTGACATCAGCAGGGTAGCTACGTCTGACAGCAGAATGGTACACTAAAACATGGAAAATCACACTTACATGTGCATCTAAGAGACTGAAGGCCTTCTCCAACATAGTTCTTCTCATACGATCCTTCTCAAAAACTTGTTTTACAAGCTAAAACAAAAAAAATAAGTACTGTTATCATTTATTAAATATCCATCCTAGAGTACATGATATACATTGAAATTCTATTAATACATTCTAGTGTGGAGTGTGGACAGCTAAATAGGATAAAGATCAACACTGATCCAATACTTTCAAGTTTCAATTGTATCATCAGATATATATATATATATATATATATATAACACATAAAGGGAGAGATAACGGTACAAAAAGATTACCTCACTCTTGAAACTGTCATAAACAACAGCAAGGATCAAGTTTGTAACAAAGTAAACCCCCACCAGCACAAAGAATATGAAAAAAAGGCAATACCAACGCGAAGACCTTGAAAGCCAAAAAATGATGAGAATTGATGATATCTCAAATTGTAAGGACAAAGTCATATAGCCAGGAAGATTCAAATTATAAAATTCAAGCTCTTACTTGTATGCAGGAACCCAAACATCTGGACTATTGGATGTGGTAAATAAAAGAAACATCTGATATAATGTAGTACCATAGGAAGTAAATACTGTTTTCCCCTGTATTGTGTCCTCAAAAAACACATAAGCCACCCAACTTGCAAAAATAAGAAACAGAAGCCCCAAAGCCTGCAATATGCGTGAGAATTGGACAGAACACAGTGTGCAGTAAGAGTGTTGATTATAACATTGAAATAATCCAAATGTAACATTCAAGGGAAATACAATAGATTTTGAATGAAAAAAGATGTGCACATTGTTGTAAAAGTTGCGGACAGGAACAACAAAGAGCAAGGCAAGAGAGAAACAGCGTGAAAGTGAACTAACCAAGACATTCAAGTATGTGTCAAGCATCCCAGCCAAGATGATGATGGTTTCTCTTAGCTCCCTGAGATCAAATTCAAATGCAGAATTTGACTATCAAAATAGGTTACAGAGGATTTTTGCTTTTGGCTGAATAGTGAACGTACAAGAATTTCAGTGGAAGACATGCAAACCATGGTAACTGACATCAAATCATAAACTATTAAACATTAGTGTCAAGAACCAAATCAACCTAGAAAGCCCTTAAGGATTGAAGTATGCACAAAGCACAAGACAAGCTCTCCTAAAATTATAATTTAAATAATATATAGGTGGCAAGGATCAAACTCTTGACCACTTGGTAACAGAGATATAACATCCCTACTAACTACTAAGCCTCCAAAAAATGGCTTCAAGTTTTTGTGTTGGTCAAGTCAAAAAGTCCTCCACTTTGGAAAATAAATTTTCAGTAACACAATTCCTTTAAACATTGATATCAGAATAAAGTGGAATCTCAAAAATGTTTAATTTTTGTATCATTTCACACAAAAGTCAAATCTCCACATTTGGAATAACATTGAACTGACTCGCCCACAAGAACAAACTATAAAATTAGACGTTGTTGAAAAATTTTATTTTGTAATACATGTACCCTTCATACTCCTGTAAATTGACCAAGACATTCTTCAATGTGCAGAAAGTTTGATAGGCCAAGGGACATTCAATATCATCAACAACATAACATTGTTGCCAGCCAACACCCAAAAGGTGGAAGTGCACGTTAATTATCAACATAAAAGATATAATACATGAAAGATATGTTGCATCCTACCTAATGCTATCTCTATCCCTCTCAATTATCCCCCAGTCCTGTATTGTGCAAATAATAGTAACTAGAATGTCTAAATTTGAAACAGCACAACAATTATTATTAAATATTCAAGCAAAGGTTCAAACAGTATAATCCACAACAGTATGTTCACAAAGTAAAAAGAACAGTTGAGATAGGTCACACAATACCTAATATTCAGAACAAAAAGAACAACCCTGACATAAGGTGCAATTCTGAAGGGAAGAAAATCAAAAGCCAGTGGAGACAAATAAAAAACATAGAGCAGCACATCAACAACAAGAACTAGTAGACAGAAGACCTGGAAATACCAACAAATTAATTTATTAGTAAACTAAAGTATACATGTAAATAATGGATTTTAAATTCAGTATAAATAAAAATGATGTGGTTTTTCCCTTCCTAATGGTAGTCCCCATCTTCTCCAGCTTAATTACAAAACAAATGCTCACACAAAATCAAGATTCAATGGAAAAACAAACTGTTTCATAACACAAACAGAGGATGAAGCATGCATTTCAGCATACCAGTGGCTTCATCTTGTTAGTTGCTACTCATTATGACACAATACCATTGATGTCATAACCAATTAAAATATTGTTGCAAAGGAACTCCATAGAGCTATAACTCATTTTGCCAAAATCTTCAGTTATATAGAAATTATTTTCCCTCTAAACAATAAATTTAACCTTCATAATATTATCTCTCATCTTGTTTTGGGCCCAAGACAAATGAGGGTTTAGGCCTTCTTATGCCCTTATTACCTATCTTTCCTTCACCAACCCCCTATCCAAAATTTCAACTGTACTCAAGGTTTTAAAACTTCCTGAAATTTCCACGTAGGAACCTTAATGATAGAAAAACTTCTAAACTAGAATCTCTTTTGTTTATGTTTGATTTCTACTTATTTATCATTTTATCTTCAAAATTTAATATAATAGAATTGGGAATCTTGACTCCTCCAGTATGTATATGGCAAATTCAACTCAAATTTCTAACCCACTATTTAAATTGAGAAAATTTTCTTCTAGATAATAATTTCTGCATAAAAAATCCTTCTAGTAGCCAGTAGGGGTGTCAACAGACTGGGTTGGGCTAAATTAATATTCACCCAATATTTTGATTGGGACAATTATTTGGCCTTCATCATGACCAGTTAGCGATCAGGTCAGGACAGGGCTAACCCAAGAGTTGGAATGTACAAATTCAGAAAGTATGCATAGTTAAGCCATAAAAATTTAGAAGTAGGGAACTAAAGCTAGAGATGTTTTACCACGTGCGTATATATATATATATAGTATCAAATATAAAACACTATCAGTGTCAAGTTATGCATAATGTACTAATTAGAAATTTATCCTTAATTTACAAATAAATAATCTATGCAAATAATATGTAACATTTAGTCAAGCCAAGTCAACCAGTGACCTGATCACGACAACAAACATTATGTTAGGTCTAATTTTCAGAACCCAAACCTGGCCCAGCTAGCTTTGGACGGAGACAGGTTAGGTCTTGAGCAACCCTACCTTCAAGAGGTAGAGCACTTTGTTTAAAATTTGGTTCTAAAAGCAACATTATTGACAAGTAGACTTGCAGAAATGATAAAGCTTTGTTGTCTCCTACCAGATTATATTTTTTAGTAGGATCTTGAAGCAACATACCTTCAATTGATTAAGAGTATTTTTCCAAAATATACGGGACCCTTCGTATGCTAATGGGAAGAAAGTATGCATGATTAGCAAAACAAGAGTTATTCCCTGTATTACACAAAAAAGGGTCATGTAAGACAAAATACTACACAAATAGTTGAGAAATCAATACTGCTTGATTCAGTAAATAAGACAATCACATAGACAGGTAGTATTAGCTGTTTCACTGCTATTTCAAAATGTAGGTAAATACCTAACTGACTGTCTACATGAGACCATTTTCAAGGTGACAACAGCTAAAAGGTTCATCAGTAATTTACCCCATAAAATGGTCTCTGAAGTACTGAACTCTTACCTCATAAATAAGACATTCTGCATCAGTTAGATATGGTAACTGTCCCAAAAAGAAATACTCTCTATCTTTGCAAGAATGTGCGCTAATCTTTTTACACCAAAGAGGTTTCTGTACCAAGTAAAGTACATTATGAAGTATCTTCTTTCTTATCTACTTTCATCTTCTTTAGCCGGAAAGCCTCAAAAACAATCAACCAAAACTAAAAAACATGAGAAGCTTGCTAATACTAACCTCAAGGAAATTCAGGACTATCAAAGCAAAATAACTAAGAGACCAGATGACATTGCATTTAGTGAATATAAAATAAAATCTTGCATAGCTTTGAAAGCTTGATGAATCAAGAATTTGCTCAGGGATACCGACACCATCTTCAGCCTGCATAAAGCATTTCCAACCAGAATAGCAAGTAGTTAACTGACCCAAAAGAAAGTACATGAATAAAATACATGTCCATGTAGGATGTGATAAAAGTTTCTTTTTGAAAGTCAGCACACGGTCTTAGCCGACAAAAATAAGAAGGAAAAAATTATTGTAAAAGTACTCAAATAAATGAAAATATATATAACAACAAAATTATTCTTGCTTGATACTAACAGAAATTGAAGACGAGGAATTAGAACCACTGTTATCCTTTAACAAACAAATTTATAATGAGAAGGTAAGAAAAATAAACTCTTGGTAAAATATTTAACACGAAGGAAAAATAGCCGCAATGCAGGAACAATGTTTTACCAAGACCTCTGCCCACATTTTGTCCTTCATTGTGCATGTTTTATTCAAGAGCTCCTTTTTTGTGATGATTAATATAAAGAAAATGTTAAAATCTGACTAAAAATGGTATTTCTGATACAATTTGTTATAAAAATTTACAGTTTCAAAATATCAATTTATGATTAAAATTTGAGTGATATAGCTTTCCACCTCTTAATTGCAGTTGTCAACAACAGAATTTAAAATCTTCTACAACAATTAACGTCTACCCATATTCCTCCCACTTTTCCATCGTTCTCTCCATTTTGACATCTCCTACTTCTATTTATCTCTGCCGAAATAAAAGTCCTTTGTAATTTTCTAACACTCTCTTTACAAAACAACAATATTAATAACGATGTTGACTTCAGCATGCAGAATCACTTCCCCTACAATTCAATAGAAAATGCGATTCAAGTTCAAAAATAAGATTGACATTATCGCCAGAACAGATTCAATTGATGATTCTAAAGATGCCTTTGATAATGAGTCCGTGATAGAAGTTTGGACACAAATTTCATTTCTAAAGCACAATAACAAGCCATTAAAGGGTACTTGGATCCACATCTACTTCAATGCTAGTAACTGTAACTTCTGTGTGAAATCTATGTTTACAAAGTTTCCGACGTGTCTCCAAGCACGCCCGATCTACCTATCTATATACAATAATTAATTCCAACACAATGCCAAATGCGAAACTCGAACGCAATTACAAAGCTACCTAAAAGCTCAATTAAAGCACAATAATCACCGATTTGCAAAAGACAGAGAACAGAGCCGAAAACGCACTGAATTAACTTAAACAGCTTCTGAAAGAGAAAGAGCGAAATGAAAGAAGTCGAACGAACCAGATCGATGAGCGCAGCGGCTTTCTCGAAGTTGGTGCCGTAGGCGATAGCGTCAGTGCGACCGTGAATCCCCCGCGGCCTGAAGCTCTCGACACCACTGGTCTCGCCTGTCAGCAGAGGCCGTTCCATTTTGGCGAGAGAAGGAAACGACGAAGAGAGAGAAAGTTGAAAGAGAGAAGAGTGCTAAAAGCGCTACTATAACTGTATCATTATCCTACTTAATATCTTGTTGAAGAATGCTTTCCGAAATGCGATCACGCTCTTTGCACACGGTCTCAAACAATGCCCCAACGAATTAACGACAGTGTGGAAGTGAAAGGAAGAGACTAATTTTCTGAGTATATCGAGAAATGGTGATGTGATAGTGACGTTACCACACCATACCGTGATTCTGATTCAAGGGATCCACGTGTCGCGTGCTTGCTTGCACCAATTTGGGCATGGTACAACTTTACAAAGTAAAAAACCGGGGACTACCACCTTCGTTTAACGGTACCACTCAATTCACACACTCGTTTTCCTTGCGTTTTGGCCTTTTATTTAATTCCTTCTTTGTTAAATTTCATTTTGATTGAGTGCTACTAATTATATGTTCGTCTTTTGTTTTTAAAATTGTCTGTGTCTTTGATTATAGAATCGACAGTGACGGTCATTGCAAGGGTGGTTGGGTGTTGATTCTTGAATGCAGGAGACAGATGTTAGAAACTAAAACGAGGGATATTGAATGCATTATTTACACCCATTTGAAAGCATACATTAGTGAGCGTTAATTTTTTTTAAGGTTAAATTCGACTTTATATTTAATATTTTTACACTTTAATTTTACTGTTATAATATTGTTAATAAAAAGTACTTTCTCTAATTTGTATTTTCCAAACCATATTATTATAATAAAGACAAAAAAAATGTAATATATTATGTATATGAAAATAACATGTGAATTTTAACTTGTTTTAACTAAAATAAAATTTGTATATTAAGTTTTATTATAAATTTATTTTACAAACTAAAGATAATGTGAAAATAAATTTAAAAACGGTGATGTAAACATTGAATTCTTTTAAATATTTTATTGAAGGTGTGGATCAGGATCAGATAAGTATCATAATATATTATAATTGTGGCCACGATTTAAAGACGAGGTATTATTCTAAGTTTTAATATTATTTGTCATAGTATATGCATAGTTGACTTGTCTCGACCTGGCATGACTCAGTCAAAAGGGGTATCCTTTGGTACACTCGGCTCCCAAGTACAGGCTGTATGAAGAGTTGTGAATATCTCTGGAAGAAACGAAACAGAAGGAGAAGCAAGATAAAAACCTTGCCAACAATGACAACTTAACCAAACAATTAGAGACAGTTAATTCTGATGTCTCTTCATTTGTATACCTAAAGAAGTCAAAGCAATATTCCACTACAAGAAGACGGGGGCTGCAAGTGAACAAGCCATAACGCATAAGGTGATTTGCCTCACAAGGTTCATCACGTGCAAGCTTGGTCCCAAATTCCGGTTGTTGTCGCTCAAGGTATTAAGTTTTAAAGATAATTACTGTCTCCAATTTCGCTAAAAACGTCACTACTGCAAATTGCAATGTGTACTGCAATAGTTGTCACGTTAAAATTTTATGGTTGAACAAAATTTATCCTAATTTTTTTAAGATTTTACATCCCCATTCCAATTGGCGGTGCCCATTTACAAGACAATCAGTAGACAAAGAATCTAGAAAAATGTTTGTAATATATTTTTAAAAAATTTAATTAAAAAAATATGTTAATTAATAAAAATTGATCCGAGTGTCAAATAATTTGATACTGTTTAAATAAAATTTTAAATTCAAATCTTTCCGTATAAAAAAAATCTTTAATAATAGACTTATTTACTAAATTTAGATATATAATGCATAATTCAAATTAAATTTAAATTATAATTAAATGAAAAAAAATTGTCAAGAAGGCTAATTTATCAATTGATTTACGATTTGATAACCTTCTATTGAATACGTACTCTTACTTCCTATAAATGCTTCAATATTCAAATCACCAATTAACAACCATAAAAATATAAAGTGATAATTAATAATTAAAAAAATATCAAATGATAAAGACCAAAAGGAAAGTCACGTTGGAGCAAATGTGACCACCGCATACTCCTGTAGACATCCATCGAATATGTACTATCGCTTCCTATAAATGTTTCAATATTCAAATGACCAATTGATAACAAATAAGGATAAAAGAATTATTTGTTTGAATTTTCATTAAAATAGAGTTTAACCGTTTCAATTTGAAATTAAAGAATGAAGATTAAAACCATCATAAATAATGTGAAGAACTAAAATTAAATTTAATCATAATTAATAATATATATATATATATATGTGGTTTTTATTTTATTATTCTTTGATCAGATATGTCAATAAAAAATCATTTTTAAAATTTCAAATAATGAAATGATAAAAAAATTCTATACTAGGATAATACGCGGATTATTATCTAGTTGAATGTGATTTATGCTTCATAATTCAAAAATCGTGATTTGATAGCCTTACCAAATACACAAAATAACCACATACTTCAGTTCCAATAAAAAATTAACAAGCATCAAATATCAACTAATAAAGCCAAAGTAGAAGAAGTTCATGTCAGAGCAACGTGGCCAGACAATGTAGTCTGCGTGTTCGCATTTAACAAGGAAGAAGGAAAATGACTCAAACAATCAGTTATTATGACATGTAAACTCAGAGCCTGACGGCAACGGAAATTGAGGCAATGCATAAAGGAGTACTTCTTATGTCGGCACGTTCCAACTCGCATTCAAATATATATAAGTACAGTGCATGTGCGTTTACTCAGGATATTTTAAGAATTGTGCTTTTTTTTTAATATACATATGCAATATATTATTTAAAATTTAAAGGAGTTTAGTTTTGACCATATTAAGGATTAATATAAATAAAATATAAATAATTATTCTATTTTATTAATTATGCAAAAAATTGAAAAAATGAGTTATTTCTATTCGAATAGTTATTGAAAATTAACTTATAATTTTTTATTAAATTTTTATAAAAAACAACTTATATAAATAAATTAAATTTTAAGGTTTATGATTAAAATTTATCATTTTAATTTAAAATTATTTTTTTTGTATTTTATCATTGACAATATTTTCTTAAAAACACAACAAATTATCATACATAACTTTGTATTTTTTAATATTAACATAAAAATTAATTATTTTATACAATCTAAACACACTATATTATTTTTAAATTACTTTCATCTATTATATCAAAAAAAATATTTTATATAGTCAATTATCATAATAATAATCAATATAGATATAATTATTTATTAAAAATTAACTAATTCAAATACACACTAAAATTTATTTAAAATAATTTACTACACTTTTATATTTTTAATATGATAAATTTTTTTCAATAAAAAATTTATACTCGAAGATATTTCAACTAAATCCTTCATATTAAAAAATTATGACTGTGAAAAATATAATTAGAGTTTTACACAGCACATAAAATAAAAAATAGAAAAAATGAAATGTAAAAAAAATAAGATACGTGCCTATGCTTTTCAAATCACTAGTAACTATTGTCATGGTGTCTCCTTCTTCTGCAACCTCACCACCACGAGAAATTATTTGGTGGTCAAACCTGTAACATTCATATGCAGTCTCACTACCAAAACGCAACCTCTCCATGAACAGCTCCAATCCCCCATCTTCACTCGCTGGGATCCGTAGAACCATCGTTTTTCAACTCAATCAATAGCATTGCGTCTCTGCCTCAGATCTCTACTCTCCTCCGTCACTGCAAATAACTCTAGTATCTACCGTTTTAATAAAACCATTATCAACAACCATCATTCAGCCGAACATCCAGAAAAACAAGACAGACAAATTAAGTTATAACTAAATACAAGGTTCATATCATAACAACGGGTTTGTTTATGTTACTGATACTCTCATTTTAAGAAAATTAATAGACTTTTTAATAAAAGTTTAGTTCATTAATTCATCTGAGATTAAGACATTTATTTTATGAAATAATTTTGACAAAATTCGTAATAATTATTGAAATCAATGCCTGCCTCTCTTCCAAGCTTTATGGTTGTCTTGTTGAACTAGTTTATAAGAAAAAAATAGTTTTATTATATAAATACTTAAAAATTAATATTGTCAGTGAAGTGATATCATATCATATCATATCATATTATTTATTTATTTTATACACGCACATAAAATAAAAACAAAAAAAAAATCCTATTTTAGTAACACACAATATATACCTAAAAGAAGATTGACTTAAAAAATCAATTACGGCTATACAACGTATGAACAAAATATACCTGACAATCAACCTGAGGACTTTTTTCCCGTAACAATCTGAAATATCCGGAGGCCCCTACTGAATGCTTCGTTGAAGAGACTTCTAGTTTGCATAGCCTGAAAACCAGGCAACCATGATAGCAGAGCCACATGGGCCAAAACAATGATTCCAAATAATACATCGTATAGACGTGCCAAAGAAACAACGCCATTCCAAATTACGGTGTGCTGCAAAAAAGGCCTCAATACTTGAGCAATCAATACCACTCCCCAGCCTGTGGGAATGAATGCCAACAAGCTAGTTAAAATGTCCATGAATTTGAATTCAGTGAATTCCAGCAAAGCAACTATCACAAGTATGGCAAGAACTACCAAAATGGACTGGACCAAACGATAATAGATATGGTGTTTTGCTGCGAATTCGTTCTGGGCATAAATTACCACAGCATAAATCCCAAATACAATAAATACATAAATCCAAGATAGCAAGTAAACAGCAATACTGGTACTCCCAGCAGCTATGCTTAGCCGATATACAATACCATATTGAAATATGAAGAACCGAAGGTCCAAGATTATCTCCCAAAGCTTTCCCCAAATCCCTGTTACCTTAAGATGATCCTGCTCTTCGTACCACCATTTTTCCCAGCTCTGTTCTGCTTTGACAAACACTCTTCCACGGTACCAAATCCATTCCATGAAGTCATCAAAATCATACACAGTCTTTAGCCAGTCAAAACCAGAAGGATTGAACACAAATGGTGCCATGATCCATGATGCAACTAAGAACCAACTAGAGATGGTCATGGTTATATAAACAAATGTGTCGGTTGCTAAAGTGCTGTTTGATGCATAAACTATCAGTATTAGCCCCAGTTCAATTGCTTTCACAAAATGGCTCCGAGCATAGAGTCTATAGTTTTCTGCAAAACTCTTGTGCTCTACAACAAAGCCACGACCCGTTGCTCGATATTTTGCCCCACCATGCAGGATAGTTCTTCCAAAGAAGTGGCTACGCGTACCCATAGAGAATGTGTAGAAAACTGATGAAAGTTGGAGTTGCATCGTCAAGAAATCCCAAACAGCGTGAAGGAAACCATACTCAAGAGAATTCTCCACAATCATTGGAAGGGCAGTAAAAAGCCCAATTTGGAGGAAGAACTGCTGATTCAAGATGACACCGAGTGCTTTATTATTTTTGCTGTTACTTTCCATAGCAGCTTCAACACCACTAAGAGCAAGCAACAATCGTCCCCATAAAAATGAATATATGGTAAGAACCACCATCATCGTGTTGAAAAAGAATCCCACTGTAGTGTAGAAGAATGACAACATCCGAAAAAAATCCAACCTATGACCCAATCTATACACGTCTCTACTTAGGACTTGCTCCCCATTTCCACTGGCAACCTTTGCTTCAAACATAGATATTTGATTCAACCCAACATCCCTTCCCTTTCCAACCTGAATGTATTCATGATGTGTGACATTGCCTCCTCGAAGAGTACAGTTAAACCCAGCAAAAATATCCTCGCTTATGTTGATCACTCTAGAGGCTTTACTGAGACCACCTCTAGTTATGAACCAAAACCTGTCAAACACATCAGGATGACCATAATGCATTCTAACTTTCAGAGGGTTTGCCAAAACCCTCTGTCCTAAGGTGACAAAACTCGTTTCCTGAGCTGACATGAACCACGCAAGAGAGGAAACAGAACCTGTAAAAAGGTGTTCCCTCACTCCCAAAATGGTAGGCTTCCGAATACCATAGTAATGCCTGTATTCTTCCAAGAGATTCCTCATTTTAAGTGCCTCCTCAAAGTAGTTGTCCTGGTTCGTATCAATAGTCTGAATTGCATCCCCACGAGTGAAAATGATGGCATGATTTTGATTTTCTGGCTTTCCTTCTCCTAACTTTAAGGGACCTGGCAACTTTACACGGTAAATTTCCACCTCCCTCTGCAATTGTTGGTCATACTTAACAAGAACAGAGTAATACTCCTTCTCATTGCTCCCAATGGGAACCTCATCAACATAGGCAACTCGAAGTGCTTCATTGTTTTTCATTAGATACAGAATTTCATCAGCATGGGAGTCCTTTCTTGCCTTCTGAGCTCCATATATCTGGCAAGCAATCACATATGTGAATTTCATCAAAGCAGTTCCATAGTCATGGCCTTTGAATAACAAACCAGCTGAACTACTTGTTCTACTTAAACTCAAAGGGGAAGGTGACCTTTCCGAGTTGCAACCATCTGAATTGTCTTGCTTCAGTGGAATAACTTCACGTGTGCCTTCTTGAATCTCTATTTCTGATGCAGAATCCAGAAAAGCTAAAAGCTTGAGGGCCTTATAATAGTACATCATTCCTCTAACAGTCCTCGATAGTGTCTGGCCTCTGTAGGATGCCCAGGACCTCAAATCTGTAAGTTTATCATTCCATAACTCACTATCATTCTTCATCCCCTCCCGCCGCATCCTCTCCATAAAATTCTTCCACTCGTCATCATATATAGTCTGCAAATAGTACAGGGTTGACACACCGTCTTCGTTCCCAACTCTGAGCTGTTCTTTACTGAAAACTACTTCTTCACTATAGTAAGGGGTTAGAACACTGAAAGCCATCATTTTCTCAACTTGGGGAGCATGGGGCATGTTCATAAAAAGTGAGTTGCTGAAGAAAGCAATCCTTCGTCTGGCTTCTAGATTAACTGGGATGTTTTGCATTGAATCCCTAGAGGTAAGAACGGTATGCAAGCGCCGAATCTGGCGATAGAAGTTCTCACTAATGGTGTCAGGCAACTGAATGGCATTTTCAAAAAGCAAACCCTCTGAAGAAGCTGGATTCTGTGGAGCCAAACCGTCCTCCCCAAGCTGTTCAATGCCCCTTTTCTCCTTGAAAAAATCTTTTACAACAATCTCATAAATGGCCTGAAGGGTGTTAACCAATTGGTTAGGATCTATTTTATTCCCATTTAATAACTCAACAAGTTTTATCAGCTTGTTGTGGAGCTGGGGAAGTGCAGTCGTTTTGAATATTGTAGTGAATTTCCCAAGCTCGAGAGACTGATCAATCTCCTGAAACAGAACCATCACAATAGAATGCTCTTCACTATTAGGCTTGATAATCTCAAGAAGCAAGTGCTTGATGCAGTCATATGCTTCAATGACAGCACATCGCCTGAACTCATTCTTGCAGATTTTCTTCCAAAGCCTCTTATCAAGAGCATCAACAAGTTCTTTGGCCTGACTGAGCGCCAGCAGCAACTCATTGCAGAGAAGAAAACATGGCCAACGAATAACCCTAACATTCCAAGAGTTCTTTGGCAGCTCCAGCAGCTCAACCTCTCGGTCAGAGATGATATCTTCCTCCCTGAAAGACATGATTATCTCATTCCATATCAGAGCAAATTTGTTGGCCTCACCCTGGTTAGACTCAAGCTTCTTATAGGGCTCACCAAGCCCGTATCTGAGCTTCATCCTGTGAACTTCATCCTTAGCTTTGCTACTCAATGTTCCCCTTGCACTCAACAACTGCTCCTCCGGCATTAGATTAAACAGAACTGCACTAGCAAGAAACTGAAACCTCAACTTCAGCTGTCGCATACTCCTAATCTCACCCAAGTGGGCCAACAAACCCACAGTCGCCCCAACCAACGATGAATATATCGAATACCATATCTGTATATCCATTAGATAAATCAAAACAACAGGAAGCCACAGCAACCCAAGAACAAGCCACTTACCATCTTGAAAAAATTCATGCCATCGATAACGAACATCCTTAAGGTCCAATACTGCCTTTGATGGAGCAATCATTGGTCTAATCTGTAAAAAATAGCTAAAACAAAATTTTGAAGCAAGCACCACAACCCAAAACGAGGTGTACTTAATGTTGTCTAAAAGACCTTCCCTCAATCCACGACCAACATAAGTTCTGTTGTGAAACCACCACGACAAGAAGTTAAAAATCCCCCAATCCTTATTCTCAATAAAATTTCCAACCCAAGGAAGTATATAAAGGACTAAAGCTAGAAGCTCCGGAACTACGAAAACAAGAGCAACCTCAAGAAAATTCAGCAACCTCCTATTTGCTTCCCCAGACCACTCTCTGTCATGATTTCTCTGCTCCCATATCTTTCCATAAAAGACAACAAAGACAAAGAACCATGCCGCGGCAACAACGGTTTTCAGCACCATCCTGACTCCTAGCCACATTGTCTCCACTGAAAGCAACCTGCATTGCATTCCAGCATCAAGCAAAGATTGCAGAAACCTCAAAGCACTCCACGTGAAGAAAATAGTGAAAAGCCGAACCTGCAAGTCACGATCCTCCAACCCATGCCAAGGATAATAAGCCCTATCATCCCAAGCAATAATCACACCAACTTGAAAGAACAAAATCAGCATCACCCAAAGCCTATCAAAACTCCTAAACAAGTTCCAAAACGACCTCCGTTCCACAAACCCAGTTTTTCCCCCACGCTTTCCCTCTCTTCCCCTAAAAACAAAGAAGTTGCTTCCCAAATCAATAGGCCACTTGAGCTTCTCAAAACACCTCTTACTCCAAAAATACTCGTTTATGTCATCGTAATTTCTCCATTCACAATGAGGTACAGTTCCGTTCCTGCTACTCTCAACCTCAGAGAGTATGGTTTGGTAAATCGGTTTCACAACGCTCTCGAGAAACCCGTTTTCGTTAGGAATAGAAGGCTCGTGGTGGTAATGGTCATGCAAGATTCTGTTGAGGTCCATGGCCATGTAGTGGAAGATGTAGCAGATGCATTCGGGGAGGAATCGAAGGTTTGCGGCTTCTCCCCAAATGAGAAGGTAGAGAGACACGTAGAGGAGCTCGCGGCGGTGATTGGATTCGGAGGAGGCGTCGGAGAGGAAGAGGTTGAGTTCGGTGGACAAATAGGAGCACCACCTGGTGTAATTGCTGAGGAGGTTGACGCGGAAGGAGCGGAGGACGGTGGCGTCTAGGGCGGCGATGTTGTCGGGAGGAGTAGAGAGGCGCATCTGAGCGTTGGCGAGGTGGAGGACGAGGTGCTCGCGCTGGTTGCGAACGTTGTCGTTTTGGAAGCCGAAGAAGAGGGCTAGCCAGTCCAAGAGGTCCATGCCGGGGTGCCATCGTGGGGAAGGGGGACGCCGGAGGTCACCTACAGAGCGGAGGGCGGATACGGCGGCGCGTACCTCTGGGACGCGGAAGGAAGGGTGGTCGGCGATTAGGTGGGTGGTGGCGGTGTGGTTGTGGATAGGAATGATGTTGTAGGGTTCGACGACGTCGTCGTCGTTGTGGACACGAGTGATAGGCATAGCATTGGGATCTAAACCGGAGAGTGACAGCAGGGAAGACTGCGTTCCGCTGGTTTCGGGTATTCACTTACAAATACAGTGTTGGTTTTGCCTCATTGATCTTGTAACGGTCACGGCGCGGAATGAGAGAGAAAGAAGAAGAGGCGCGTTAGTTAGGTTGTTCGTTTTTTTTTCGCCTTTTATGTACTTAAGGTTATTAATTTTATAAATATGCATTGCGTTTGCATGTACTTTATTGTAGTTAATTTAGGGGATGATATTTAACCCCAATATATGGGTTCAATCAAAGATTACGTAAGAGAATTAAGATACAAAATAAATTGGTAATGGATGGCAAGCATTTATTACAGAATACAATTTTGATTTAAAATCGCTGGAGTCGAGTGGTACTTAATTTAACTTCTTTAGAATAAATGACGTCATATAATTCCATTCACTGAATCAACATTAAATATTATACAATATTCCTCAATTCTCAAACATGCTATATACGATAATACCGGGAACATTACATTACATAAAAGTTTATTCCATGCATTATAAAACACGCAATGATTGGAGGGCTGGAAAGTAACATCCGGGTCCTGGACAACAGTGTTCATGCAGGACATGCTGAACAACATTGTACAAAGGGCATATGAAGTACAAGTTGTTTACCCTGACCATCCCCTCTGGGGACCCACTGAAGTAGGAGCATTCAACCGGTCAAGTACGGAGTTAAAATCTAAAGGCTGCCCAGTTTCTTCCATCCTTTGGATAACGCTTGCCACATGATCGCCTCTGAATCCCATGTTCACCATTTTTTCAACCAATTCATTGTAGGGATGGTTGCGAATATAATGTGACTGGCTAGGATTCCGAACCATGATATTGTGTGGAGCAGGATTATGAAGGGAAGCACTTGTTGGAGGATATCCACCTTGAGCATAATGAGAAGGTTGGGGTGGATAATGTGTTCTTCCACCCTCTCCATCATATGCCATGTATGCACTTGCAGGAGGAAGGGAGGAGTGGGTCCCGCTAGTTCCATATACGTCACCTGGTTGTGCTGGAAAAGAGCTCTTGACTTGCTGGGGCAGAGGTTGCTGTGGAACTGTTCTGCCAGTTTCGCCATATCCATATGGTATTGCACTAGATCTTGGGGGTGGAATCCCTGAGTATGGCAGTTGCATTGGCATGCTGTTCGGCAGTGTTTCAGTGGGAAGTGGATTTGTAGCTTGACTTGTAGGATATGGAGTATAAACATTTGTTGAGGGGGGTCTCATTTGAGACTGCATTGAGGGCGGTTGCAGAGGTTGCACCTGCTGTGGTAACTGTTGAGGCCATTGTGGCTGTTGTTGCTGCTGCTGCTGATACTGAGAAAATTGTTGCATGGGTGGGGAATGGGTTACCTGAGATGATGTTGACTGTGGAATCCGATACAGTGGATCAGATGGCAAATACTGATTCTGAGGAAGTGGGGCCACAGCTTGGGGATTGGGCAAAGGGTTGGGCATCGTGTAATAATGGGGTTGTTGAGCGGCTTGGGTCACATTTGGGGACTGAGCTTGAGAGGGGGGTGCCACAGGCTGCTGCCGGGGAGCAACTTGATGAGGTAGGGCAAGAGCTAACTGCTGATTACGAGGGTCAGATGCATTATCAGTTCTTTTTGGATCTGAGGCAGAAGGTGAAGATCTCTCCTCATTGGACTGCGGATGGCTTGAGGAAGATGATTCTTTCTGAACAAGTTGAAGCTTGGCTAACTCTTTCTGAGTCTCAGCTAGCTCTTGCTTGTCTCTTAAAATTTGCACAGACCTATATACCTGTATAAGCAACACAAGAAAAATAAATACATATTAAAGTGATGTCTATTCTCAAAGTATACGCGGCCAGTTAAAAAAATATGAACAGTTCCATGTAGCACCTTAATACAGGACAATCTGAGCTTAATGTTTATACACGAATTTGAACAACAGTTACAACACGGTTTTCATGTTCATAGGAAGAACAAGGAATAACATATTATTCTAGCAATAAAGGATTATAATTTGGCAACAACAACACTGAATTAAAATCAGTTTTTTAATTGACAACCTTTAAGTACAAAGTATATTAATATTTAAAATGTTTCCGGACCAACATAAGATGATGAGTTGGTTTACAGATTCAGTGAGCTTATTTTCCAATTGAGTGGAAAAAAGGTACTACTGCTGAAAAAAAAAATCCCATCATGTTATATTTGTCTGTTGGACTGCATTTTATATATTACCAAACAAGATGAGCGCAAGATGTTCCAACTATTCATCCATCACAGAGAGAATTTCTTATTTTAACCTAAAGCTATTAATGAAGCACATCAAAATAAGGAGAAATTGTGAGTAAAGAGCATTGCATAATCTATCAATTAAAGATAAAACGCACTTCCTGAAGGTGTTTATCGAGAGATTTGAGTTTTGTATCTGCCTCCTCATGGTCACTATTTAAATCAGATCGCATTTCTCCAATTGACTTGTCAAGATTATAACAATATAATTCCAACTGAGACAGCCTTAGACTAATTCCTTCAAGAAACCGCATCACATTGTCAGCATATGTTTTCATACTCTTCTCAACAGTTGCAATCACATCCTGGCCTAAAGAATCTTCAGGCGAACTATAGGCAGTAGCAGGCAACATTGATGTTCTTCCCATCCTTGAAATGTGAAAATCCTGAGAAAAAATAGATTTTGTGAATTTGGGATTCATAACCACTTGAAAGGAAGACAAAGCTACATGCGATCCATGATGACCACAAGTACATTAAGCTTGATATGGTCAAGATAATTTTCAGAATAAAGCAAGTATAACAGTTCTAAGTTAATAGGAATTCAAATTACAAACAATAACCACGTCAAAAAAACAACAAGCCTAAATCACTTTGTGTTTCTCAAGGCAAACAAGTAATGCCTGTCAATCCTTACTGAAGAAGTGCATCTACTTTAAACACCCCAAAATGAGTATGCTGACATAAGTCTCCCTCCTAAATTTTACCATTTTATATTTACTTCTACCATGATCTTGTCAATAATGTTGTTTGATATAATGAAGTCTTACTGACCTACTACTAACATTCAAATAAGCCATGAACAGATTACATTTATTAGTTTTGTTAGCAATGATAGATCAATCGATGTTGAATATTAGAAAAATAATCACCAACCCTGTATGTATCAAAACATACAAAGTCACCCTCGTTAGACATTTAGCCTCAGCCGCATCAAAACAAAATATAATCAATTCCTCTTTCATTCTTCTTGTTGGCAACCAGTTAGTCCCAGCCTCATCAATCTTGAACCAATCCCAAAATCTCTTTACTCAATAAAATTTCAGCAGACGTATACATCATTAATATGGAAAATCCGACATTCCTAGACTCGAATGCATTCCTCATTCTATTCTCAGCCAGCCACTTAACAAATTTTTTGTCTTCGTGGTGTTAACTAACCAGCTCATGCATTCATGCAAAACCCAGCCCATTCTACTCGAAAAGAAAATAAGACCCTCATGATGTCACAAACCTACTACAAACAAAACATAAACCAATTTTCCTTAGCAGCAATGAGTGAAAGTAGCTTCTGGAAACCCAATAATAATTAAATAAATATAAGCACCCAGAAACAAGCCATGATCAAAACATATGCAAATATATTGCTAAAAATGAAAACTTTCCGAAAACCCTAGCCAATTTCTTCAGACCCAAACTGGGAAATTGCCCTTTAAGGCTAAAAAACATGAAGTCAACTAGGAAATACGCCATGGGTATATATATTACCTTGGTGCTGGGATCGGTGTGAGTTCCATTAGAAGAATCGTGGTTGATATAATCATCTTCGTATGAACAAAGGATGTCATCGGAGCCAAAATCGAAGCCCTTGGAACCACCGTTACCGTGACCCGATGGTCCAGACGCCATGGCCGGAGCTTAAGCTTAAGGGTGAAAGTTGATGCAGAGAGAGAAGCGTTGTGGTAAAGATATAGGAATTTGTGGAGTGGAGAAAGTGTTAACGTTACTTGTCTGCGAAAATACCTTTCCTATGTTTTTCCATAAATTAGGTGAGAAAAAGAATAACTGAAAACGTTTTAAATAAAACTGAGGGAACGTGATTCGCGACCACACGGATAAGTCCTTAGAGTATTTCTTAATTGGTAAAATCTACACAGCCCTAAAGATTGAAGCCGCATGGAATGCCTTTTTTAAATATACTAAAAAATATTTATATTTAAAAGCTTATAAAAATTTTATTTAGTTATCAATTTTAAAAAATATCTATATTTATTATTATTAAATAGTTTTAAAATTTAATGTTATTTAATAATTATTTTTTCCATCTTTATCCATCATTGTAGAGGTTTTGCATGCTATAAAACAGGTAGAACAAAGATATTAAATTAATACTGTTTTAATTTTATATCAACATCGTTAACACAATTTATTTTTAAGATAAGCACAATTTTTTAAGTAAGACTTTAATTTTATGAATTATTGTAGTGTGATGGCTTTTGTTAATTATAGAACATTGTTTTGTAGCTTTCTAATTATTGTAGAACTAGAAAAATTTGTAGCAACAACTACAATCAATCCTATTTGTAGTGATGATCCATGCTAGTGATGATTGGTGCTATATAAAAGCTTGTAGAATCAATGCTAAAAATTGGTTTGCTCAATCACCATCGCAAATTATTTTAAGGAATGAAGTGTTATACTATAAGATTTTAGGGAATGATGCGAGAATCCGGTGTTTTTCTTTGGTGATGATTGAGCAGAAAATATGATACACCATAATTGTGACTAATATAACAAAATAACAACAAAAAATTAAAAGAGACTTTTTTGTATTAGAAAAAATTAAAGGACCTTTTTGCATTTAAAGGAATTATAATAAAAATAAATATTAAACATATTAAACTATTTAAATACATTCTATTGGTCCACTTAAGAGGAGTATTGGATGCACCCGAAAATATCCTAGCACTACTAGAGAAAATACCTTTTTTATTAACCTGTAAGTTTTGCAGTTAGTATTTTTTAATAACTTTTTTATTTTAAAAATTACAGGTATTTTTAATTAAATTCTTGATTAGTGCCCATATTTTCATCAAAAAATTGTTAAATACAAATAGGTTAAAAAGTTTTAAATAAGTTCAGAATTTATTAAATAATTAAACGAATTGTGTTATTTTAACAATATTTAACTTTTTTAATTAAGTATTTATATATAACAAAATACTAATAAAAAATATCAATAAAAAAACAATTACACCATCATAGTATATAAAAAATCCATTCGGAATTCGACCGAAAACGTTAAGGTACTTGTCTTGTTACTCATGCAAAAGAGATTGTTAACTAATGCTATGAAGCATAAATATGGGTCTTGGAAATCCTTTCTGCTAATTGTAATAATATGAAAGAATATATCTTCTTCAGCTATGAGAAACTGCCTGATGGCCACCCTCATATGGAATCATTTGATTGATAAAAAGTATAATCTTCCTTACTATACTATTAATGAGCACGACTGGTTTCAAATTAACTTTAGTGTTAATTTGAATATTGATGGATTAGAGGTTTTGTCAAGGGTTTGGGAGTTCCACAATCTATATAGCTTAGAGTTTCAAGGGTTTCAAGGTTTAAAGCTAGCTTAGTTACTTTCATAGAATTTAAATGCAAGTAGGCTCTAATGGTGGTCAATGGAATTTGAAGGGATTCTTCTAGCAATTAATCAAGCAAGGGAAAGATTGTTGTCTAGCTCTCAGCAAATACATGTTGTGCGTAATTTTAGAGAAACAATTTAGTGTACTGACAAACTTGTTAATATTAGTTGCGATTAAGAAATAGAGATTCTGTTTCTTGATCAACTTCTAATAGAGCTGCAAGTTTTGTTGCCATGATTTGGGAGTTTCTACTCTTAGAATTGTTTTTTTTTTTTTTACTTTATTTTAAGCTTTACGTCCAGTCAATCATTAAAAAAAATATTAAATATTTTATGTACTTTTCCCCTGTGTTGCAGGGATCGTGTTGGATTTGAAGTCAAAATAAAGATGAGATCAACCGACCATGTTTTTATAAGCTTTAGATAACGTAAACTCTTTTTTATAATGTTAATTACCAACTATTATATCACATCAGATTGACGCACAACATTATTTATTAAGTGCATCTTTATTAATAACTTAACGATTAATGCCAACATAACACAAAAATCGTATAATTTTCCATCAGAATAAATACTTTTACCAACTTATGCTTTATTTAATTAATATAAATAAAGTAAATATAATAAAATAAAAATAAATTTGAGTGAGAAACGACTTAAGGTCTTAAGTTTAAATTTTTATATATAAAAAAAAATTTACTATAAATTCATTCATTATATCTAAATGTGTGACCTAAATCGGATTCATATTAAATTAGATGAAAATAAATAATATATATAATTATATTAATGAATTTTTAATTAATAATATATATAAATTTATTAAACATTTTAAATTAGTATAATATTTTTAAAAAATTTATAATTAATTTTAATTTTTATCTGTTTAATATGTGTCATTAGATATGTATTAAAAAAATTATATTCAATACGTAATCAAGTTAATAAAGAAACAAATGGACCGTATATATAATTTTATTATTAATTGTTTAACTACAATCTCGTTTCTTTGATAATTATGTATCTTATTTACGAGATTTAACAATAATAAACTTATCAACCAATAAATTCACTCCAAATATCACTTCAATTACGATACTTAATTGTTGTGTGGTTGATATTAATCGATAGTTCAATCAATTTTTCATTTAAATGTTTTTACGAGATTTTCAACTGCAAATTTGATTCGAGGGAACTGGTCTAACTACATTAAGTCAACTATTTTAAATTTGTTCAGATTAGTAACCTGACTTAAAAAATCAGGCAATCTTTAACTATTGTTAAAAAAACCAGTTATAGAATAAATTATTAAATAATTATATTTTCAGACCTGTATGTTATAAAGCCATAACTAGTCTATGCAACTCATAACATAATAACTAAGTTTAATGAAATATTATTTAAAATTTTACGACTAGAACATGGTACAATATCTGTATGCCCTAAATATATTTTTCCTTTTTTTTATGAGTATTAATTATAAAACGAAATGCGAGGGGCATAAAAAGATCGCTACGGTGTTGGTAACTATACGTTATTATTTTTATAGCACGAGATTATATGGTTCGTTTTGAATGCTTCTGACAATATTTGATATGAATTATTTAAATAAATATTAAAAAAAAAGTGTTGGACATGTGGTACACGTGTGTTGGTTCTGGCTTGGAAGAAAGTAAGGCAAATATAAATATAATAATTGTGAGAGTAATTGTTTGAGGATGTCTTGCAGTGTCATATTCATACACCAGCCTCTGCCTGTCTGTTTACTTTTCCCTTAAAAATTGTCTAAAATAATTTTCCATATATATAACCCTCACCGCAACGGCTATAACCTTTTTTTTTTTTACAAAAAGTAAAGTATTTTCAATTCCCTCTTTAAAAATTATTAGATTTTTTAATTATAATTTTAGATCAAATGTTTCAAATTAAAGAGTGAATATTATATATTCATGAAAATTTAGGGAAATTACTTAAAAATATTTTCAGTTTTTTATTTTGTAGATTTCTTTTTTCATGATATGAACACATTGAATTTGAATGCTAAAAGCCAACTCCAGTTTTCTTTTTATGAATGAAAAACAAAAAGTACAACACGGTCTGCACCATACTTTTTTAAACGACAAATGTTGCAGCCTGGAACCTTCATGTAACGTGGCAGATCATTCTACCCTTGACCGTTTTATTTCACAATGAAAATGCGGCCAACAGTTTCTTTAGGATTCTTTCACAGGGATTCCTTTTTAATGATGTTACTGCATACATAAATTGTGTTTTTTTTCTTGACAAATATTAATGAGTGAGATTTTATATAAAAATAACTAATAAAAATAAATATAAAACTTACAAATAACTTGTCATATGGGAAATTTCTCTTGTAATTTTATCATAAATACGAAAAAGATTAAATTACAGAAATGTAAATTATAAATACTTTTTAATAATGTTTTATTAAATAATCTAATTTTAAAACCAACAGTTAAATTAAGAGTTTTAATTACATAATATTTAGAAAATCTTGGATTAATTTAAAATTATTTAACACTTTATTCATATATCTTAAATATATGTAATATATATTTTGAAAATATATAAAAATAAAGACCTTTTGGTTATATAAAAATAATTATTTAATTTAGACAAAATTTCACTAAAAAACTCAAAATATTATATAAGCTAATCGGTTGAATTGATGAAAATTATATTTAATATGAATTTAATTCATCTCATATCTGTGTGTGCGTCTATATATATATATATATATTCTAATCAGCTTATACAAAAAATAAATTTGGGTCAATTTTTAACCCATTTAAATACAGGCCATGTTGACCCAATCCACTATATGCACGGCCTCCCAATGTTGGGCTTAAAATCGGCCCTTTGACAGCCCATAATAACTAAAGCGAAATCAGCATTAACATTGTTCCATGTTCATGCAAACATGGGCAAAATGAAGCACAATATTTTCCATAGTAACTATGTTTTCGGCGCTACGCCACTTTTCCATTAAAATGTGTACCATGATTCGCTTCAAGTTTGGCACGAACTACAGCTTGTACTTAGTATTATTTTTACGTTTTTGCTTAAGTAAAAATGCACTAACTATAGGCTGTAATTTCTGCAAAAAAAATCCTGATCCTTAAAATGTCTTGCTGTTGATAAACACCATTATTACAGGCGCCACATGTGAAACATCAATCAGAATAAGATTAGATGCAGAGCTGTGTAAACTTTGAGGTAATCATGGGACTAGATCTCTAGCATTTTTACCGTTTTTCGATGCTTATATCCCTTATGTATGACAAATTTTTACAATGATGAAGTGAATATTATAAGTTGAAGAATCTTAGCTTTACACTGTCATACTTTTTTTTAACACATTCTAAATTATAGATTAAAATTTATTGAAAATTATAAAAATGATGTCAGTCTAACTCTTTTTCATTCTTAATTTAATGTTTATCTCTCATATTTTTGTAATTTATATATAAATTTTAGTTGATAGCTATGAGTGTGTTAAAAAAAGTGTGTTAGACAGTGAATTACCAACATTATTTTGTAAGTTTTGATATTCAGTCACTTAGGAGAGAGAACAGCTATTAGCATTAGCAAATTGCATGTTTAATTGTTGTATAACAGCTATTAGCAAATATCTGAAGTTGATACGTGATTGTGAATAATATTGTTCCCTCCCTTAACTTTTGTATCTTACATTATCTGAATAACTTAATTGCACTAATGGCAATGCCACAGGTACAACGTCTTTGGAATATTATTTGTTTTCAGTGAGATAACTTTCATCCTGATTAGATATTGATTGGTTATTTCTGCTCAACTCCTTATATTGTAATTTATAAAATGTAAGAAACAAAATGTGCAATTCTGCACTAGGGCAGCAACTTTTTAACAACCAATTGCAGTGACATTTATATTTTGCACACTGCCCTGCGAATCATCTTATGTTTTATTCTAACATACTCTTCTTTTTCCTATTGTTAATTTTGCAATCCACAAGTTGTTTGTTTCCATTGAAGCATTTTTTTACCAGTATGTTTTCAGGCATAATATTTCTCACATCATGTTTTTGTGTTGTGGTAGACAATAGACACACTCAAGTCATAGCAGCTTGAAGTTACTTTCATGATTCCTGAACTTGCTGCAATGTCAAAATTATGTTTTCACTTCGGATTTACACTTAGATCAAGACATGTACCATAATGATGTGGACACAGATGCATTTCATTTTAGAATAACGAGTCATTTAAGCATTCACCATTCATTGGAGAATAAGAAGATCATGTTCTATGTATTTTCTGTTTGTAGTGAGCCTTGCAATCCCTGTGGGAACTTTTCCTACCTTTCTTGCTTCCTCACCTCCATACGTCAAACTTGCATATTACTTGTTACTCTGCTTGTCAGCTCATATCCATTCCAACAAAACTTTGGATATATCAATTTATGAACTAATAAATGGAGCTTGGAGGAATGATAGAGAAACAACACACAGTGCATCTATGTATCTGGGCATGGGTTTTGCCGACACTTCATTTGGGGCGAATTTAAGTCAATTATTTCAATAATTTACCATTATTTTGGCCTAGTCAGAGTGAATGATGGTATTGTACACAATGTCTAGCTCCATCTGTAACTGGTCATATTGGGCCTTATCTCTGTGTCTCATCAATAATAAAATCTCATGTTAATTCCATTTACCAACAACTAAACGCTATATTATTTGCAATTGACTATAGACATAGTACCTACCCCGATTATTTGATGAATGGGTTGTGTTGTCTGCATTCATAAGGTACACCTATTGCAGACTTGCCCATTAGGCAACATCCGTGGTCAAATTGCATAGTTAATTTTTTACTAGTTTTACTACCTGACATTTTTACGTGCGTTACTAACAGTTATACACACAGCATAAGAAAGTGACATCTGTTCAAGTATGAATTAATATTGTACCAAAGTAAGTATCGAAGGTATTGGATTAGTTTCTTTGACGTGAACAAATGCACCATCTCATCGAACACAACAGAATATTCCTTTCGAACTTGACCATTTATTATTTTATACAGTAAATCCTAATGAACTAATACTATTTTTAATGCATAAATATGACTATTGTTTTTGTACTGAAAAGTCTCAAATTATTGCATGTACCGACCACCCTACAATATAAGCCATAATGCAGTCGTTAAGGGGTTCCTGTCACGTTCTTTTATGCGCAATAACCACCACGCAATCATTAAAGAGGGAAGAGAAGAAAAATATAAATATTCGCATGTGAAGATCAAAATAACCTTTGCTTTATTAATCCTATCAGCCTAACTTGCCATCAATCATTTATTTACCAAGTTGAATTATTAGTAAAGAATCTCAAACAAAAAGCCCAACTTGGGTATGAATGTTAAATTTTTGGTAGTGCTTGGGATCCAAAATCTAGGGGATATTGTTCTGAGATAGATATATAACTCCATGATTTGCACATACCTCTACCGTGTGATACAAGTTGCTTACTTCATGGTCCCCTTCCTTATTTATGCTCACCTCCATGCTTGGCATATTCCTCTGCCGTATGATACAAGTTCATGATTCCGTGGTCCCTTTTTTTATGCCCCTCCCATTTCAGGAAATTATGGAAAGCTAGTGGCTAACTGGATCTGCAAAATCTGCAATTCTATTTGCATTTGGTACAAGCAATTGTAGTTTCTTATTTTGGTTCCATTATGGCACAGACAACAGGAGTTTTTTTGCTTTTGTTGGGGGAAAGTGCATATTTCAACGGTTTTGAGAGATTTAAGGAACATAAATGTGGTATGTGTGTATAAATAATATAGTCATATGAAACGGTTCAATACATGGTCCGGTTATTATAAATTAATAAAAACCCAGTATTAACCTTGTCTTTCAAAATGGCTATGACTCGCATAGCGGGTATCCTACTACTAGCACTGTCTCTTGTTTTTGTATCACACATTGCTGAGACAACTGAAGTGGTTCCTGCTGCTTTCTCTGTTTGTGAGCGTATATTTGAGTACTTCCCCTATTGCTTGGAATTCCTTGTGGGGGATCCAAATTATGATAGGCCCTCAAAAAGATGCTGCCAACATATAACCAAGCTTAACATATTAGCACATCACAGGAGAGGACCCAGGACCATTTGTTGGTGCATTCAGATCATGGTTAAGGGAATGACACCAACATTGGACCCTACCCGAATACAAGATCTTCCTCTCATGTGCAACACCACCCTCAGCTTTCCCATTTCTGATAGCATAAATTGCTTCAAGTAAGGAAATTCAAATCATAAAGTGGCATCGGCATCTATTCAAATAAATTTAGAAATTTTTCTTTGCTTTGTTGATCTAGGAAAATGTATGTTCAATTATATTTGATTGACTGATTGGTCCATCTTTCATATTTGGCAGGGTTGGTTAGGATATATTACAATGATGCGCGCAAATAGGTAGCTATTAAACATTGGTCTATATGGTCATTGCAGATTTTGTTAGGGGCCTTATAATAGAGCAATAGAATGTCAAGTTGTAATAATAATGTTGCTAGTTGCTACCTATTTGTCGTGAAAGCCAAATAGTTTATGCCTTGCCATATATGTAAGTAAGGATAATTCTCAAAGGTAATCTCAAAAGAAAAAACAATGATCCATTCCCCCTCCTCCAAAAAATATAAAATAGAGTTATCCATGTTCTGGGGGAAGTAGAATTTTATCCAAAATCTTTTCTTCACCACGATAATGTGTGTTAAACGTGTGGATACCAATTTCCGACCTACACCGTAGTAAGAGCTTCTTGTCTAATAAAATAGCAAAATGAAAACGTTTTTTTTTATCACAAACTGAGTTCATCCAAACAACATAATTGGTAAGTTTTTAATTAGTATAAAATTGTATGAAAAATTTTGCAGCAAATTATATATATCAACAATAATAATAGTCAAATGCTAACGGTTTCCTTATGACACTAGTTAAGGAACTCAAAATTTTTCTTTTTTTTTTAAATATAATAAATACATTTGCCTCATAATTTTCAGTGCAGTCTAACATAAATTTTAATAAAATTTTACCATTTTCAGTCCTTTAACTAGTGTCCAAGATTCATAATAATAATATCGTTTTTTTGAAAATTTTAAAAGAATAATAACAATTAAAAGACTTCCTTCTAAAATTTATTCAATCAAATCATAGTTATCGACATTTATCTCTCTCTTTTTTCTTTTTCTTTACATTCAATGATTGAAAATTGAAATACCTCCCGCGTAGTTGCGGTGCTTGACTTGTCTCTGCAAGCATGATTTCACATTGTCAAATAACCGAAGGTAAATTATGAAAATAAAATTGAAGAAAAAAGCTTTTAAACAAGCTTGCATCGCATGAACTAAAGGTTTTCTAAAATGAAATAGTTTTTAAGTTTAACTAAAAAATGGTTGTCATTTTTTATTTAATTTAGAGTATATCCAAGGTCAGCCCAGCCTAAAGTAAATAAACCACTTGCTTAGGCTTCAAGTAAATAAGGCCCGGAAATTATATATTGTTGATATTTTCTTTTCATAAAATAATAAATAACACTTATTAATTAATCAATTAGTAATATTTCAAAATAAAGATATCTTCTCTTAAAAATATTCTTTTTTTATATTTTATCACTTTCCCTTAATCATAAAAATACTTTGCGCATATCTTTGATTAACTTTTTAATATGATTAATCTTAATTAAAATATACATTTTTAGTATTAAATATTTTAAACGGTAAACTCCAAAAATCTATTACACTTTTTTTATGCCAAAAACTTTCTATTGACATTGTAAAAAATCCCGAATTTTAATTGAGATAATATTGAGTGGATTTTTTTTTTATTTTGGTCTCTCAACATTTTATTTATCATTTTTAATAGTACAACAACGTTGTGTACGAGAATAAGTGAGAAACTTAGTAACAGTGGACTTTCTCAACTGTGGAAAACTTAAACTTATTTTTTACATAAAAATTTAAAAGAAAATAAATAAATAAAAACTGATACACCAATTGACTTAATCAATAATATAGAATAACTTGATTCTTTAAAAAAAAATCAAAATTAAGATTAATAAAGTTTTGAGAACAATATTGTCTCAAAATATTTAAATAGATACATTTTAGTATTAATTGAATTGAAGATGAATTGTTAAATGAAATTATTAATCCCATTTGTTCTCTAATTATTTTTTGATAACAAATAAGGATTTAAAAATTTTAATTCGGGAAAAGGGGATACAAAACTTACTTAGAACAATTAAAAATTATTTTAACTTAAATATACTAACAATGTAAATATTTTTTACATTATCACCTCATGAATTGCCATATCAGTACTAATTGTGAAGTTATGTAATAATTAATAGAAAAATTATATTTTAATTGATTTTAACCGTATATTGTAAGTTATGCCTTTACTATAGGGTAGGTCCAAAGCGTAAGACTTGTGATATACTAAACAAAAACAATTAAGTAGTCATTTAATTTAGAGTTAAATAATATTAAACAATGTTTTTTAAACTTCAACACAAACTATAATCGATCCAAATTGCCTCTACTAAATTGATCGAGCTCAATCCAAAACTTGCACCCGATTGGCCTAAATGGCTTATTCTTGGCCTCATTCTAGAATATGCTCCTTTAATAAATAAAACGTGTCACTGCGATGTTCACTAAACATGCAAGAGAATACTCTAGCCCATAACATCAATCTTCAATCAACTTTAACTAGAAGTGTGTTGCACACCACAAATAAAATACAAGGTTAACATGTCTCATGCATGAAAGGATAAGGTTGTTTGTGGGACGAGTTAGGTTTCGCTTGATTTATATTCAACTAACAAATTTAATAGAATTAATTGCTTGAACCTAAATCTCACAATACCATATAACGTTCGTATTGGATATAGATTGAACTATCTCACAATGTTCTAAATCCAATTCACGTATCACTTTATTATTATTATTATTATTATTACATAATTTAAAAAATCTGACAACAAAAAATAAGATGTAATTTAAAACATATATTCAAAGCAAATCAATGTAAATATAAACATCTTACTATTCCACATATTATTGATTAAGTTAGGAAATTATATTGTTAATATATACTTGTTTAAAAAAATAAGACAGTAAGTTAGGTTACAGTGACTGAAAGCATAACTTGGCATTTCTGAAGTTTTAATTTTTAAAACTCAAAATTTTTCATATACCATTTTTAAGGTACATTTATAAATATAAATTAATTAACATTTTTTACATAAACATTTATTCTGTAAAATTAATAATGAATTTCTTAAAAATATTTTTAAAAAAGTAGAAAATATCAGCATGGACTGTGCCAAAGAATGGGTGAAGCAAAGGATAGGAAATATTTGGTAGGAGAAGGGAACCTTAAAAATGAAACTTGTGACAAAGGCAATGCCTTGTTGGTTTGAGCAGTGCCATCCACGTGGCAGTTACTCATTCATTAGCTCTAAAAAAATCTGCCAGCAAAGCAAACACTGTCTACAAAATATCAACGTCGATCAGCCGAGCAAAACCTCTCAATAATTATTTTATAATTTTAATAAAACTATTTTTTTATTCCGATTTTATCCTTAAAATAATTATTATCTCAAAACATTTTTTTTATTTTCTCTTTGCATGAATAAATTTTTAAAAATAAATAATAAAAATTTTCATAATATTTTTAATAAAAAAATTAAATGTATTTTTTAGTTTTTGTATCAAAATATTGAATGACTTTTTTTAAATATGAAAAGAGCTTTATATTGTATTTGGAGTCGATAAAAAGGATTACTTTGCTCACTCAAATCTCCTAGTTCCATATAAAAAACTTTAGGGAGTTAAGTTCAAAAGACTCAGATTTAATTTAGAAACATAAAAATAGTGTCTAAGATAAGCAATTTTTTTGAGAATTTTCATGAATTTTATATGCATCAAGCTTAATCAAATTAAATTAAAAAAAACTCATTATTTGAGTTCAAAATTTAAAGTTTAAACTTTTACACCAAGCAAGTTCAGATCAAAGTGATTGGACCGATTTATTTTATCAGTTTATATTTATAGTTTTTTCTCTTTGTTTTTCTTTTCTATGCTTTATTTGGTTAAAAGGAAAAATATAAATAAAAATATATTTTTATATATTTAATTAAATAAAAATGGTTTTTAAAATATTTTTTCTCAACATCTTTTGATTAAAATTTTAAAAAATTTTGTTCCTTTCACGATCCCATCTCCTTTCCGGATATCAAACAAGTATTAAAGTATCATTAATTCATATCAGAAACACTTGCCATCATAATAGGAGAAGATCATAACTAACTAACAAAAAAAAAAATTTCAACATTAAAAACAAACATTATTCAAACTTTGTATTACTTAAATAATGTCCATCAAGTTAGATACATTTTCTATCTACCAATATATTCTCAACACTGTCAACAATTATGTTAATGAATTATTTGCATGACATCGAATCTCTTTTGAAGAATTCTATTATTTAATGTCTTCTTTTTAAATTAAAACAGTCTTAGAATTGATTAGAATATTGAGTTCAAAACTCTATCATTGTATGTACGTATTTAATGGTTGATCTGATGGATTAAATTATCCTATCTAGTTTTCAAAACTAAAGTTTTATATTAGGATTGAAGTTTTAAATTCCATTTAGCATTGATGTTTCTTTGAAATTAAATAAACTCAAAAACATATTTAGATATAGGTTTTTAAAAAAACTACAAGTTACATATACGAAAAATTTACTCCACTTTTGTATTCAGTTTGCAAATCTAGTTATGTAGTACACAACTCCCAGACATTAATAAACAATAAATTGTCTCGGAGGATATTAAATTTAACCCCTAAAAAAACTTAAACCCATATGTGTGATTCTTGTCGGAAAATATTTTTTTATACACACGTATAAGTTATGTCTATTTTTTTTCATAAAATTTTATAAACTTTATTTATTGATAAATATTAATCAATGCTCTACATATACTAATTAAAGAATTAGAATAAAAAAAAAAATCATGTGTATGGCTCTGGCGTCGCTGCCACCCCATCTTAAATTTTGTATTGCCTACACATGGTAGATTCACAGCAATACATTCAAGTTCAACCTTTGATGTCAAGACAGCAAGTGGCTATCGTGGTTATTTTGAGTCTCCAAGTTTCCTCGTTGAATAATGAAAAACATCACTAGTAAATGTTTTTACAGCTTTTTATTTTCATAAATTTATGAAATTCATTTTTATAAAATAATGCGAATGTCCTTCACTGTCCTGTGAATTAATACTCCGATTCCAAAGGTTTGTACTCCGTCTTAATGCATTCAATGTGTAAGTTTACTTTGACTATTTTAATATCGTCAAAATAATAGCGTTGGAGGCACTCAAAGTATTGTTTAGGTGAATACATCATAAACTTAATTTCAAATTAAAATGAATTTAAAATATTGTATATATAGATGAACATCGTTTGGATAATATTCA